GTGCACACAGAAGCGCGGAGAGATGCACGCTTGGAATGGCATCGAGGGAGATGAATCACAGTAGTCATACATGTAACGCCAGTGGGAAAATGTCCAGGTTCGTGTATGAACTCACACATACGAGTTGGTACATTGCACTGCTGCACACATCACCGATGAACGTTTGCACGCTACATATTCAAACACATCGATGCACGGTGATCAATATTATTCACATTTTGCGTTCCTGGATATGTGAATTCAAACGATAGATTACAAGTACAAATTGGAGTTATTGTATGCGTATTGATACAAGTTTAAACGAATCTACTTATTAATCCTTACATGATATGAGTATACTCTCTGGATCTTTCGGTAAAGTCACGTAGGTAGAAAATAATAGATTAAGCGGCCGTCATCAGGTGAGACAATCACAGCAGGGGAACTGCTGACGGTCGCTTGTGCTGCGATCGAAACGTCGTGATCTATTTTATTTTCTACCCACGTGACTTTACCGAAAGAACCAAAGAATATGGATTCCTGCAGTCACGAAAGCTTCAAAGCAAGAATGATATGAGTATTATATGATGTTTAAATCAATATTCCTGTACGAGGCTCTTGATTTAACTTCATTTTAAGGTGAACTTTCCACCATGGGCACCCCAAGTGAAATTCATGAAAGTTGCATGACACGCGATATAAATCATTTAAAATGGCAGTGTATAACACCATCAGCCAGGCAAACAATGCAAGAAAAGAAGATTCTGCTCCTTACAATTAAACAAGAATATTTGTCAGCCCTTTATCAATCTACTACTGGCTGAAGACTTCTCCAGGCCATGTCAATCATGGGAGTTGTTTGACAATACTTCACCACGCTGGTTAGTACGGGTTGGTGATGTGCAGGGCTTCTCTCACGATGCGCCTGCTTAAGCAAATGCTGCTGGAAAAATGTTGGTTCAGAAGGTCACTAGGCCCATGGACTAAAGCAGTGGTTCTTGATCTGGGGTGCACGCATTCCCTGGGGATGCGAGATGCCATTTCTGGGGTAACGAGACATGCCAAATTTGTTTAGAAGGTAAATCATCGAAACACAAATTAATTCTAATTTACATTAATTTCTAAGGCGTTTTCCACTAATGTATCAAGGCGTCTTGTAAATTAAACACGGTCACGTAAGTACAACTAATGTTTTTCATCAAACCGAGGTATTTATGAACATGAAAACAATTTACGTTTGACAACTAAAGGGTGCAAGGCTGCAGTAAAGGTTAAGAAGCACTCGACTAAAGTGATCATTTATTTTAATGCGGTGAGACAGGCCCTTTGTATATGTTTATTAACATGAATACCCAGCCCTGTGTCAATCCACTGTGGGATGAAGGCCTCCAGATACCACGTTGATTGTGGCAACGTACGATGTTTTATATGCCACTTGCAATGTATCAGAATGTAGTAATGTAGCATTAGCTACAGCCATTTATTAATCTACTGCTGGATGAAGGCCACCAGTGCCACATCGGTCATTTGCTTGTTTGACCATACCTCTCCACGCTGAGTGAATGTCGGTTGGCGAGAGATGGAGAGGCCCAGGACTAGTTCCGATATCACTTGCCATCGATATTAGCCGATGCCAGGAATTCAACTTGCGTCGCAAGGTTCGAAATGCAGCGCACTAAACGCTGCACTGGAGCACCACCCATCGCAATGTCAATTCCCACACTGTTTGTGTACCGACTTGTGGCTAAAAGGAAAAAAAAAACAAATCCCATTAGGCCTAATTCACGTGTTGGCGAATGTTAATTTGATTAAAGTCCATTACCTTCGTTAACAATGGGCCGCATCGCTTGGGTTATGTGTTTTGTCAACACGTGGAATCTGGCCAATTCGTAATGGCTCGGGTTTGGAGAGATGCTTTGTGGATGAGTGGGGAGAGTTAAGAGAGGGTCCGTTTGGAGATGAGAGGGGAAGCGGGCGAGGAGTCCCTGAGTGGGGCTGCCGCTGTGTGAGCTAAGGAAAGCGAAAGGTAAAGGTGCAGCCCTGCAAGTGCTTTGCCATGTCACTGCTGGTAGAAAGGCCTCCAACTAGCCAGCGTTGCATAGAGCCCCCTACTCTTCCACGCTCGTCAAACGACGTCTTGAAAGACTTGGGAGCACCCGGGCATTGCCCCCACTACTCGCCACTTGCCGATCAACCCATTTACAGTAACTTATACTCATTTATACTGCTTGGTGGACGGGATTTAGGAACTCTTCCCCATTGTTTCGACTGCTCGTGCAGAGAGATCGATCCAACGACCTCCGAGATTGCAATTTCAGCGTGATAGTCACTACAGCACGGTAGTATCAATGTTTTTTTGTAGTCAACACATTACTACTATAATGAGTCAAGAATGTCTGTTATTGTGCCACGTGCGTGACGTCACTCCACATGCCGCACCCCCCTAATTAATATTCATGAGCCGGTTGATTTTTACACTCACGCCAGAAGGTCGAGCGGAATTTTTTTCGCAAATTCGTATTCAGTTTGACGTTTCTTTATTTAAAGTTAATCTAATAAATAATTATACGCAGCAACAAAGTGGATTTGGTATCTTTATCTATTTCTTCAGCACTCGAGACGAAAGGTAAGTCTAATTTATGCTTCTACATTATGGTAAAATAGACATTTCTCGGTGATTTTCCAGATACAGTATTGTATCGAATTGTATCGAATTCCAATTTACTTCAACCCCAGCCACCGAAAGCAGAAGAGAATAAAGTATCAGAGCAGTGAATTTGAACAAATTGAAGATCAGTTATATACAGTGCTACAGTGACATGAAGTGAGGTGTTTTATGACTTCGTTTGGTGCAAGAATCACTGCCATTAATAGTTCTACAGTGAAATGCAGTGAAGTGTTTGATGACATACTTTTGTGCAAGATTCACTGCCGTTAAATTGACACAAGATACAATTATACTCTGCTCAATTTTTTTCGTAAATATTACAGCTTCCGTCCGAGGACGGGCAAGCAAGCTAGTCATTATTATTCTTATTCTCGTAAAGAGTACCGCAGGCTGCTGTAAGCCAGTGTGGGGTTTTGATGCAACCTTTTTTCCAACGGTTTTTACTTAACTTGACTCCTATGTTTGTCGTGGTCAAATCTTGTAATCGAAATTTCGTCCACTTCCCGTTGTCCAATCAATTACACATTTTGCACACGTACTCAGATCCGGTGACAATGCATGCCTGTATCAATATCGGCATCACTTAATTAATAAATTCACTACTTGAAAGCAATTAACATTTTGTATGGACGCCTTATTATTTATATATATTTGCGTAGGTCAAAAACTCCGCGGTCCCGAAACTCTCGAATCGCCTGCTCCGTGTGAACGAGTTACCGAAGTAATCAATTAATTCAAGTCAGCGTTCATGTGGGAGCAGGTGAAACGAAGTTGTTAATTAAACCGTTGTTTAAAAAAAAAACGCTTTTTAAGGAGTGTATTTCATATGTGCGTGCACTGCTGGATGAGACCCATCCCACAAAGTGTGGATCGTGGGGCGGGGGGGTGGTTAAGGTCACAAGCCTTTGATGCCACACATGCCGGGCACGTCCCGTTGACGTCGGTGGTGAAAGTGGGGGAGCGTAGACTTAAAGAGCACAGGAGATGCAGTCCAACAATGTGTTTTTTTGCTGCAGTGCCCTCTGCTGTCCGGTGCTTGGCACCCCCTGCTCTTGTGAGGTCAAATCTGGCAAGAGTGCCCTTGCTACAGTGGCTGGCTGATGAGAACTAAGAACGCAAAACCAGAAAACGCAATTGTCAATGTAAAATATTTCATTTGCAGGTATGTCGGCCTGAAGGTCACTTTTTCAGTTGAGAGTTTATTTTTGGAATTATTAACCGAATGAATATCACCTCTCTATGTGCGTTGTCACACATTTGTGGACATAATTGGTAGTTTAAACTAAAACAAAAATTTCACTTTATTAAGCCATATTATAATATAATGCAGGATATCAAATGAAATATTAGTGGAGTTGCAAATACTGTACTGTAATACCTTTTCTATTCCTGTTATTAAGAGAAAGGGAAGATATAGACGTTTGGTCTGACTGGCCTTTTTCAGAATACTTTATAAGGTTGGATATTACACACACTGTACGAATGAGAAATTTATATTTATAAAAGTTTACAGTTTTTCCCCCCATAATCAGTTGTTCGATTATCAATGTGAAAGGAGCGTGGAGGTTGAGGGTTGCCAGTGTGTAGATGTATGTACTTGCAATGGATGTAGGTGCCACAGTGGGGAGCGGTGGCGCAGTGGTTAGCGCACTGCGCCCCGAGTTCGACTCCCGCTCACAGCCGACATCGGTGACGAAATATTTAAAACCTGTCACGGGCCTCCCATAGGTCAACTCAGCCTCAAATTGGTACCTGGTGCGATGTGTAAAAATCGCCACTAGGGAGACAAATGCGCCCGGGCGCGGTGTTAGCCACTCATCCCCTCGAGTGCCGTGCCGACCTAAATAAGCGCTCGCTAACAACGCTTGCCCCAACAGTTTGTTAAAGGCTATACGGGCGGGCGAGGGGGTCTTTGTCATTGTACTTGAGTGTACGCGTGCGTGTGCGTGCACGTGGCTGTCTGGGAGTGCGCGTGCATGTGTATCCACGTGTGTGCGTGTGTGTGTGAACGTGCGTGTGCTGGGGAGCGGTAGTGTCGCGGTTAGCGCGTTGCGCTACGAACCTGGCCATCCGGGATCGATTACCGCTCACGGCCAACACCAGTGGCGATTATTTAAACCGGTCCCCTGGGCCTCCCCTAGGTCGACTCAGCCTCAAATGAGTACCTGGCGCGATGTGTAAACATCGCCACTGGGGGAGACAAAGGCGGCCGGGCGTGGTGTTGGCCACCCACACCCCCTCGTGTGCCGGCCTCTCATAGGTGCTCGCTAACAGCACTTGCCCCGTCAGTCTGTTAAGCCCATACCGGGGGATCTTTGTCTTTGTCTGGGTTGGGAGCGCGCGCAGGAGATGAATGTTTGAGCCGTCGTCCAATCACCTGCAGCGGGGAAGCCTCTCCCCCTACCCCCCCCCCCCTTCTCCGCACCGGGAGTTGGTGATTTGGAGCGCAACGCGCAGTGCACTCGTGCCGAGAGGCACCAACAGCTCGCTGCAGCACGGAGGTCGCGTTCACATCAGGAGTACATCACCACCACCACCAACAACCACCATCGACAACGTCATCGTCGTCGCGTGATCATCATCGGCATCATCGCATTGATCTCACCACCAACGTCATCGTCACATTGTCATCATCATCACGTCATCATCATCACATTATCATCACATTGTTATCATCATCATCGTCATATTATCAATATCATCGTCACCACCACCAAAATCATCAGCAATATTATCACATTGCTATAATAGTCACACTATAATCAGCATGATCATTATCACTGCCATCCTCACATTGCCACGATTTAGCGAGCTATAATCATTTTTTCACGCTCGTGTTTTTGTTGACCTTTTTTCCGCACCGAACGTAGCCAGCGCTCTGTGGGTGCCTAAGAGCGGCAGACAGCCCGTCAGAACTCTGGCACATCTCGAGAGGCGAGTCTGCCCGGGGGCTAATTGTTAGTTCATTGTGAGTTTTTTAAAGTGTACACCCAAGTGTATAATCACAGTACAGAATACAAAGAGCCAGTGTACAAGTTATGTGTATAGTACAGTATACGTAGTTCATTATGTTAAGACGTAGTTATACGTTCGAATATTCACATACGTCATAACGTGAATTCTACACATTCACATTTTCAACCAAACCAAAAGCAGGTGAATAGATTGTAGGCGTGCCTATTGAATACCTTGCAACCGAGGCGAGTGAACGATCATAGCTAATTTACGATATTTAACGTATATTCTGTTTTGTCATCCATTCAATGCTAAAAACGTTCCTTTGAAAACCGCAATGCACGGCTCTATCCCAGTTCAACTCCTGGGGAATCCCGATTTAGCTAGCTCAAATAAAGACGTCTTGCCAGCGTGGAAGCGAGAGAGAGAGACGAGACGAGGCCGAAATAACCTCGAGAGGGTTGTTCTCTCTCTCTCTCTCTCCGAGAAACTCTCTCCTAGAAACTCTCTTCTCAAGCGGAGGGCCTTCTGCCAGCAAGTGTTAGGGTGCAGGGGTTCCAACTTGTATTTGTTACCGACCAAAGGTACAGCCAACACTATCTAGCTAACAATCAGTGAGGGAGCGAGAGAGAATATATATAATACAGACGTGTATGTGGTGGTGGATGGTGGGAGGGAATGTGTGTGTGTGTGGTGAAACGAGAAATCTTTACGTAACACTGGCCCGCCACGGGTTGCAGAGCGGCACCTGGTTTCAACGATGTTTTTTTTTGTGCGTGTGTGTGCAATGCGCATGTTCAGTGCCTCTCCTCTCTCTCTCTGTAATGGGGAGGGTTTAGGGGTGGCTGAGTTGGGGGGTGGCGGGACTTGGTGAAGAAGAGGGGTGGGTTGCTCTAGGGTGGTAACTCCAGCAGTGCCATGTAATTTTGTCCCAAAAAAGTTTGTTGCTGTGCATTTAGTTTTGAGCGCACGGCTCAGAAGCATCTTGCCGCAGTCTCTTGCGGCTTGAGGAGGGGGGTTGTTTGGCTTTATTTTTTTTACTTTGTGCTGTGCGGGTTTTTTTTTCTTCCTTTTATTAAAATATATTTTTAAAGGCCAACTCAGCAAAATGAAAGTTCCAGTCCGAAGTTCCCCTCGGCTGCTCATGCTGCAGGTGACTGTGGCCGTGCCGCTGTGGATCAGCTGCTTCTCATGCTGCTGTGGCGGCACTGGAGGTATGAGAATGATCGCGATGATGATGATGGTGTTCCATGTGGGTTGTAGATGCTTTGCAAGTTCATCCTACAGTTACAGTGACAAAATATACATGTAAACAATTATTTTTGACTGGACGGGCACTTTTGCAATTGTGCCCGTTTGTTGTTGGGTTTGGTAAATTATCGTGGTATAATGATCAATTTTGCGACTACATTATTTAGTTATATCCTGTGATATTTGTTCATGTATTTAGAAGAAGTGTGTATCAACGGTCATACTGTATGCACGTTTATATGCGGAATTGTTTTAGTTGTGGTTGTTGAGGATTTTAAAGGTTAATTTAACCATGTGGGGCTCGTAGAACCAAACTAAGGCACGGTAACATTCTTCGAAAATAATTCCGTTTTCGTTTCCAGTCCAATGTAATGTTCTATAAAATAAAGTATGCAGTCTGGAAAAAACCGTGCAAATTTCTCTTTCCCCAACCCCCTCCACCTTCCCCATTTTTTGTTGTTGTTGTTGTTGTTGCAAATTAGCAATCCACGTGATAATTTTCTATTAAATAACACAACCTAAATTGTCAAATTAGTATCGGGTATATTGGTTTTGGTCTTAGGCCCCAAACGGCCCACCCTGCTTCCACGAGTCATTCGCACCTGTTCCGCTATAAAGGATTTTATTACAATAACAATAACACAAGGACCCTGCAGAGAGCGGCGAGCTGCCTGGGTTCTGACGGTTCACGGCTCTGGATTTTCATCTGGGGATTTCTTCCTGCAATTTTGTCATTCTTGCTTTGCGTGCTTCTCGTTCCAATAAAACCATAAGTGTACTGTAGAGCCAGTGTGTGTCTGTGTGTGTCTGTGTGTGCTGGTTGGCAGGTTTTTTTCTCCTCTTAAATAAAGAGAGCTTTGAATTATACAAAAAATATAACAAGTGATATGTTGTATGCATTTTTGCAGAATCGGTGAGGCTGGAGAATAAAATGCTGGAACGACATCAGACTGACGTGGTCACTCCTGTCTTGGTGCATTTTCAGCCCAGTTCAACTGGAGAAAAGCCTCTTCGAGCGGCTGCCAGTGTTGGCCCGCAGAAGGGCATTCGCCCCGATGCGAAAACCATCCAGGGCCATGCTGCAGCCACCACCTCCTCCTCCAAAGTCTCCGCGTACGAAACTTACTCGGCTTCGCCTCCAGCAGCCCGCCCCGGATCCGTCTCGTCGAGTTCCTTCCAAAGTGCCGCCCGTTGGGCCAGAGGCTCCCCGTCGCCACCGGGGGAGAGGCTGCGCGTTCGGCTCTCCCCGTTCGGGAGGAGCATGGTGCTCATCCTGCGACGCGATGCCCGCTTCCTCGCCAAGGGCTTCTCGATCGAGGACCGCGACCCCGCTCCCGTCGGAGGCTCGCCGCCCGGGAGCCACCGGACCCCGCGTAGCTCGGCCGCCGGAGCGCCCGATCCGACCGACGCCGGGGAGGATGGAGGTCCGCGGAGCAGGCGCATCGGCGGGCGCGGCGCCGCCACGAAGAACGCGCGCGGCGACGGGGGTTCGACGAAGGGGGCGTCGAGGGACGGTGGATCCGTGGCCAAAAACAACTCGGGCGTCGCAGATGTCCACAACACATTGACGGAGGAGGAGAAGCTGTGCTTTTACAGCGGGTTCGTGCATGGGCAGCGCAACTCCGCGGTCACGTTGAATATGTGCAACGGCCTGGTGAGTTGAAGCGTATTGTTAGCAGAAACGCGAAATGACGATAGTGGTGAGGAGAAAAAAAAAAGCGTTTGCTTAAGTTGACGGAGCAATTGCCGACGCTAAGTAAGACTATATCGAGAGGCGTTACGACATATTGAGCCGACGGGTATTTGTATCCATGGAAACTTTGTTTTGAGCAAGGGTGAATTTTGGACACCTCTGCCAGATAAGTAAGGCCTTTAAAGTGACATGTCTCCTTCTGCAAGGGTTTAATTCACCTCGCAAGCATGCAGTGGAGGAGGGCGGGGGGAGGCATAAGGGTCATTTTAGCGAGTGGAGGGGGGGAGGAGGATGGGGTGTAGGAGTGCCTGTTTGGAGGTTGGAAAATAGGGGTCAAAGGGATGATGTGCTGTGCTGGGGAGGGGGAGTCGAGGGTGGGCGAGAGAGAGAGCGGTAATTGTCAGGGAATATTTGCCGCACGTGTTAAAATAATATCAGCCAACAGGTTTAAGTAGAGAGAGAGAGAGAGCAAATCTACCCGAACTGGCGCCACGCCAACTTTGTGGGGAGTGCCAGACCGTAACAGCAAGGGGTGGGGGGCCCCCTCGGGCCTCGCCTCGTTATACTTCTACAGGCAGCAGCGATATCGCGACGTGCCGAGAGGCATCCACAGCTTGCTGACAGCACGGAGGTCGCGTTAACATCAGGAGTACATCATCGACAACGTCCTCGTCGTTGCATCGTTGCATCATCATCGTCATCATCACGTTTTCATCACCAACGTCATCGTCACTTTGTCATCATCGTCACGAACATCATCACATTGCGATCGTTACGTTATTAGCATCGTCATCATCGCATTACACTGTGTAACAATTGTCTTTTGTTCCTGGGTAGTAAGTGTTATTTCATAATTGCTTATGCCTAAAAAGTATAGAAAATGGCTATTATGCCCCGCAAACTTTGCTTTTGTGACCAGGACAGTGATGTTTTGAAATTTACATATTTTCAATGAGAAAACGGGCGAATTTGTGTCTTTTCGTTCACGTAAAGTTAGAAAAAAACAACATATTTATCAAATTAACATGTATTTATACTTAAGTAATACAAAAATCACTACAAAAGATTTAGACACTAAGGCGCACTACCACAGGCGGGACTGGCCACAGCGGACCGAGTTCTGTGTGAGGAGGAACAACGTCAAGTGGGAGCCACTGGTGGACCCCCGGAAGGTGCTGATGCCACCACTGCACATCAAATCGGGCCTTATGAAACAATTGGTCAGAGCTGTAGATAATGAGTGGGCAGCCTTCAAGTACCTTCAAGACTTCTTCCCTAAGCTGTCTGTGGCAAAGGTCAAAGCCGGTGTCTTCGTAGGACCGCAGATGAAGATCCTGGAGTGCAATGAATTCCCCAAAAAGCTCATTAGTAAGGAAAAAGTGGATTGGAACAGATTTGTTGCAGTGGTTCGTGGCTTCCTGGGCAATCACAAGGTCGAACACTATGTGGAGCTGGTTGAGACTGATGAAGAACTACGGCACAATTGGATGTAGGATGTCCCTCAAGGTCCATATCCTTGATGCTCATCTTGATAAATTCATGGAGAACATGGGAGCCTATTCGGAGGAGGAAGGCGAGTGCTTACACCAGGATATGCTGAACTTTGAAAGCTGCTACCAAGGACAGTATAACGAGAACATAATGGGAGACTACATTTGGGGGCTGATTAGTGAAAGTGATTTACAGTATCATCGCAAATCTTGAAAAGCTACTCACTTCTAAATTTGTTGTAGTAATTTTGTATTACTTTAGTATAAATACATGTTCATTTTGATTCATATGCTGTTTTTTGGGACTTTATGTGAACGAAAAGACACTAATTCACCCGTTTTTTCATTGAAAATAGGTAAATTTCTACATATCATTGTCTTGGTCACAAAAGCAAAGTTTGTGGGGAATAATAGCCATTTTATATACTCTTTAGGCATAAGCAATTACGAAATAGCACTTACTACGCAGGAACAAAAATTGTGTTACATCGTGTTATCATCATCGCCGTCATCTGCCCCTCCTGACTCGGCGCGTTATAGTTCAGCAGGCGCACACTCGCTCATTTTGCTCTGACCCACAACAAAACAGAAGGTGATTCAACATGTCGGGTTAGTTTGCTAGGTTTTCGAGATCAAAGGTGGAGTGAGGGCTCCATGACGTTGGAGACGCCTGAAATAGCCTTTTCAAGAAGCCCTTTGCTGCCTGGTAAATGTTGTGCGTGGGTGTGTGTGCGTGCGTGTGTGTGTGTGGGTGTGTACGTGGGTGTGTGCGTGCTTGGGTGTGTGCGTGTGTGTGTGTGTGCGTGCGTGGCTCTTTGCGTGGGTGGGTGTGTGTACGTGCGTGGGTGCGTGCGTGCGTGGGTGTGTGCGTGGGTGTGTGTGTGTGCGTGGGTGTGTGTGTGCGTGGGTGGGTGTGTGCGTGCGTGGGTGTGCGTGGGTGTGTGCGTGCTTGGGTGGGTGTGTGTGCGTGTGTGTGTGTGTGTGTGCGTGGGTGTGTGTGTGTGCGTTCCTGGGTATGTGCGTGGGTGTGTGTGTGCGTGGGTGGGTGCGTGCGTGGGTGTGCGTGGGTGTGGGTGTGCGTGGGTGTGTGCGTGGGTGGGTGTGTGTGCGTGGGTGTGTGTGTGCGTGCGTGGATGGGTATGTGCGTGGGGGGGTGTGTGTGCGTCCGGGCGTGGGTGTGTGTGTGTGCGTGCGCGTGTCCCATGTGCAGCGGCAGGCGGGTGCGCTTTTAACTAAGAAAGTAGCTGGGACATAACCACGCATAATGCGATAACAAAACATACATGTTACACTCATTGCGCACATTGTTGAAGTACGTTTTCACCCATGCCCTGGCCTCTTTTTTGCTACAAATATAGCTCGCTGGATGTATTGTGTTTGCGGGGAGAAAGCTGAATTCGTAAAGCCTACTTTTTTTCCCCCCGCCAACAAACAAGTACACTGCGGTCTGCTGTGATTATGTGCCTTTTAATCAAGTGGAAACGGAATACGTTTGAAGTCTCCCACAGGCTCCCCCTTTGCCGAGCCCCCCCCCCCCCCCGGGGGTCAAATTAATGCCTCACTGGGTGAAGCCGCTTGATCAAAAACAAATCTTGATTGGAAAATCAAGGCTCTGCGCCCTAGTTTCAACGCAACCTTGCCATGAGTGCACGGATTTTGCTCCCCTTGTAATTTTAACGTCCAAGGTACAGGAATGTCGATTGAGAGTCCTTATATCCGTGCACCAGGATTCAAGAGTGGTATTTTAATTAACGTGATTGCAATAGTGACAGGGCGCGGCGAAGTGGAGACCGCACTGTTGCGGTGAACCCAGAAAATCTGAGTTTGATGCCTGGCCATGGCTAACATCAGTGGCGTTTCTCCAACACGTTCTGACAACTGCCGTGACTGATAACGGCATAGGGGAAGCTCTTCATCCAGCAGTAGATTTGCAAATGGACGTAAATTATCATTGGTAACAAAAATCAGATGCTTGTATCGGTGTACGTGATGTTTAACTTCTTTCGCACCGTGCGTCGCCAACCGTGCTAATTGGAGGTGCGGGTAGGAAGAACAACAACAAACTGAACACAAACATTCGTTCTCAAGAAATGAGTTGTATCCGCTGCCTGCCGAATGGATTTACACACTTCCGTGTAACACGATGGAAGTTGTGCGCCACGCAATTTTTTTTTCCTGCAAGTCCCTCGAGGTGTTTGGGATGAAGAGGTGACATTAAATAGGCCGACGACAACAGCCTCAGAGAGAAATATCTGCTTTATTTTCGTAAGACGATGGGCGGTGTGACGGCTTAAGCCGCGGGTGATTTAACCAGTTAAATAGGACCACGCCAGAGGATAGATTACACACGGCTCGCTATTTATGGCTCGAATTCCCGTGCCGCGTTACGAAGCAACGTTTTTCGATGTCGCGCTTTGCACGCGCATTATATTACGCCTAATTAAACGACGCGAAACAATGCTCAGGAAAACACATAAAGCATCCACCCCCGCCATTCCCACCCCTCGACATATGTTTTGTTGTTCACTGCCGACAGCTGGGATTCATCCGTCTTGGAGAAGATCAGCTGTTTATCGAACCCCTGGCTGGACCAACTGCACCTGCCTCGCTGGGCCTCCAGCATCTGGTGAGCAGGAGGTCTGGCCTTCACTTCAAGCCCAGTCACGACCCACAGGTGAGCAACTCGAAAACCTCTGAGGACAAAGATGTTTTGCTTGGGAAAGAGAACCTTCAATCCTTCAAAGGAGACCCCCTCCCCCCCCAACCATTATGGGTTTGAAACCACTGATGTGTCTTCTTCCCGTGTACCTAACTTCCATCACTGGTCTTCATTCCTGTAACGCATCGTCCAAAAACCACAGAGCCTCTTGTTCTCCCTTTGCCAGTGGCATTACATTGTCCTGGGAATCCCATGCATGCATGACCGAATGAACATCTGTATTTTGTTTAAACGTGGTATTGGTTGGATCAAGTTGATGCTATCCTATTGACCTTATACGCAACAGAACTTCATTTGTGTGGTGATGTTTCAAACGTGGCTTTACCGCATTATAAAATATTAAACATTCAATTATATTGGACAGCTCTTTGTCAATCCACTGCTGGATGAGGGCCTCCCCACACCTTGCTACTCGTGGGGGGTTAGTTGACCTTTCAACGCCAATCAGTGCGGGTTGACGAAGATGGGGAGCATAGAAAATGGAGTATAGTACAGTACAACTGTAGTAAGTATATGGAGGCTTGACGACAGGATCGGAGGCACACTTATTTATTACACCAACACAGTTATTACAGGTCACTGGGCTACAGGGATTTCTCGACAGCTAACCCCTCTAACCTATACCAATTCCTCCACTACGGAACTAGGGGAGGCTATCTGTCCCAGCTTGGTTAAGCTGGGATCCCGGCTCCCTGAGTCACCAGACCAGCTTCGTCTGGGCTCTCGGGGCCACGCCACCGGCTTGCCCTGGTCGGCCCTTATAAGGACAGCGAGCCAGGGGAGCTCTGGGGCCTACACTAGCAGGTCTTCCGTCTTCTCTGGTTAAAGCTGAGTCCCGACCTCGAGCCCTCGAGCTCATCACCTTTTATAGGACTCCCCCCGAGGGGGGGCCCGTGGGGGACGCACATTCGGACGTCGGTGCGAGCGCCACCCTTGTGTACGGCCGTAACCCCACCCCTTGTGTTTGTTGGCCATCCGTGGCCATGCATAATCACACCTCAACATTCGTAGCCGTGCGCAATTACACCTCTACATCATCCCCCCTTGTACAGCTCGCAGCCGTCCCTGGCTGCAAAAAAAACGTGAATAAAGGTGCATACCTCACGAAAACCCCGTGTGTGTGCCTCGCGTAATTTTTAACAAGAACAAGAGAATCTTAACAAGAACAACAACAGGAAGAGAGAGAGAGAGAGAAAAAAAATAACCCGACGCGCTCCCCCCGAATAAACACCCCAAAACCAACATATATACACACTCCGGACGCCACCCCTCCCATTGTCCGCAAGGCCCCCCAACGGCCGACCTCACAATAGTCTGCGCGTTTTGGCGCGCGTTCTCGCGGCGGGCCCGTCACAAGGGCCCGTCCCGGCACGCTCAGTGACGGTTGTTGACGGTCCGGGTACAAGAGAGTCAGGCGTCGCTCCCGAGTGACCCCCGACCCCTCCGGGAGGGGTTGGTGGGTGTGGACCCGTCACTCCTGTTGCACCTGGGGACGGAATAGTTGATGTCAAGTTAGGCGAGCGCAGCGACGCCGGGGAGTCGGCGGAACCCTCACACGTTTGGCCATGCGTGTGTGCGTGTGAACCCCGGCGCGGCGCGATGAATGGTTTCAACCTTGAGGGGTGCACATACCACCGGCGCCTCCCCCACTTGACGCGAACACACTGCGGCCGCAAGACCTGTACGACCTCCACTGGCCCCCGCCACGGCCGTACCAATTTCGACGAGGTTGCCAGCGGCACCTGGGGACAGTGCAACCACGCCTTGTCCCCCGGTTTCCATTTTACCACCTGTACCCGCCCCAACCGAAGCCTCTCGTTCGCCTTCTGGCGGAGATCAGAATTTTGCGCGGCCGCTTCCCGCGCCTCAGACAATTTGCTGATGTTAAATTTAACGTGTTCGGACAAGTTAGACTTCGCCTGGGGCGCCGAGAGCTTGAGCTGGGTCGCCACAGGGGGGTTTGCCTCGCGCCCATACATTAAAAAGAAAGGGGAAAACCCGGTGGCCGCATGGGGAGCCATTCTGTAGGCCTGCAACACCCCGGCTATACGAAGGTCCCAATCCGTCTGGGATACAGACACCTGCTGGGACAGCATAGACGAGATGGTCCGATGCAGCCGTTCCACCATCCCGTCAGTTTGTGGGTGATACGGAGAGGTCCGAACCTTCTCCGTACCCAAGAGGTCGCACACCTCGCGTAGGAGTTTACCAGAAAAATTCCTACCCTGGTCAGTAAGCAGCCGTTCCAGAGCACCCTTGTCGAGGACATAGCCCTGGACAAAGGCCTCCGCGATGGCCGCTGCCGACTGGTTGGCCAGGGGCCAGGCCATAGGCCATCTCGTGAAGTACTCTACCCCCGTTAATAAATACCTATTTCCCCTGGGCGTAGCGGGAAATGGGCCGAGTATGTCCAGAGCGACGAGCTCGTTAACCCGGGAAACCTTTATGGACTGCAGCGGAGGGTTGGACCCCCTAGCAGGTGGCTTCCTTTGCGCGCATTGCGCGCACGACCCCAGGAGATCCCCCACGTCCTTTGCCATGCCCGGCCAGAAGAAATCTAGCTGGAGCGTGGCAAAGGTCTTGTGAATCCCCAAGTGCAGAAGCCGCTCATGAACAGCCCATACCACCTTACCCCTTAATGCTGCAGGCACCACGAGCCGCTGGCGGCGGGTTTTCCCATCCCAGTGCATTAAAAGACCCTGGAACAACCCCCACGAGTCAACGTTCGCCACCCCCTGACCAGCCCCCCCGACGCGACGGCGCAGAGCGAGGAGGGAGGTGTCCTCCATTTGGAGGCGTCCCCATTCCGCGACCGACAACCCCAGCAATAAATCTCTCCCTTCTTGCTCGATAGGACCCGAAGCTGAAGGCGCATCGGTAGCGGCCACGAGGACCGAATCGGTGGTGACGTTCGGGGGTCTACAACGCCCCGAATCCAAGAGGCACGCGCACTCCGAAGTGGGTGGCAATCGTGACAGGGCGTCAGCGTTCGTGTGGCGGACACCCTTACGATATGTGGTGACAAAGTCATAGTCTTGGAGGATCTCCAACCATCGAGACAACTGGCCCGATGGTTGTTGAACCCGCAGGGCGTACTGTAGTGCCGCATGATCTGTACGGACGGTGAATCGCCGACCGTACAGATACGGGCGGTACTGCTGAATAAAATAAACAATCGCCAATAATTCCCGACGGGTAACGCAGTACCGCTGTTCGGCTGGAGACAGTACCCGACTACCGTAAGCCACCACATGCTCTACGCCCCCAATGAGCTGGGACAGCACGCCCCCGATGCCCGTGTTACTCGCATCAGTATCGAGCAAGAAGGGTTGTGAAAAATCGGGGTAATTCAACGGCGGAGCCCCCACCAAAGCATTCCGGAGGGCGCGAAAAGCAGCCTCCTCCTCCGGCCCCCAATGAAACCTGACTCCCTTGGACGTCAAGGCATGTAATGGTTTCGCAATCGTAGCGAAGTCAGCCACAAATCGTCGATAATACGATGCGAACCCAATGAAACTCCTGACCTCTCCCACCGAGGTGGGAGTCGGCCAGGAGCTGACGCATTCCGTTTTGGCGGGATCAGTGGATATCCCCGAGCGCCCAACAATGTGACCCAAATATCGCACCGATTCGCGGAGTAAATGGCACTTCTGCGGTTTAAATTTCAAATTGGCAGCCCTGCATTTTGAGAAAAACAGCACGCAACCTCTGGAGGTGTTCCTCGAAGGATTTGCTAAAGACGATGACATCGTCTAAGTAAATCAAACACGAATCCCATTGCAAACCTGCCAAGACCAATTCCATTAACCGCTGAAAAGTTGCCGGCGCAGAATGTAAACCCATCGGCAAGCGGTTAAATTGGAAGAGACCTTGCGGCGTACGAAAAGCAGTCTTAGGCTTTGATTCGTCATCCAGAGGATGCTGCCAGAATCCAGATAGCAAATCGAGGGTGGAAAAGAATCGCGCGCCCGCCAAGGCATCGAGCGACTCATCCATTCGAGGAAGCGGGTACGCATCTGCCACAGAGATTTTGTTCAGACGGCGAAAGTCGACACAACCGCAGTGAGCCGTCGTGTTTTTTCACCAAAACGATCGGTGCGCCCCACGGACTGTTGGAAGGGGAAATGATATCGGCGGCTAGCATGTCATCAACAGCCGATTTGACATGATCCTTTTCGGCGGGACTCAACCGAAAGGGATTTTGGCGGATTGGCGCGCTGTCACCCGTGTCAATATGGTGTTGCAGCAATTTGGTACAACCAATATCAAATTTGTGTTGACTAAAAACGTCAGCAAATTCGCTCAGGAGAACTCGCAGCTGCGCGCGCTGCGAGTCGGACAGGTCCACTGAACCCGCGCAAAGCGCATCCAGCCATCCGTCATCACAGTCCGAATGCGGTCACGACGGAGGATCGGTGGATACCTGACCCACGAGTGGTTCCTCATAGGGTACCGGCGTTGCGTGTGCAAGCACGGTCCCTTGAGGAACCACGGCCGTTCGCGATCCCACATTAAGGACTGCAATGAAGGGGTCCCCATCCCCTCTCACCATGGTCTGAGCCGCGAGCAAATCGGGTCCATTGACCCCGGCCCGAGATGGTCCCAACAAGACCCCCCTATCCGCAACCCCTTCATTAAACGGCCGACGCAACCTAAGAGGGACGAGCATCTGAGCCCCCGGAGGTACGCGCACAGTTTTTGTCACGAGCGCCTGCACGGTGGCAAACGCCCGACGCTCCGTGGTGGGGGAAGACAAAAAAGTAACGCGTCGGCCCGATGGGAGCTCAATGCACCCCTGGTCAATCAGGATACGGATGGGCATTTTGGCCAAGAAATCCGTCCCCAACAGGCACGGAACCGCGAGTGAGGAGGAAACCAAAACAGGGCCGGATAACTTAATGTCTCCGATGCAGATAGTGGCGCGGATTTGCCCAATAATGCCCAGCGAGCCCCCGTTAGCAGCATAGCATGGCACGTCAACAGGGAGCAAGGGACGACTTTGAACGGGAAGGATGTTATAAATCAAATCAGATATAATGGTCGCCGATGCCCCTGTGTCAATTAAAATCCGCACCTCTACCCCATCAATGTGACCGACCACAACCGATGATCCCGCCGACGCAGCAACAACACGATGGGCGAGCTCCGACCACTGACCTGGTTGGAGCGCTCGCCGCATTACCGAACAATCGCGCACGACGGACGGGAAATTTGGAGCCCTGTTTAGTTGAGCGCGTGAGTGTGTGTCGGATGTGTGTGTGGGCCAAACGTGTGAGGTGCCGCGACTCGCCGTATTTCTCTGCTGGAGCTTGGGAGGAGACGGCGTGGCGTCCTGGCGAGGTGTCGCCCCGCGCTGACGGGGAGCCCGGCATCCTGACGCAACGTGGCCTTGCAGGCCACAGTTGTAGCAGCGTGTGAGCGCCCCTGATGTCCTGGGCTGCTCCTGGCGACTCGGTCCATTCCGAGCCTGTGGCGCCGCCGATCTCCATTCCCCTCGCCGCTCCACCCCGCAGACCTCCTCCGACGGGAGGGCGGTGGCCGCCATGGCATGGCCGGCCGCTCCCTTTGCCACCTTCCGACGTAGGGACCGCAAGCCCCCGTGTATGTGGCGCGCGATCAGCAGGGACGACATCTCCGCGTCGTCTTGAGCCAGGACGTTGACGTCCAGCTCATCAGCGAGTAGCAGCAGCTTCTCAGCTACCATGGCGTCCACTCCTTCCTCGTCCATCCTTGGAAAAGCAGCCTTTGCCAGGGCTAGGAGAGCCGTCCGGAAGGCCAGGGGCGATTCGTTAGCGCCCCGATGCCGATCGTGGAACAGCTGCCTGCAGTCCGAAGGCGGCCCATAGACGGCCGACAGCAGCTGCAACGCCAGGTGTAGAGTGGCGCGCTTTTCCCTAGGCGCCGAGGTGAGGGTAGCCAGAGCGTCGTTGTCCAGCATCGCCGGCAGCGCGCGTAGAGCCTCGGCGTCCGTCCAGTTCGCCATCTCCTGATGAGCGATGAACCGCCTCTTGAAGCCGCCCCAGTCTCCGTCTGCGCCTACGAATTCTTTCAGAGGCGGCAGACGCTGCTGCAAGGCGACGTCCGTGGCTGTAGATCGCTCTCCGTCGCTCCCCGCCGATGATACAGTGTGGGCGGGCTGTGCACATGGCATCGCCGGTCGCTCCGATGTTGACGCGCCGGCCGGTGTTGATGATGTCACGGCTTGTGCTTGGCGCTCAGCAGTCACGTGACGCGGGCCGGCCCCGCCGTCCGCTCGCACTGTAGAGATGGCGGGAAATTTAACCGCCAGCCGCGTCGGGGTGGCGGGAAACGTCGCCGCGCGCCGGCTGCCGTCGTCGACCCGCGCTGCCCCTCCAGCCCCCAGCCGCGTGATCTCCTCCAACGCAGCGGCGGCGGCGTAGAGCAGTTCCGCCAGGCGGGAGTGGGCCAGCCGGAGTCCTTCAGCCGACGCATCCCCCCCCTCTTGTCGTAGCGGCGCGGGCGTACTTGGCCCCGGCTGCTCCGATCCGACCCCGGCCATCTCTGGTGTTGAATCGGCCGCGGCGTCTTCCATCTCCGACTCCTTGGTACGTGTCGTCCCTCGTGTGTCCATCGTTTGGACGTTTTACTTCTGACACCAGATGTAGTAAGTATATGGAGGCTTGACGACAGGATCGGAGGCACACTTATTTATTACACCAACACAGTTATTACAGGTCACTGGGCTACAGGGATTTCTCGACAGCTAACCCCTCTAACCTATACCAATTCCTCCACTACGGAACTAGGGGAGGCTATCTGTCCCAGCTTGGTTAAGCTGGGATCCCGGCTCCCTGAGTCACCAGACCAGCTTCGTCTGGGCTCTCGGGGCCACGCCACCGGCTTGCCCTGGTCGGCCCTTATAAGGACAGCGAGCCAGGGGAGCTCTGGGGCCTACACTAGCAGGTCTTCCGTCTTCTCTGGTTAAAGCTGAGTCCCGACCTCGAGCCCTCGAGCTCATCACCTTTTATAGGACTCCCCCCGAGGGGGGGCCCGTGGGGGACGCACATTCGGACGTCGGTGCGAGCGCCACCCTTGTGTACGGCCGTAACCCCGCCCCTTGTGTTTGTTGGCCATCCGTGGCCATGCATAATCACACCTCAACATTCGTAGCCGTGCGCAATTACACCTCTACACAACGATGGATTTTGCTGCACTGCCCCCTGCTGATGCATAATGTAACAGGTTATTTAAATTGCAACAGGTTTTTTGTTATTGTCACTGAGAGGAAAGGAATATCTTGAAATGTTTTGGCTGACTCGCCTCCTAAAAAAGGCAATTCGGCTGAAGCGTGGAATCTTCCTTGTCTGTCAGAGGCAGTAAAAACAAACAATCGCCCTGTTAGCCATTTTTATTGACCTGTTATATATATTTTTTTGTGCCAGAGTATAATTCAGTACGGGAGCAGGGCTTCCAAACCACAAGAGAAGTTAATTCCCTCTGGGGTTCACGCAGCCCATCGTCGCCCTGGGTTACCACCTATCATCATAATCCATTGTCTCTCCATTGGTGGATAAAGACCCTTGCCCACACCATTGCCATTCCTCGCAGCCCACAGTGCCACAATTAATGTCTCTCCTGCACGCGAGCCGATCTCATTGCTGCTCTCCGCGGCGGTCATCAACTCAAACGTGTTTCCTCCATTGACTACAATTCTGACACCGGCCTTGTCCGTCGGCTATCATCTCCTTCCAGTGATGGGTCCTGTCGAAGTTCATTACTTTCCTCAACAGTCAATGTGATATTCGTTGGTTCTTTCGGTAAAGTCACGTAGATAAAAAAAAACCACGACGTTTCGATCGCAACACAAGCGGTGCTGCGATCGAAACGTCGTGGTTTTTATTTTTATGTTTATTATAAAATATAAAATATCCATGTGACGTTACAGAAACAACCAAAGAATATGATTTTCTGCAGTCACGAAAGTTTTAAGTCAAATGTCAATGTGATGTCTTTGATTTGTGTCTGTTTCCTGATCCACGTGTTTTAATCGTCGTCTCATAAGTGCATCTCCTCTGCACTTCTTCGTGCACATCGCAAACTTTTGTGTGTTTTTTTCTTTGTCAGTGCCCATTAGCTCCGTCTGTTTCTGATCCAGATATCACGACTGTCAGCATGCACTGATGGACAACTTTCTTATTCAGGCATAGCAGCACGGAAATTCCACAACACGCTCGTCACTGCTGATAGTGACATTGACCGCCATGCTCTCGCTTGAGCATCGGAACACGTGAACGCCGGTTTTGGATGCATACTGATAGCTCTTCGGTGTCTTTTTTTAAGTGACAACACAATGATACATGCTCTTTTATTGCTAACGGAAAGATATAAGACCAAACTTAGATCTCTTACACTTATGCAAACTAATAAATACGTTTAAAACAAATTGCAACCCTTTGTCAATTTTCGAATGAATGAAGGCCCTCCCCATGCAGTCTCAGTCATTGGGTTTGTTTGCCACCATACTTCACCACGTGGGCCAGTGCACGTTGGTTAATGGGCGGCCCAGTACGAGTTCTAACACCGCTCACCACTCATTTTTAAATCCTTTATATTAGTTCACTTGCTTGCGCGCTTACGACCATGCAAATCTTTCGGTCGTTTTTTAACCCACTTCCCATGATCCAATCGAGCTGACATTTTGCACACAGACTCGTTGTGCGTGACAATTTATTTTCGTGAAAATTTTTTTTCCATAACTTTACACTTTTTAGGAAAAAATAAATTATATTTAATTACCAATTGCTTAATGGTGGCAGGCAATCATCTGACCCATAGGTGGCAGCCATCTCAAGCCAGAGGACGAGAGGACTCTAGCCGCCACGCATATAAAGGATTTATAGTGAAAAACTTTGTTTTTACGGGTTAATTTTTATAGCCATGGCTTTGAATTTAACTCGGGTCGCCGGGTTTGTAGCGCAGTGCCTGAGCTACTGCGATGCCACTGCTCCACCCAAGAAGTACGAACGTGACCACGTGGGTTTGGTGAAGGGGGGCGGCACATTCTGGCTGTCCCGTCACCGAGCACCCGGCTGGTGATGGGCGCTCCTCTTCAGTGCGAGGGCTATTCAGGTGTGCGCACGGCTCGTTCTCAAGCGTCTCTCTGCCTCGGCAAGGAACTGCCCCAATGAGAATACGTGGACATCACGGATAATGTTTTTTTTAGATTTGGAAAACGTGAAACGTGAACGCACTCGCGTATTGTCCGGGACAATTCGTCGTTGTGAGACATCGGTTGCACCTCATCCGTCTCTGTGTCTCATCTCTCACAGCCTGTCACGCCGGAGGCGCGGGCTGGCTCTGGGCGAGCGCGACGATCGATGAAGCTCGCATCCTGGCCTCGCCGCCTGTCCTCCAGCAAATACTGCAAGATCATCCCAAGTACGCGAGCATACGCCGCACGCAAAGACAAAGACCCCCCCTTATTATAGCCTTAACAGACTGCTGGGGCAAGTGCTGTTTCCGAGCAGCTATAAAAGCCGGAAGGGCACACCAGGGGTCGGGTAGCCAGCACCACACCGACTGCCTTTATCTCCCAAGTGACGATGTTTTCATATTGCACCAGGTTCTCATTTGAGGCTGAGTCGACCTAGGGGAGGCACGGGACCAGTTCAGATAATCGTCACTGGTATTGGCTGTGAGCATGAATTGAACTTGGCTTACGGAGTTTGTAGCGTGCGAACACGCACAACAAAGATAAAGATCCCCCATATAGCCTTAACAGACTGTAGGGGCAAGTGCTGTTAGCGAGCACCTATGAAGGCCGGAACGGCACACGAGGGGGTGGGTGGCCAGCACCACGCCAGACCGCATTTCTCTCCCCAGTGGCGATGTTTACACACCGCAGGTACTCATTTCAGGCTGAGTCGACCTAGGGGAGGCCCAGGACCGATTCAGATAATCGTCACTGGTGTTGGCCGTGAGCGGGAATCGAACCCGTGTCTCCGGGTTCATAGCGCAGCGCGCTAACCACTACACTACCGCTCCCACACGCACACACACACGCACGCGCGCACACACGCGCACACACACGCACACACACGCGCGCACACCTACAAAGACAAAGATCCCCATTGAGAATAATGCATCGAGAAGCGATGATGTTTGCACATCATGGAACCTCAAGCTTGGTGGTGTTGCAGCCGGCAGCAAACGCATTCATCCCCCCGCCACCCACCGCCCTTTATTGATGCTATCAAAGTGTTCCAACCTACCACGTACTTATTTAAGGCTGGGTTGATCTAGGAGAAGTCTAAGTCAAGTTCCGATATCGATTTGACAGTGGTATGCATTTCTTAGAATTTATTGAGTGTAATTGTGATTGTAGTGCACGAATCAACTGCTCCCTATTACATAGAAAATATTTGTATCTGCCATATACATGTATAAAGACATGGACAAAAATCCCCTGGAAAGCCGCAACATACTTTTGGGGCAAGTGCTGTTAGCAAACACCAATGAAGGCCGGCATGGCACACGGGGAGGGTGGGTGACCAGCACCACACCGTGCCGCCCTTGTCTTCCGAGTTGTGATGTTTGCACATCGCACCAGGTACTCATTTGAAGCTGAGTCGATCTAATGGAGGCCCAGGACCGGGTCACATAATAAATCTGTGTCACTGGGTTCGTAGTGCAGCGCATTAACCGCTGCAATACCGCTCCCCCCACCTCATACACACATACTGCATCTCTTTCCAGTCTCCCATGGCCAAACAATTTGAAAAGTTTGGGCCTCATTACATTATATTTACTACAGTCGTCTTTTCACATCGGGCCAAAATATAAAGAATTGCACAGGGTGAACAATATATCCAAAGTTTTCTTTCAAGTTTGAACAAGTTGGTTTGCAGCTGTCTGCTGATGGCTTCCCACCCTTCCCACCCACTCCCTCCCGCCCGCCCGCATACGTTGTCCCGCTGGAGGTTGTGTCATTGAGTCAATCCAGCGGCGGATGAAGAGCTCCAAGTCCGTGCACGTGCACAGCCCTTTAAGCCATGCGCAAGCATTGGGGGCTGCTCTGTTCTTCTTTGGCAGTAGCCTCGTTGAAACAGAAACGTTATTTATACTGGAGAAATCCGATGAGCTATGAAGCTCTTTTTCACAGATGCCCAGTTGGAGCGGGTCAGACAGTTACAACAAACAATATTTAAAAAAACACGATAGGAGTGCAAAGTATAGGAAGGTTAAGCAAATCATGGAAAAAAAACTGGACAACTTTTCTTTTACCAGATAAAGCCCACTGAGCCGCCATTAGCTTCTTTTTCAGAAGTGACCTGGCCACAAATGATAGCTAAACGAAGTGGCTTGCCTTTCATAGCCACACACGCACGCACATTACATATACGTACTGCCTAGTATGTCAGAAACGTTAAACAAAGGTGCATAGATAGCCCTCCCATGTGCTTTCGGGTTGTGCTGCCGTGCTGTCCCGCAAGACTCGCGAAGTTTCGCTCTGTTCTGAAGAATCTCTCGGCACGTGGGGCGAAACATCACACATCGTGCCGAACAACATCGGAGAGTCTTCTTGGTTCTTTCGGTAAAGTTACGTACGCTGTCTTTCCGACAGACCTGTTCTTCACCTGAGGACGGCTGCTTGCGTTGTGGCCGAAACGTCGTGAGAATTATTTTATTATGTTTTATATTTATTATTTTATTACTTCCCTTCTACGTGACTTTACCGAAAGAACCAAGAAGATGAATCCCTGCAGTCACGAAAGCTTTAAATCGAAATTTAACATCGGAGAGCTTTACCCGTCCCCGCAAATGCGAAGCCTTGCCTAGACGCAAGTTATAAGTACATTGTGGGTTTTTTGTCAAGCGGTAAAAAAACAAAACATCGAAAACCCTACACCACAGTAAATGTGCAAAGAGACACTCTCTTCAATTGAGCAGTTGCTTGGGGGTACTGATGCGCCACAGGGCGGTAGTGCAGCAAATGATAAGCTGAGTTGTCTGCATGGATTTTGAAGCATTAGATCACCTATAATGGAACGGGTGTTCTCCCTGCACCGCTAGATAAAGTAAAACAAATATAATGGATGAATGTCACCCCTGCAGCCGCAAGAGTTGCTACATTCACCGCTGCTATAAATCAATTGATTCTTCTTCTTGCTTCTTTCGGTAAAGTCACGTAGAATGGAAATAATAAAATGATAAAAATAAAACGTAATAAAATAATTCTCACGACGTTTCGGCCACAACGCAAGCAGCCGTCCTCAGGTGAAGAACAGGTCTGTCGATAAGACAGAGTCTGAAATCGAAATTCAATTGATTCTTGAATCAAATTGTGAACTTAGTTGGTAACGTAAAAAAATGTCGGCTCTTTATCAACCCACTGCTGGATGAAGGCCAATCCGCACCCCCCCCCCCCCCACAGCTTTCAGTTGTGGGGGTTGGTTGACCATACTCTACCATTCTTCATTTGACTCTAGCAGGCTGGCCACCGTGGGTTCGTGGAGTGGGATTGTCTCCAGGACGAGTTCAGTTATCGCATGCCTAACACGCAGTCGCATGGAAATTAAACCCGTGTTGTGTTGGAGATGTAGCGCATTTATAGCACTGCCAATTTCTCGAAACAGAGCCACCAGCTTTACCCGACGAAAATATATTGTTGACTCTAAACATTCGATGCCCAGATCGTTAAAGCATTTTCCAATTGAATGTGTGCACCGTGTTGGTTTTGGCCGAGAGAGGAGCTGAGCAATGGCGCTCCAGATTGCCTGCCAACCACTTAGCCCACGCTGCCAAGTGCATCGGGCTTGCTTCGAGCCTATTTCGGTTTTCCAATGCAAGCGATGTGCTGAGTTGTTGGCATCGTGCACACACGTGACTCTTTTTAAAAATATAACAAGTTTTGTTTTGTGTCTGGTCGCGGCCTGGTCACCAGTAATGTCACCGAAAGAAACCACGTGATCGTTTGGATTTGCACTCAAATGTCTTTAAAATTCCAGTTCTGAAGGAGGAAAAAAAAGATAGCATTGTGACTCTCATGTGAGGAATATTTACTCTCAAATATAGAATGGGTGGGACAGCGCTGCTGTTTATTGTGTTGATCAGAGGTCACGTGAATAGATGTCGAATGTGGTGCTGTGATGCCCGTTCATGTGGGCCGTTCTCTAACACGAAACTCTGTACTGCTCTGCGGGAGGTCCGAACGTATACTTGATCTCATGACACGAGGCTGATAGCACAATCAGCATACTACTGGGAGGAAAATAAAATCATACGTATTTCAAAAACATGTTTTTATCTTTCTCCAAATTGTATTCCCATTGTGCTAAGAGGAACATGTCATGAGATGAAGAATCCATTCAGAACTTTGCGGTGTCAGAGAATTGCCAATGGAAGGAGATATCCCAGAACTACTTCTGAAATCTCAAGGGACCTTTTCGTCCAACTATTAGGGGGGTGTTCGTCTTGCACATGTGTTCTCGCTGCAGAGAAATGTTCATCACGCACTGATCATTTTTAATACTCGAAGTTGGAATTTTGCCAAAATAAGGGGGGGGGGGGGGGAAATGAAAGTGTTACGATGGGGTTTTTGAGTGCAGTCATTGGTTACCAGGCTCACTCACACCACGTACTCCACTTGAGACCCCAGTTCAATGACGGGCGGCCAATGTGGACTCAACATCGCCAGATCTCAGTGATGTCACCTCAGTGCTCTGGCCTTCGAGTCAAGCAGTCACCTCCAATGCATGCAATCTTAGCCAAGCTTATGAACCAACAACATGTACGGCCGCATAAACCAATAATACCCATTTCCGTTATTAGCTTTCGTTTTGTTTTTATTCACAACACACTTGGGAGCCTTATAATTCACTTTCGAGAACACAACGCATTTATGAGACCAGTCATCGGGAATATGTTTTGGAGATTATTTTATGGAAGGACAGCGCATCCATGCACACACATTGATTCCTCACAACGCATGCAATTCTCTAAATTATATCACGTCCAAGGCATCGTCTCAAAGGAGAGATGACATTTGTTTTTTTTTTGTCACATACCCCCCTAGAGCCTCAGTTTAATCAATCTGATATTAAAGATGCACTTTATTACGTAAATATTTTACACGGATCATGTTTTTTTTACTCGGGAATTAGGCAAAAGGCAAATCCCTCAGGGCAAGAAATGTTGTTAGCATTTTTTTTGTTTGGTGGAGGTCGTAATGAATCAATTAGAATTCTTCAGGTTCTTGATGATTGTCCGTGCATGCCGGAGCTCAGCTGGAATTTCACCCCATCGTGATTAGCTTGACCCCATTGTGGTGAGAGTTTTCCTCTTTCTGTCCCAGCGCATGGATTGGTTAGACTCGAGGGTAGGGCTCAACAGGGGGCGGGGGGGGGGGGGCACGTTTATAATTAAGAGCGAGCGTTGGAGTGAGAGGTTAAAGTGAATGAGTCAAGGGTTAGAGTTAGTGACTGTCATACTTGCCACATAACCATCTTTTTTGGAGGGTGGTGGGGTGGGGGAGATGGACAAATGCTAACAGAATGGGATAATTGGGGTAGACTACCAACACTTGGCAGGGATTTTTGGCAAAAGCTGCTCACTATTACTTAACTGGGTTGGTCATCTGGCATATGGTGCCTATCTTGCACAATTTGCTGTGGCAATTTATGGGTTTTTATTTTTTGGACAGTTTAAAAGGCATTGTACAAGAACAACTGACTTTTGTGATGTACGACGTGGAATTATTTTTCCGTCTCCAATTTCATGATTACGGTACTTTAGCTTTACAATGAGGCACTGTGATTGAAACGAATTCACAGAATAACCACTGTGGCCCGAAGCGATTCATCGCTGAGTGAAGTGATCCATAGATGAAAATGTATTCTGACGCTCAAGGTACATCCGTCATACGGATAATGCAGGCGATATTGAATTCGTGAAAATGTTGTCCTGTGTCTACCAGGTTCACGTGACCCTTACAGCCACTGGATATGCTACATCGATTCTTGAATCGATTCTACAAGAGCAGGGTGGATTGATCAGCAATAGTTACAGGCATATTATGTTTCCTTTGTACACCGAATTTCTGTTCATATTTAAATGTTTCTTTCATTTCTTTCAAACCCATGTTGATTAGTTTAATCCAGCATTAATGCATTTAAATTAGACACGCTTATGCTGCCAAAGTAGTTACGTTTCAAAACCAACTTTAAAGTAAGTGTAGAGTTGTTCCATTCTCTGGAAGGTGTTTTGGGGTGGGTGGGTGGTGGTGGGCAGGTTTGGCTGTCAGCCTGAATTCTCACTTCGGGGCAAAATAACAAAACCACCTGCAGTAACAAAAACTGTATATTCAGCTTAAACAATGCTTTGGGGAAAAAAACAAATTTGGCACTAATTATAAATACAACAAACTGAAGTCACTTCCTGAAATCCTAGATCAAGAAAGGGGGGCAGTGTACCTATCTCTCCTCCGGCATAGGCTGGATTTATCCCCCCGTAATTATTGCGATCCCAATGGAGTTTGCCTCATTACTGCTTGAAGTGGTTCCACTTACCAGCACTTAGGGTCACGCCATTACGTGAGGCAATATAGAGAGGGCTTTATTTTTTGTTGAGATACACACGCCGTGAAATAAAGACACAAAACATTTCGTAAAAACTTAGAAAAATAGTGGGGGCTGGTATTTTTTTTGGCCTTGGGAGCATGAACTTGAATTGTTTATGCTGGCTAAATACAACAGGTGACGTCAGGGTTTTCCAAACTCCAGTCCTCGTAAGCCACCACCACGCTACATTGTCCCACGTTCACCAATTTACTCCCCATTCAAGTACAAAATTAGCTCGTTCCACGCCGTGAAACTATCGCCGATCTCCGCATCACGTTGAAGTTCAAGTTCATTTATTAGGTATAGCCCTGTGAGCCATTCGGCTCTTGAATCGGGTGCAACCGCAACAAACAAAAAACATGAACAAAAACATCTTAAAGTGAATATGTGACTAAGTGCAAACAGAAAATCCAAGAAAAGACAGCAAAGTATTGCAGAAAAAAAATCACGGTACACCAACGCTGTGTGCAAAAATCCCAGTGGGATGCAAGTCAAACAACCAACAACAACCACAAGACAACTTAGATTAAGGTCATCAGTCTAACTCTGTACTACAACAAACAAACATGGCTAAACCAATACACTTTTCGAAATCACCAAAATAAAGCCATGAAAGCAATGAAACAGTGATCATAGGAGAACTGTGACGGAATTTTCACAATAAATGCCATAAACAACATGTACCACCAAAACACTGCAGCCATAGCTGGCTGCATGAGTCACTCCACAACAGCAGCAGGAGCATCAATCGGAGTATTATAATTTTTCAATGCACCTTAAAGATCAGCAACACTAAATCAAAACACAGGTTACACTTTGCAGCGAGCCCAGGGCAGCACCGTCGACGTTTGCGGACGTCGCGCACTCCACCGCAGTTGCTGCGTTCCCTTCTTTCCTCGCACAGCCAAGAAGACGGAGAGGGGGGCCACGCGGGAGGTTGGACCACGCGGCCGACGGAACGCCATCCGGCCCCCGGCCCGCGAGTACGCCGTCGAGACGCTGGTGGTGGCGGCGAGGGACGTGGTGGAAGAGCACGGCACTGAGGGCAGCACCAAGCTGCTGCTCACCGTCATGAGCATGGTGTGTCTCGCGGCGGTGGCGGTGGCGGCGTGTGTGTGTGTGTGGCCGTAGTGCGGCGGTTAGCGCCACGCTGCGCTATGAACCCGGCGAACCGAGTTCGATTCCCGCTCACGGCCAACACCCAGTGACGATGATCTGAACCGGTCCTGGGCCCTCCCCTAGGTCGACATCAGCCTCAAATTAGTACCTGGTGCGGTGTGTAAACATTGCCACTGGGGGAGACAAAGGCGGTCGGGCGTGGTGCTGGCCACCCACCCCCTCGTGTGCCGTGCCAGCCTTCATAGGTGCTCGCGAACAGCACTTGCCCCTGCAGTCTGTTAAGGCTATACAGGGGATCTTTGTTTTTGTGTGGCACAGTAGGGGCCCCCACAGTGGTGCATCAGCCAGTCATCTCAGTCAGTCGACCTGTGGCACGTGGGTCTGACCCCGTGTCCTCAACGTGCACGTAGCCTGGCACAAGCGCCATGGTGACGTCACCGCCACTTAGTGGCGAATGGCAGTTGATGTTCTAACAACAAGTGCCCCAACAGTCTATTGAGGCTATATGGGGTATTTTTTTACGTTTTTTTTGTTTGCATTCGTGCAGCGATTTGCGCGCTGCGCTTCGCGCTCACAGTCAACGCCAAGTGACGATTGTTTAAATCGGTCCTGGGCCTCCCCTAGGTCGACTCAGCCTCAAAATGAGTGCCTGTGATTGGTGTGTAAATATTGCTGCCAGACGTGGTACTGGCCCCCCACCCCCTCGTGTGCCGTGCCAGCCTTCATAGGTGCTCCCTAACAGCGCTCGCCACACAAGTCTGTTGAGGCTATCGGTGGAGCGATATTTGTCGTCTTAGTTTTTGCACCACGTAACCCTGTGTAGACGTTGTTCATTTGGCAGCTGTGATGTGATTTAAAAGGTAGAGGTCAAGGTGCAGCCCTGAAATTGCTCGTTCACGCCACTGCTGGTGAAAGGGCCTTGGCTAGAGAGAGTTCTAGAAAGCGTTTCGAGAGGCTATTTTAGCTTGTTGTCCTTCCGCCGCACCTCCGATTAGCATGGTTGGCTACATACGGTACATACATTTTGGACTACTCTTCCACACCGGTCAGATGTCGTGAAATAGTTTGGTGTTCCCATACCTTATCCCACCACACACGTGCCCTGCCGATCGACCCATTGTGGTGCGGACCCATTAATACTCCCAACTTTCAGGGGCTTTTAAAAAAAATACATCAATGAAGTGAAAGATTGCACGATCCCTCAAACTCTGTCTGATCTACGCTGATGTGTGTGTACACGTGCGCGTACATGTGTACTTCTGGAGATGGCTTGTAAAACAAAAATAAGTTTTAAAAAAATACAATTTCTTTTTGTTGGCAGAAACATTGTAAGGATTTATCTGGCTTAAAAAGAAAATATCACTCTTGATGGGTTTGTTTTTATTTCTTTTATTTTCGAGCAGGATCTAAAGGGACTGCGAATGTTTACGTCCCATGTGCCTCCCTCCGAATCTCCCGATTGGATAAACCCGACAGAATTTTCTGAAAACACTTTGATGGCATGCCTGGTCGTTACGAATGAGCAGATTGTCTGAGATTTCCCACTGCGTCCAAATGGACGCATTTTAAGACGAATAGTTAGCGATAGACCCGTAGGACTGAATTGGTGGTGGGGGGGGGGAGTCAGCCCCCCCCCCCCTCCATTCTGAAGGTTCAGCTCCCCTTCAAAATTATTTAGAGTCGAGTCAACAACTCTGGCTACAATATTTAACACCAGTGATGTTTTTTTTTCCCTGATATACATAGGGCAGGTGTCGGCAACCAAAATAAGAAGAGCCATTTCTTTCCAATTCGGTACAAAATTCAGTATTTCAAGAGCCGCAATGCATCTGAGTACATACTGTACATACGTACATATCGTCAAGAAGCAGCCCGTAAAGAGCCGCATGCGGCTCCGGAGCCGTAAGTTGCCGACCCCTGACATAGGGGATGGGAGTGAGGGCAGAATGCGCAATAGTCCAAAGCAGACGATTTTGTTTCTGATTCTGTTCAGCATTTAGCATCGGTTTAAAGTTTGTTTAACAGTGACTGTCCTCCCCCCTCCATCAGAGTTTGTGTATCCCCCCTCCACCATATTAACGAGGTGACGCTGCAGGGTTGCTTCGTGAAACATCTATTACGCTGCGATCCGAGGCTAAATCCTTTGCTCACGATTCACCACGCGAGTGGAAAACGGAATCTGAAGCAGCCTTGGGCTTCCCCTCCCACCCCCCCGTCCATAAGTGGAATCTCGTCTGGTGCGCTGTGTCAATGTCAGCGCAACACTGTCAGCACACACACTGGGGAGGAGACAAACGTGGCCAGGTGTTATACCCAGAGGCAGGTGCACTGCCAGCCTTAATTAGCGCTCACGATTTCCTGTAAATGTACGAGGACACAAGTGCCCCTGTATAGCTTCATAGAATTTTGGGGCAAAGTGCTGTTGGCGAGAACCCGGGCACGCACGGTGCACAGAGGTGGTGCGGCGTGGTCTGCACCGTTCGCCGCTTCATTTGCCTCTGCAATGCGGATGTTTGCACGCCACACGAGAAGTGTATAAATCCATTCGCCGGGCAGCAGATAAAACTCATTTCTTGAGAAACTGGATTTTGTGTTAAGTTTGTGTTCCTTCCTCCTGCACATCCAATTAGTACGGGATGGTGTGGAAGAAGTTCAACATACATACAAGGCTGAGTCGTCCTAGGGGAGGCCCAGGACCTGTTTCTATCTCACTGGCCACTGATGTTAGCCGTGGCTGGGAATCGAACTCAAGGTTGCCGGGTTCTGATTGCATTGTGCTCACCACGGCGCAATTGCTCCGCACCGGCGCACATATGTGAATGGAAACATACGCATTCATTGCATTGAGTGTTTTGCAACATGTGGAGGTGAGCTCGTGCTTGCGTTGTTGTTGTTGTTGTTGTTGTTGTTGTTGTTGTTGTTGTTGTTTCCTTTCAGGTGTACAACATCTTCCAGCACTCTAGCCTGGCCATCCCTATCCACGTGCGCCTGGCCCGACTGGTCCTGCTTCATGAGCACCCGGTAAAGATGATATGCAAGCCACTCATCCTGAAAGTCTCGCATTCTCTTGGCTCTAGCGCCTTTAACAAACCAAAATTGTCATTGTCGCAGTACAACATAAATGTTGATTGTAATACTGCTACCATTCACGACACCATCTCATGCTCCCTCCTAAATGGCGTTCTGTCTCTGTGCCACAGTTTATGTAATATTGTTGAATTGCCACGAGTGGCAGCTTTAAGCTGTGCGTGTTTTGGCACTGTGTATTTAGAAAGTTATGTTCACTATTAACAATAGGATTAGTCAGTTTTGAAATGCTATATGTTTTATAACAAGCTCTAATGCTTTCGGCTAACATCAAGATGCCAATCCATACGTATTACATTTCCTGTCACTATTTGTGCCTGACTGTGTGGCTCTCATCAGATCGTGGGCACCTAATCATGAAAAAGTATTATGGGCTAAAAATATGAAATGCACGGAGAGAACGTCTTGCTAATCCCCTGAATCCCAGCCAAACCAAACAGTTGCTTTGCTATTACTCGAAATAAGAAATATATAGATAGATGCATAATCACGCCTTCATGGTTTGAAGCTTTATTAAATACATTAGGTCACCCTTTTGGCTGTGGTGGTCAGTTCTCTGCCAGCCGAGAAGGGCTCTTCAAATAGAGCAGTATTCTCCGGGCCAGTTCACCTAAGGCATTCATGATATTTTCCAGTAGCGTCCCTTGGCTCCCCTTAGTGGGTACAAATCACTCTATCCTCAGCTTAATGTTGCACACTCGAAATGAAGGACGTGGGCAGGTGCTCCAAATCGAGGGCAAACACATGTATTGTGGTTAATCTGTAAGATGCAACAGCACGTGTGTCACACACAGCAATTCTTCAACCGAGTCGCCATCAACCATGTGACTGGTGTACAAGTGTGGTTATTCAATAACCAGCCACCTACAGGCCCAACTCAGTCATCACATGCTGCTGTACACACGTGCATTGATGCACTGCACAGCACATCAATACTTTCACAGAACCACACTTTACTCCCTTGCCGCACAAGGAAATAATTAAAAGAGTGGTCCATTCCTAATGTGCCACATTAATTACTGACCGAATATGTTTTCCCGGCTGCTGGTAGACTTTATTAGACGCGTGACTAGTCACCAAAGCCAGAGTGAAAGGTATACTGGATGTGGTGAGTCCAGGGTGCGAAAATATTTTCCATGTGACCGAACACTTGTAGGCCTAGCTAAAATTAAGCCCTGAATCTACTCCTGAATTTCCAGTTTCAAGTGACATTTGCAGGGGGCTGAATATAATAATTTGGCTGTAGAGAGAGTCATTTCTTCAGGACTACTGTGTTTTTTGGGGAACAGTTTTGTCAGAAAACTGGTACGATGAGGCCCACTGCTGGAACATGAAACATTGTCTCCACATTCTATTCATTCAATGAAACCACCTGTGCAGTTAAGCAAACCACGCAGTTAAGTAAACCGTGAATCATCTCCTGAGATGCCCTGCAGCACCACAATACTCTTCTCAATATTTGGCAATGCTAACCCCGGAAGCGGTGGCCTGTGCAGAATATCGGAGAAATATTAGAGAGGTTGGACAGGAGACACGACGAAGAAAGAAAAGACAGTCCTGGAGTTCATCTTCTTGGTTCTTTCGGTAAAGTCACGTAGAAGGGAAATAATAAAATAATTAACAAAACAATAATAAATTGTTTTTTTGTATTATTTCCCTTCTACGTGACTTTACCGAAAGAACCAAGAAGATGAATCCCTGCAGTCGCGAAAGCTTTAAATCGAAAGCCCTGGAGTTATTTGTTCATGGCACTGCCTGGCGAATGGCCTCCGTTAGTAGGAGCCCCTCCAGTGGGATTTTAGACCTACTCTCCTGCCTGTAGAAGTCACCGAGAAATACACATTGTCAAAGAAGAGGGGAATTTGAGGCCATCGCCAGTTTTGAAACAGGTTTTTACGAAAAAAAAGTCTCCAGTACACCGAACCAAATAGTTAAAATCGTAATTTAAGTGATTTTCAACTCTTTGTCAATCTACTGCTGGATGAAGACCTACTCTATGTCATGTCAGTCATGGGTGGTTGTTTTGTCCATACTTCACCGTGCTGGTCAATGTGGGTTGGTGAAGGGAGGGGCCCAGAATCAGTTCAGATACCCACCCACCACTGACATCAGTCATGGCCAGAAATGTAACTCTGAATATATTTGAACATAATTAAGTGAAGCAGTTTTGGGCAGTGACGGATTGATAGCCAAGGGATGGGATGCATCTGAGGGGAGATGGAGTGTTGAAATCAGCCCGTGTGCGGGTGCTCGGTGGATTATTGTATTGTGGGATCATGAGAGATGGTGAGATGACTTGGGGAGGCCTTTGTCCAGCAGTGGATTGATCATGGCTACTGCTGATAAAAAAATATAATCTACGTTGGAGTGTGCTTCTCATTTATTGTGCCACTCTCGGCACTTGCTGGAGTGGCAAATCTTTGAAAGTGTCGAGCAAAGTCTGGACTTACCTCCACGTATGAGAAAAGAGGGCTTTAGCACTTAAAGTAACAAGCTAATACCTACTATAATCACCCAGGAATGTCTATCCATAACACTCGTGACGTCACTCCACATTGACCAGCCCCCCTCATTAATAATCATGAACAGGTGACGTCCTCCAAATAGACCCCCCCCCCCTCATTAATAATCATGAGCAGGTGACGTCACTCCACATCAAACAGCCCCCCTCATTAATAATCATTATAAGGTGACGTCCTCCAAATAGACACCCCCCCCCAATTCATAACAATTAGTGGCTGACGTCACTCCACATGGGGGGCCGAGGTGCCTCCTCCCCCCTCCTCGGCGTCAACTCACAACCCTCACTACAAAGGCAAAACCCGCACGTCACGCGATCTCCGTAGCGCTGTTGAGACATCAAAGTAAAAAGGACGTCGTGATGAACAAGGGATTATAATAACCTTTAAATGAAATATGTCTGTGTCACTGCGCCCTTACAAATTGCACACGCATTGATGCAATGAATATCACGTCGCAGTCTGATTTTCGCTTGCAAGTTTCACATTTACTGCAATACACTCGTCCTTGGACGGGCAAAAGGCTAGTGTGTAATAGCAATACTGGGATCGTTGCGGTTTAGTACGGTATTGGACGAGATAAGTTATGATAATGGGTGTCTTTCGCTGATTACTCTTTCTGTAGAAATTCCAAGTAAAACAGCTTGAATTGATTGGGGCTGCCAGCTGCATTTGAATAATCTTGGACCTTTGGCATTCCATGCTAATGAACGTTAATTATCTTGGATGTAATTGATTTAATTACTGATTTCTCTTCCATACTTACTCATGTCTTAATTATACATTCTCAACTGCAAACATACAATCAGAAGTACAAGTACATTTGACGAATATTCATTAACTAGTCTTTGGTAATGGCGCGGTGACACAGACCTATTTCATTTAAAGATTATAATCCCTTGTTCATCATGACGTCCTTTTTACTTTGATGTCTCAACAGCGTTACGGAGATCACGTGACGTGAGGCTTCTGCCTTTGTAGTGACGGTTGTGAGTTGACGCCGAGGAGGGGGGAGGAGGCGTCTCGCCCTCCCCCCATGTTGAGTGACGTCACCTGCTTATGATTATTAATGAGAGGGGAGGGTGCTCCATGTGGAGTGACGTCACCTGCTCATGATTATTAATGAGGGGGGGGGCATGTGGAGGACGTCACCTTATAATGATTATTAATGAGGGGGGCTGTTCGACGTGGAGTGACGTCACGAGCGTTGCACACATACATTCTTGGACCATTATATATAGGTAATAATAATGGTTGGGGGGGGGGGGGTCCATTTGGAGGACGTCACCTGCTCATGATTATTAATGAGGGGGGCTGTTTGATGTGGAGTGACGTCACTTGCACATGATTATTCGTGAGGGGGTGGAATACTCCATATTGAGTGACGTCACCCGCTCATGATTATTAATGAGGGGTGGGGGAGGGTGTCCATTTGGAGGACGTCGCCTGCTCATGATTATTAATGAGGGGGGCTGGTCGATGTGGAGTGACGTCACGAGCGTTAAGGACAGACATTCCTGGGTGATTATAGTGGGTATACTGAGGATATACTTTATATTTGCACGTTGCAGTGCATGTTAATGCCCACTTGGAATTACGTAGTTTATGATGTAATTACAACAAATAACAGCCAAAACAACGTCAGAGAAAATTAATCGGCCGTTACAAGTGGACTCCCCCCTCCCCCCCAATAAAATCAAGTCCATCCACCGGCTCGGCATTGATCTGGCCAGCCAGTGTAAGGTCACTCAGATACATTGTTTTGCGGGGACTTATCGGATAGCAATTGGGGAAGCCGCACTTCGATGTGCTGGCCATCGTTAACAATAACTGGCAAGCCAATTCTAGATTTGAAGCTTTCGTGACTGCAAGGATTCATACTCTTAGGTTTTTTCGGTAAAGTCACGTAGGTAAAAAATAAAATTTAAAGTTAATAAAAGTAATAATGTAAATAAAATAAAATTATAAATCACGACGTTTCGGAGGCAACACAAGTCTCCGTCATCAGGTGGGACCGTCACAGCTAAAATTACTGCATCAAGTGAGGAAAATTCCAAAAGACCAGCCCTTAAATACATTTTTCTCACTTGATGCAGTAATTTTAGCTGTGACGGTCCCACCTGATGACAGAGACTTGTGTTGCCTCCGAAACGTCGTGATTTATTATTTTATTTCCATTATTACTTTAATTAACTTTTAATTTTATTTTTTACCTACGTGACTTTACCGAAAAAACCTAAGAGTATGGCAAGCCAATGCCTGAACTGACCCTGGTTCCCCCCGTACCCCGCGTCACCAACCCACGTGACCAACGTGGTGAAATACGTTCAGAACGGTCCTCCCGACCGACAGCAGTTGATTGTCAATGGGCTGTTCAATTAATTATTAAGAATAACCCTCCCTTTGATGCTGCTAATCCTGCATAATGCATGGGCATAATGACTTTAAACCCCTCGCCAAACCTCCTACGCATTTCACAAGTAGTACTAATCGCATATCTGCATTTTCCATAAATATGCAAAATTCCTCTTGATATGCAAATTATTTTGTCAAGGCGCTCTCCCCCCCTCCATCTCAGCTTAAAAAAGACGCTCCAAGCCTGGGGTTGTCATTCAGACTCTGTCTCCTTGACAGACCTGTTCTTCACCTGAGGACGGCTGCTTGCGTTGTGGCCGAAACGTCGTGAGAATTATTTTATTATGTTTTATTATTTTATTATTTCCATTCTATGTGACTTTACCGAAAGAACCAAGACGATGAATCCCTGCAGTCATGAAAGCTTTAAATCGAAAGTTAAGAATAAAGTAATTCAGTCAAAGAGTGTTTGCCAAGGCAGACCAGGAGAAATGAATTAGTGACCTTCAGTGGTAGAGTACATCAATTTCAGTGGAGTCGTGAGAGGCAGTGCCCTTTATTTACCCAAGAAAGTCACACCGAATGTCCACACTCCTGCAGGCGGATATTTTGACCAATTCCCGTTAATTTAAGTTTTAAAAAAATGTTAGCATGTTAGAGGAAAGCCGGAGTACCCGGAGAAAGTAGATTAATATGATTGGATATAACTCAAAGCTGATACACACGTGGTTTAAAGAATCCGTTGCTCTGCTGTCATTTCATTGCCACCTAGCAGCCCAAACACAAAACACCTGATAAGTCAAAGCCAGATTCCTATCCAAATAATAACTCATCTCAAACCTGCTTAGCTTACGAGATCTCATGAGATCAGTCACGCTCAGCGTGATTTCGCCATGATCTAACAAACTCACATTGTGTGTAATCTTGGTTTAAAGAGCCAGCTTCATGCAATATGCAGTAATATAATACATTCATATTTCTAACATACATGCTCACATACTCTATATTTTATTAAATAGAGTTTGAATTGTAATAATTTAACACGTTATAATGGCAGTGGTGATGATGTTGGTATCAAGCAGCTAATCAAATGCAAATAATACTGGTAGGAACCTCCTGGTTACACCAGCCCACAGGGGATTATTGTGTCCGTCGTGCAGGGAGGTGGCTGCGTGGGGAGGGTGGGGAGGGGCTGGGTGGGGAGGGTGGGGAGGGGCTGGGTGGGGAGGGGCTGGTCACCCCGTGGTGCCCTTATAAAACTCAACGTTTAACCTACTCACGCCGGCTTGTGCCCGCCCTCACAGTCGGACATATTTGCGGAATACACCACGCCGCCGTTGACCCTGGCCATTGACCTAACAACCCAACGTTCCTACCAGCTCCATCCGCAGAAATGTGTTTTTAAAATCTGTATTCCTGAAACTTAAGGGGGGGGGGGGGGGGGTTACACAACAAATATCAGTCAGAATTGCTCGGTATTTCAGCAAGCAGTCTGCCATGCGCCGTAAGCCAAAGTCACACGACCGTGGGTACGTTTAGAACCCGGATATGATCCACACCGTGGTAGACCTTGTGTTGAAAGTGAATTAAGTGAATGCTTCCAGAATCTTTCCCTTTTCATCATCGTTCTCACATTTTCACGTCATGATTCTCTCCGCATATTTTAGCGAATATTAGTTTAAACATTGAGTTGTGCTCGAATGCAGTGTTTGTCAAAAAAAGTTGAAAAAGAAAATAAATCAGCCTTCACATTTGTCAGCAGAGCAGCAGAGCCATGTTTTTTTTTTGCAAAATGGTGTTTTTCAAAACTTGGCTTACACGTAATTAAAAAAAACCCAACACGTTCCAACTCTATTCACTCAGACTCCCGATTTTCCAAAGCACTCGTCAGTCAGCCACGCTGTTTGGATACTTGAGGGTTTCATTGTGCCGATTAATTGCCGACTGTTTATGAAATTCGCCGTTCCCGTGCCTGCATCGGGGTTCTGCCGTGGTGGTCTTCTTTCGTGTGACTGACGTAGATCCAGAGCAACAACTGCAATTTCACCCTCAGGTGCCGTGGTGTAATGATGGCAATGATGGTGAGCACACTCGACTAGCAATCCAGAGGCTTAATAAAATAATTCTCACGACGTTTCGGCCACAACGCAAGCAGCCGTCCTCAGGTGAAGAATGAAACACCACCAAGCTTGGAGCGTATATTTAAGCTGGGTTGGAGGGGGGGGGGGAGAAGAGCGCCTTGACAAAAGAATTTGCATATCAAGAGGAATTTAGCATATTTATGGGAAATGCGTGGGAGAATTATTTTATTATGTTTTATTTTTATTATTTTATTACTTCCCTTCTACGTGACTTTACCGAAAGAACCAAAAAGATGAATCCCTGCAGTCACGAAAGCTTTAAATCGAAATTTAATCCAGAGGCTGTCTGTTCGACTCAAACTTCCCGGCGCGGCAGTTGAAAGGATGTTGCAAGCTTATTAACACCCCCCCCCCCCCCCCCCATGTGTCTGTCCACCCAGGAGTATAAATGGGTACAGCACGGTTCATCGATTGGGAGATCAGGTGTGGTGGGATAAAGCGTGGGTACCCCCTGGAGGGTGCTCTCTAGAGTGAGCTCTCTCTCTCTCTTGGAAGCTGTTCTACCGGCAGTGGCATGAGGATCAGGGCTGCACCGTTTTGCCTTTTGCCTTTCTCTTGTCTGCAGGAGAGTTTGTACGTGGGCCACCATGGAGAAAGGACTCTGCAGAGCTTTTGTCGCTGGCAGAACAGCGAGATGGGCCACGGGGCGTCGTCCCAGGCTCCCCCCTTTGACGCCGCCATCTTCGTGACCAGGTACGTCACCGCACACAATTTTGACGCACGCATGTACTTCACTCTTTCGTAGTTCAAGTGCTCCGAGGTCGTTTGATTCACAAGCTGGACGCTTTTGAGCTTAAGACCCGGCCCGGGTGTCGAGTACCGCATTGCGGAAAGTCAACAGTGGTTATTCGATGAGAGACAGACACTTCCCCACCATAGGAAGGTGGAATTTCCACCACTTGACCAAAAGCCCAAAACAGAGATGAGAACCAACCTCGTGCTCGCTCGACGAGGATGATACTTAGACATGAACTTCACGCATTGTCGTATGATGATTTTTCTTTTTGAAAGATCTTCCAACCAATTTTTTTGTCCTCTAATGTGCTGATAGTACATGTTATTTAAATAAAGCGCTCTTGTAAAAATTTGGTCATTATTCACATACGTCTTCTTGGTTCTTTCGGTAAAGTCACGTAGAAGGGAAATAATAAAATAATAAAAATACAACATAATAAAATACATATTCTTAGGTTTTTTCGGTAAAGTCACGTAGGTAAAACATCAAAATTAATAAAAATAAAATAAAATAAAGATCACGACGTTTCGGAGGCAACACAAGTCTCCGTCATCAGGTGGGACCGTCACACCTGATGACGGAGACTTGTGTTGCCTCCGAAACGTCGTGATCTTTATTTTATTTTAGTTTTATTAATTTTTATGTTTTACCTACGTGACTTTACCGAAAAAACCTAAGAATATGAATCCTTGCAGTCACGAAAGCTTCAAATCTAGAAATAATAAAATACAATTCTCACGACGTTTCGGCCACAACGCAAGCAGCCGTCCTCAAGTCACGAAAGCTTTCAATCGAAATTCTCACATACGCTTTAGCAGCACAACTTTTGCCTGCATTATGACATGGCCACACACGTAATAATCTATGAAAAGCACGCCCAACTTGTTTGGCTAAAGTGCACTTGTAAAAAAAATGGTTGGAAAGCGATGCTTTTCAGAATTGTGAGAATTGTTTCGGGGCTGTGGGTGCAGGGGAGAAGTGTGTTACGATCAATCGACATTCAGGAATTGCCCACCCATGTGGCTACAAGCCTTGATTAAAGGGGGTTAGGAAGGAGAGGGCATGCCAGGTACAACCCCTCAGCTGTTCTTTGAAGACCGCATTCCACATTTTGTTTCGAGATTGACTGAAACTGATCACGTGTTTTAAACTCACGTTAGAACAAAAGTAATACCTGTGGTTTCATCATCAACAGCCATGTTCAATCTATTGCTGGATGAAGACTTCCCCAATTCGATGGTTTCACTATCTTATATGAATGAACGCATTTACTGTTTTCATGCTTCTTTAGATTGAAAAATGTGAGCATGACACCGATTTCACTTGTACAAACAATAGTGTTGTCTTTCTTATGCGCTTCACACGTGTCGGATTGGTGATACATTGACAGTTTGAGAAATTTCGATTTAAAGCTTTCGTGACTGCAGGGATTCATCTTCTTGGTTCTTTCGGTAAAGTCACGTAGAAGGGAAATAATAAAACACTAAAAAATGAAGAACAGGTCTTTCCGACAGACCTGTTCTTCACCTCAGGACGGCTGCTTGCGATGTGGCCGAAACGTCACGAGAATTATTTTATTATGTTTATTTTTATTGTTTTATTATTTCCATTCTACGTGACTTTACCGAAAAAACCAAGAAGTTTGAGAAATATTAACTGAAATGCAGTTTCCTGGATTTTACACTGCTCATGTGGATTGACAGTGTTTAGGCGGCATTTAATTGTGTTCAACAATTTTATCTCCCCTGTGGACTCGCAGACAATGGTTTGATCTTTCTCTATTATGAAACACATCTTTGTTTTTTTTTACGATGAACATCGCACATCACTATCCATTGGTGTCACAAATCCCAGATCAGTAATCAAAGGTTTTTAACAATTGGGGTTGTGCCATTTTATAAACCTTAATTTTGATAGGCATCAGATTTTGCCAAGAGGGAAAATTTGACTTATGCTGTTACTGGCTTACATCCCGGAAATTAACAATTGCAACATTACACACAAATCTGTCACATCCTCGAGCCAAGTTCACTTTAAAACGTGCAGCACCCATGTGCTTTTGGCCTGTGGCCCCATTGAGACACATAAAACAGTCCGTGTTTTGTCAATGCCCAGCAGTTTTTAGGACCGCTTAAATAACTTGAAACTCACGCATCCCAACGTGGATTCCCAAGGCTTCAGCCCGATTAGTTGCAGTCCGGTTGTGCGTGCTCCACTGTGCAACGGCAACTGAATGGCTGGACAAACGGATTAATTAATAGAGTCGCCAAATGAACGTCTCGCTGGGTTCGATTTCACCCTTTTTGTTGAGTCGCCAATCACTTATCCGCGGACGGCGTTGTGTTGGGCCTCTGCAAGCACTTTGTGGGCTGAAGCCGCACGTGATTGAATCGAGCGCCTAATCCCACATTTATTCCGGCAACGTTGGCCTCACGCGCCCTTTTGTGTCCTGCCCTTTTGAAGCGGTGGGCTTTCTCCCCAGATTCTAATGGGCGCAGAGTGCTGACCTCCGGAAAAAAATGCTTCAGCTATGAACGGAGCTTGCCTGCTCTCACGACACCAGCAACGAACTGCAAAATGACCGCACATGTGCTTAATTGACTTGTGCAACGGTTTTTTTTTTAATAATCGTTGAACTATCCAACTTGTTACGTTAAAAATCAATTAGGCCGTGCGAACACAATGTTTCGGCCAGATTTACAACTGAGTGGTACTTCTCTGGCATTGCCACATGATTTAGCACATGTTGGATATAATATCTATTACCTTTTAAAGTTTTGAGTGATTTGGGAGAAACGGGAACTACATTTGAATGCACAGGGTTTTATTTTCATCTACATTTAAGTTGAAGAAACACTGCACACTGAAAGGTAGAGTTTGTCGTCAGAGATGTGAAAAGAGAGACCAAGCAGGAAGAGATATTATCTTGGTACAGACATGTAGGACAGGGTGCTGTGTAAGCAATCCACAGAAGATTCTGGGTCGTTTATAATTTATCACAGGTTATAAAAGTGGGAGGACATGTGATTCGTTTTGGCCTCAGTGCTTTCGGCCACGACCCATATTACTCTGGTTTCACACAATAAAAGTCATCTTCGGTTTAGTTGTTTGCAATGAGGAATATTCTTTAAATAGCGACTATAAAAAACAAGGAGATGCATCATTCTGTCATTGCATTAAATATTTATTTTCAATAAGGGTCGACATGCTAGCATGAAGTGGTTTTCAATTACAAGGTGCACTCTTATGGAATGAGAGGTTTTGGGCACGGAAACATTGGGATGAATGTTTAAAGATAATTATCATCCTGTAATAATGATAGTTATCAATGTATGGCCTAAAACACTGATTTCGCTTGGGGACAATTGCATGTTACCTCATAAAAGCCTTTTCATTGCACTGGTGGTGGGTGGTCACTGATTGTCAAGCTGATATTGCGGATACTCCCCCCTTGCTCTTGGTTAAATGGTGACACACGGTCTGCAGTGGTCAGTTTGTGTGCGGCAGAGGCATTACATTCTTATTTCACCAGGTTAACAATTCATACCAATTAACTTTCCCTTATTTGTCATGATGATCATTATTTTACGAGTGTAAAAATAATAGGCCGTTATCGTGTGTGTGTATGCGTGCTGCACATGTGTACATTGTTCTTTAAAAGGTGATTTTAAAACGAAATTGCTTTCAAATTTAAAAATTTGACTCGAGTAAAAAAAAAAGTGCTCTCTCAATGATCACAATTTTACTGTTCCCACAAATCGAATCAGGTCGTGCTGACGTGCTCCGTTCAGTTTCAGTATGAAAGTGAACGTGGCCCAAATGTGAAGCGTGCCGTATTGACCGCACTTTAAAATAAGTACCGTTTGTGAATAACGTGAAACAACAAAAGTGCCAATTTTCATCTTTGACAATTTGCGTTTCTTTTTGTTGCATCTAGGACAGATTTCTGCGTGCACACGGACGAACCTTGTGACACTGTCGGTAAGTCAGTCTTTAATATATGCCCACACACACTTATTCCTTGCTTGTTTTACTCATGGAGGTGACCGTTTACCTTTTAAAATATTTGAATCGAAAAACAAAGGAAACTATCAACGAATGCAAAAAAAAATTCGCAGCATGTTAGCGAACTACGTTCCATACGCTCCCCTCAAGATCTGTCACAGGATGTAACTTTCTTTACAGTGCCAACTTAATTGGATCAAGTTAAAACACTGAAGCTTAAAGAACTGTACCATGTTATAACGGGTTTTTTTTTCTTTCATGAAATGCGTTAGAGTTTCACTTTGAAAAGGAAAATCAGTTGCAGATGTTGGGAATTTTGTTTCGGGACAAACAAGACTTTACTTTTTTTTCTCCCCCTCTCTGAAATACAAGCGTGCGCAGTTCGTCGATGATGAAAGCGCCGTTACTTATCCGAGTACCTTTGGCATTGAGTCACAGCCCTCGTGTGCCCATGGATAGTCCTGGTAGATTTGTTTCACGAGATTACCCACCTAAAACGTAAACTCAACTCGACACACGTCGGATTTACCTTAGCATGGCCATGCGGTGGAATAGTCACGAAAAAATCGAACTTCTTTCACCTCACCCGCTGGAAATTAAACCACCCACTTAAGCGAGCTGATTTCCAACTGTAAAGCGGTTTACGAAAGCCATTCCGGCCGGTTACGTGGACACATTTTTGGAGGGTTTATTTTTTTGGGTGAGGGCTGTGGGGTGGGGGAGTTACTACTTAGTAAATTGTACTATTGCTATTTAAATTTTGAATTATTTCCAGCATATGCAAACAATTACAAACATTCCAGCCTGTCGATTATCGAGACTGAAAAAAGGAGATGCGTCACAATGAAATGTTCTTTAGGTGCATGACGTGTCTCCCTCGCAAGGCAAGGTACCAAAGGATTTAAACAATTGGAGGTATGCGTAGGGTGGCCAGTCATTATTTCTGTTCCGTTGGGAATGTTACGCGACGAACATTTACCACGTGCTTGGCTGGGATGGTTGATTTTAAATAGCTTTCGTCGTAAAGAAAAACTTGGATTTTTGTATCATCTCATTCAGTGTGTGCGCATATTCGTATGTTCGATGTTAGGCAGCTTATCGCAACTAGCGGTTGATGAATGTTAAAAGAATGAGACGATGTTTTTTTTTTACATCTGTCATTTGGATTGAATGCAACAGTGTGGTTATTGTACGCTGGAGGAAGCATGGTCCTGCACATCTTTAAGTTATTCAACAGTTGGCAGCCAAAACATTTAGAATCGGGGCATGCAGGGGGGCTGGGCTGCTGAGGTGGAGACTCATTTGGCTGGTGAGCTTGCGGTGTGTGCTGGCTGGCAGTGTAGGTTGGCTGCCTGGCGTGCTGGCGTGCTGGCGTGTAGGTTGGCTGCCTGGCGTGCTGGCATGCTGGCTGGCTGGTGTGTAGGTTGGCCGGCTGGCGTGCTATCTGGCTGGCGTGCAAGCGCGCTGCCTGGATGGTGTGCTGGCTCTTGATAGAGAGATTCTTTCCAAGCCACCTGGCAAACAGCCACTTATTTGTCCAAACATTGACTCGAAAATGAACTCCTTTATCCTGGCTCGTGCCACTTCACAAGGGATGGGCACAATCGCTCGGCACAAGCGAGCGCATGTTGTAACCAGCTGCAATGAGGATTGTCTTTGAATTCCGGTCTGTGAGATGGATGATTCTTATAGATCCCAAATCAGCTTAACATTGTACTATCTGTACTTTCGAGATAAACGACACGGTATATTTTATTGTATATAAAAAACACGCTCACAATATGGAGGTAAAACATATTTGAGCTCACGTACATTGTTTACAGTTTGTTTCAGTTTTTTAAATAGGTTTACGATGCACGCAACATTCCGTAGAAGAAAATACGAATATGTACAAATAAAAGAAGCATTGCTGTGGTGTCGAGATCAAAAGCTCTAAAGCTGAAAGCACTCAGTGGAACAACTGTGGAACTCAAATGTTCATCTCACATTTGTATTGTTTTCGTTGCACAGGGATAAGGAATGGGTAGAGGTGGATTTGTTGTTGGTGGTGGATGTTGTTGTTGGTGGTGGTGGATTTTTTGTTGGTGGATGTTGTTGTTGTCATTTTGCCTCTCCATTCTTGTACGTAAGAACCGTTATTGGAAAAGTTAAACTTTTCAAAACGAATGTGACCCACCACAGTCTGACGTAACCGTTTTCCCACATTTACTGCTTGGCTCTCGCGAAAAGGGTTGCACTCGTTATAGAGAGGAGGGAGGGGGGAGCGAGGGGGAGGGGGAATGCTGCTTGGCAGTGTGGTGTTTTCATTAGGTCCGAGGCCAGGAATCGCCTCCTCGGCTTGTTGTGTTTGGCAGCTTCGGTCACGTCCAGCCTTGTGCTCGCCATCAGCGGAGGTCTGCGCTGAAACATCTCTTAACTGAAGGTGTGGCAACCTCTTAAGGAAACCCATCAGAATCTACCTGTAATGCACTCGGACATTGTTTCTATTGAATGGCCCAAATGAAAATTTAGAAAACTTTGGAAGCCGCTGGCTTCTTCATTCCATCAGCGAGATGTGCGCGTGCAAACTCAATTTTGCCAATTCCTTTGTTGCGTTTGCGTGAAGACGAACTCGCGTGCCTCCGGAGTTTATCCACAGCCGCGTGGTTGCGTGTAAAAGAAATGCTTTTCGTTTATCGCCCAAAATGGGGGTTTTCTTATCAAGTAATGTCCATGAATTTTTTTACAGCTGCACCGGCAGATTTGTTGTAAAATTAAAAAAAAATTGTCTGCGTCATTGCGTCGGTCAGCGGCGGGGTGTGTGGTTGACACGGTTGAAGGGATGTGCAAAGAAGGGTGACGGAGCAGTGAAGTCATAGGATGTGAGGTCGGGGTGTTCAAATAGCCTCATCCAGGAATGTGTAAAGAGTAACCGGTGACAGTCGAGGCAGTGTTGGGGGGGGGAGCAGTGGCATAGTGATGAGTGCACTGAGCTACAATCCCACCTACTTCAGTTCGAGTCTCAGCCATGGATGGGCAACATCAAACGCGAGTGCTATCTGATTTGATTCTGGTTAAAATAACCTTCGTGACTGACGTTTTTTTTGGGGGGGTGACCTTCATCTCACATTGGATTGACAATGGGCAGAACCTTTTTTTTGTACATTGTAATGGTGACAGTGACTTGTATTCAGTGGATAAAATGATGAGCATATATTTCCCCTCTCCTCTCTGTCATGATGCGGTGTTTCATTTTAAACACTTGTGGTAGATTTTTCTCAGAGGTGGCTAGGTGACTCGGGAGTTAATACTGTGTCAAAAACACTGAGCTGCCACCCAGGAGATTTTTGGTTTAAATCCGGGCAACCACCCATGAAATAAACTAAGTTTTCAAATGGAGATTTTTCGTTGATCTTAGCCAGGCCTCTAATGACTGCACGCAAAAAAAACCAATATTATTCAATTTATTTTTCACAATTCATTTGATTCCAGCTCAGATAATTAAATTACTTCTGATTTGATTGCCATCCAATCTTCTTCGTTTTTATGGCACGGTGATTTGCAATATTATGCGTTGATGTCGAGGATGGTGAGCCAGTTGAAGGCGATTAGGGGAAGCAACGTTGCAAATGTCTGAGACACTGCCAGTGAATAAGTGAGGCTTTGGGGAATTTTTGGACGACTTGTTGCATGGTTTGGCTCTGATAGCCACAGTTGCAATGCAGGCGGGGGGGGGGGTGCTGCTTTTCACCTCCCACCGGTGTAATGGGTGGCCACGTCTGTCGTGCAGTGAGTACATCAATAGTAGGGCATGCTGTGTAGGTACAACCCCTAGTCTACACTAGGGGTTGTACCTACACAGCATTCCCTACTAAGATGCAATTGAAGGAACCTCTTTGGATCATCATCCAGAAGCTTTCAGATGTAAATGTCATCATTTTCTCGTGACACAAAGAGCACATTCGGTAATTAATTGTGGACGAAAATGTTCACATTTCTCAACTGCCTCATGAGTTCCAGTTGGAAGGTGAAACTGACAAGAAGCTGACTTGTTTACCGGCTGCAGGCAATAAGGCTGGACAGTCACACCTGTCGGGTGTGGCGTTGCCACCTTTGAGGTACCAAAAAAATCTGGGACACATCGTGGCAATAAGAATTTTGTATCTCACAATTCCAGCAGGGGAGAAATCTGCATGCAAATGCGTACTCTTGAATGGTGTATTATTATTATTCTTAGGTTTTCTCGGTAAAGTCACGTAGGTAAAAACATCAAAATGAATGAAAATAAAATAAAATAAAACAAAAAATCACGACGTGTGTTGCATCCGAAACGTCGTGATTTTTTGTTTTATTTTATTTTATTTTCATTAATTTTGATGTTTTTACCTACGTGACTTTACCGAAAAAAACCTAAGAATATGAATCCGTGCAGTCACGAAAGCTTCAAATCTAGAATTGGTGTATTATTAACCATCTTAGTACAAATTTACAAAAAACAGAAATTCCCCACGACTGGCACTTCAAAGGGAGGACCGATCCTAGCAAAAGCAGGACAGTCGCAACCCTCGCCAGGTGCGTGCATCCAAGCACCTGGACGCGTGTTGAACTTCTTTCGCACCGTACGTAGCCAACCACGGTTACCCGATGTGCCGCAGGCATCGCCTACCTGGGCGGGATGTGCAGCGACCTGAGGAAATGCGTCATCGTCGAGGAGAACGGCCTGGGCCTGGCGTTCACCATCGCGCACGAGCTCGGGCACAAGTGAGTCGCGACATCACGCGGCATTGCCGGCCTGTTCAGAGTCTGATGCTGTGTGGCGTGGGGTGAATTACCTGCTGCCTTCACTGCTCCGTGGGTTGTCGCGGTTGTGCCGATGCGTTTTCGCGGTTTCCGCTGCGTGTTGTTCGGTACAATATCTAAAATTCCGCTCGACGTGCCCGAGAGCTTTTGCGGTAAGTTAATTTCGTCCATCTCTCGGGAGTCTGCGATGCAAAGAGGAGCTGCAAAAGGAGCTGAGCTCTGCTGTTCGTCAGGATACACTTTTGAGTGTTTTGCACTCGCCGTGTTTTTGCGTGTGCGCGCACCGGGCGGCTAAAACACAGCAAGTTGGTACGGTAAGAGGGCACAGGCCAGTCATCTCAATCAACCCACGGCCACCTGGGTCTGACCCGTGATCTCCTGCCAGCGGGCGTTCGACACTTGCCTTTGCCTTAATGTGCACATAGCCTGGCACAAGGTGATGTCACCGCCACTTAGTGGCGAATGGCGATTGCCGCTGCTGCTATCGTCGTTGGTGCTGCTCTGCACGTGGACTCACTCCGGGCTCTCGCTGTCGCTGCCCCTTGCCCCGGCCCACGGGGTTTGCGGTGCCGCCACCCACGTCGCATCAGGATACACTTTTGAGTGTTTTGCACTCGCCGTGTTTTTGCGTGCACGCGCACGCGTGTGTTTGGCTCTGCACCGGGCGGCTAAAACACAGCAAGTTGGTACGGTAAGGGGGCACAGGCCAGTCATCTCAGTCAACCCATCTCAGTCAACCCATCTCAGTCAACCCATGGCCACCTGGGTCTGACCCGTGTGATCTCCCGCCAGCATGGGCATGGGGCACGACGACGACGGCGACGGCGGCGGCAACTCGGCGTGCGGCCTGGGACCCAGCATCATGGCAGGCGAGTGGGTGCGCGGGAGCAACAGCAGCGAGCTCAGCTGGTCGCCCTGCAGCCGCTTGGAGCTCCAGCAGTTCCTCAGGTCAGTGCCGCGACCCACCGGCACCCATACCCCCACCCCAACCCACATTTAAGGCCATGTTAATAATATCAATATTTCTAGATTTGAAGCTTTCGTGACTGCAAGGATTCATATTCTTAGGTTTTTTCGGTAAAGTCACGTAGGTAAAAAATTTAAATTAATAAAAGTAAAATAAAAATAAAATAAAAATCACGACGTTTTGGAGGCAACACAAGCTTCCGTCTTCAGGTGGAACCGTCACAGCACGATAGCTGTACCTTGATACTTGATACAACTAAAAATATAATATCAATATTGAACAATTCTGATTCAGTCTCAGGAAAAATGGAGTGGCAAGTTCAGTCGGCTCGATTGTCGCTGTTGAGCTGGCGGAAAGGACGTATGATGGTGATATGATGAATTTTTATTAATCAATAGTCTTCACATTATGCGGGGTTCAGCAAATGTAAAGTGTGCGCGGCATGTAACAGCTAAATTTGTGTTTGAACGGTGGTAAATTGGAGAACCCTCTAAGATGAACGCAGTGGGTCGAGAGGAATGAGGTTCGACAAACCCTGCGGCAGGTGACCTTGGAGTGGTTTCACAATGAGAGCCACGGTGTAAATGGGATTTGTTATTATTGTAATAGATTGAAAGCTAATTCCTGTAGAAGTGTATTTGTGTTTCGTTGGTCCTTCCCCAGCACCTCCGATTAGCACGGTTGGCTACGTACGATGCCAAAGAAGCTCAACATACACACAGTATAATACGTAGACTTTCGTGTTAACACGTATGTATTATGGATACCGAGAGGGATGGAAACTTGCAATGAGGTCACTGATAGTGGACACGTGACTACCCACCCAAGGTTGTGTCTGCTTCTGTAAGACCAATCCACTGCTCATCAAACACACTTTTAAACAATTTCCACTTGAACAGGCAAAACAAGACTCCGTCACTCAGTGTCATTGCCGCAAAAAGTTGAATTTCGTTGCTCCGAGAAAATCCGCTGCCTGTGAAGATTTCCAGAAACGATTGCCCTAAAATTGTCCCAGCGTGCCGCGGGTTGTTAATGCCCCGTTTCTGTTTTTTTGTTTGTTGGAGACTTGTTTTTCTCACTGAGACATTCCAGCCCCTCACTGCCGACTCTGATTTCAATCGCCGACGCCTGCGATGATCGGGCGAACGTCGTGTTGCAAACGAGTTGAACATGCATCACGTCGTGCAGAGTGTGTAGCTCATCTCATATGCATGTTGAAAATACAGTAACCTACAATTATAAAGATGGACAATTGCAAAAAAAAGTACCCTTTTTCTGAATATATGCTTGGCAGCTTAACAAACGAATGAGATTTGTCATGCGATTTTTATACACATAACATCTGCCAGCACAACTAAAACAAATCCTATTCGTGTGTGTGTGTATACATTCGTGCTTGAATGGAAATGAAAATATAGATGCTAAATAAGATTTAGAACACACTGCACGTAAGACAACATTTAATAATGATACCTACAGGGTTTTATATTTTTGTTGTGGGTTTTATGGCGGGTTTTTTTTTTGCATGCTGGTGAAGCCACTTTTCTCAAAGGCTATGAATACTGGGGTATGTTTTGCCAGGAAAGGTTTATACGTTTGTTATATCTATAACTTGCCATGGCATTTGTTTTCAGCCTAGAGGCAAAGGAAATGAAGGCTTTCATCGCGTATGGTTTTTGCGACCTTCTTGATCCCGCCTAGCAAGTCTTGTTTGTGTTTTGGTTCGCCTTATGTTGTCTGTGTGCGCGCAGGCGATAAGGGGGAGCATAGCGATTCACAAACGTAGGCACGATGTGTTTACGCTACACGGAGTGGGGGGTGGGGGGTGGATTCTAATAAGCTTCTTTGCACGATATAATCCCGGATTATAACACGACAAGTGGGATACAATGTCTCAGCGGTGGAACAAATATTCGACAACACTGTTTCACATTTAAAGAGTAGCTAGCGCCGCACTCCAAACCCAATTCCAGTCCACGGCTAATATGAGTGGAAAACATCTGAAACCATTACTGAGCCTCCTCGAGGTCAGCTCAGTCTGAACTAATTACCTGGTGCCGTGTGTGAAAAAGTGCACTTGGGAGGCACGCGTAGAGCTCTTGTGCGTCGTGACGGCCAATTAATATCTGCTCGCTAACAGCCCTTTCTCCAACATCCTGTTAATATCTATACAGGGGACCTTTGTCTTTTTTTGATGCTTGGGCAACAACTGAACACGCTTCCTGCGTGCAGTACATCCCCCGGTTGAACGCGCTTTTTCGGTGACGCTTTTTGGCGATGCTTGACAAATCAACAGTTTTCGGGCTCATCGCTTCTCTTTCATTCTTCCTCCAGACCGCAGAAATGTTTGACGGATAATCTCGGCTTATCCTCAAAGCGGACACAGCACAACATTACGCCCTCATGGTAGACCCAGACAAAAGATCCACGACACGGCAAATCCGGCCGGGGACACAGCTGCCAGAGCAAAAAAACAGTTATTCGTTCAAATCCTTCCACCGACTTGTCACTCAAATACTAATTCCCCCCCTCTGTTTCCTTGTGGAAAAAAAGGGTCTGAAATGTCTTGCGCTAATTATGGGGCAAAGCGCTGCTGCTGGAATGCACAACACCTGGTTTTAAGATCAGCGTGGGTGGGGTTGCTCACTCGTGATGTGAAATTTTCTTTAAATTAATTTCCAGGCGCCTTTAGGACAGCGTCTTACATATTAGCAGCAATGCTGTATAATATTCATTGGGTTTTTCTGTAAAGTCACTTAGATAGGTTCAAAAAATAAAAATAAAGCGACGACCCCTTTTCTCTCCGCCTGATGATGCGATCGAAACGTCGTAGTTTTTGGTTTATTTAATTTTTATTAATTTGAACCTATCTACGTGACTTTACCGAAAGACCCAAAGAATTTGAATTCCTGCAGTCACGAAAGCTTTAAGTCAAGATGTACTGTGAAAATAATTTTCAGTCCTTTGTCTATTGACTGTCATGCCGGTGATGCGAGGTTTGAGAGCATACTTCGCCATGCTGGTGAGGACGGTTTGGTGAAGGGGGATGAAGTGGTACTGAGGTGGGCGGTGTATGTACTGTATGTTGAACTTCTTTCGCACCGTACGAAGTCAACCGTGCTAATCGGGGGTGGTCTCGAATTCAGATTTTATCCGCCACTGATTGTTAGCCATGGCTGGGAATTTAACTCGGGTTGCCATGTTTATAGCAACAGTGCACGAACCACTGCACCAACCCCTATAAAAACAAAAAAAACCTCAACTGTTATGGATGATTATAAAGTAGTCAGATATTTTTCCAAGCCTGACAAATATAGTGAATATTTTCAGCTGCCAAGAACTTCCAGAGGTGTAATGAACAGTCTACAGCATGAGCCATGGGTGAGCTTTGCCCTAGATGATGCTCATCAGTTAGTCATGTCCAACTATCGGCTGACATCGATACCGAAAGTGTTGTATGGATGTGGTGACACATATGAGCTTTGATGAAGGTTATACACAATACATAATCCGACTTTTATTCGTTTTTTTAATGTGGAGAATTCTGTACAGATAAATTGAACACAAGAAATGACTTATTCACGTTACTAATCATAAACATGACGTGGTCATAACCACAGGGTCACCCATACCCATTTATTTGTACGTATACGTGTATGCTTACATACCCAGCAAGTTGGCACAGTAGGGGGTACAGGTGGTGCATCAGCCAGTCATCTCAGTCATCTCAGTCAGTCGACCCGTGGCACCTGCTGGGTCTGCCCCGTGACCTCCTGCCAGCGGGCGTTCGACACTTCACGTGGCCTCAAGGTGCACATGGCCTGGCACAAGCGTCGTGGTGACGTCACCGCCACTTAGTGGCGAATGGCGGTTGTTGTTGTTGTTACATACCCACATTGTGTTGCATATGTAGGCTTTATCAAAGTTGTTTCACGAACAGAATAATTAATGTGTGACTTAATATTACATTTGCAGCTGATGGGATGTGTAAAAAGTATTGTTTGCATATTTATTTTGTTACTTATTATCTCCCCCACAATGCACATTATTATAATCATTATTTTCTGTGATGTATTATATATTTTTGTATCAAACTAGGACCCGTATCCAGCAGAGAAGGGCATTGCCTATGAAAATCTGGCAGTTCAGCATTGGTTCAAGAAAACTTGACTTTTGCTCATGAGACTTTTGCATGTCAAAACTAGCCCAGTGTTTGCTTGCGTTGAACCAGAAGGCCGTGTCGCTGATGGGATTTGTAAAAAAAAAACTTAATTTTCACGCGGAGAGACAGATGCGTGCTTATTGATATAACATCACACTCGAAAAACGTAAGTGATCATTTCCGATGGTTATCTGTATTTTAATTCGAGCTCACAATTGAATGCACGCGCACAATTGCACGGGCGTAAGCCCTCTGGGGTGGGGGCGACATTCTTTTCGTTGCGCGTAAGTTGAACGCCGGGACCTCATTAAAACCACACAGATCGATCTGAATCGACAGCCGGTGGGGGCCCTTTGGGCTGCGGTGGCGCGAGCGCTGTGCGGGTGCAGTCGTGAGCGGCGGCGCGGCTATTACAGATCGGTCGTCGGGAGGGACGGTGAGGGGGGGGGGGAATGAGGAGGGGGTGAGGAGGGGGGGGGGTGAGGCGGGGGTGTATGGGGTGGGGGGGGTGAGGCGGGGGTGTATGGGGTGGGGGGGGGTGAGGCGGGGGTGAGGGGGGGGATGAGGAGGGGGTGAGGAGGGGGGGGTGAGGAGGGGGGGGTGAGGCGGGGGGTGAGGAGGGGGGGTGAGGAGGGGGTGTATGAAAAGGGGGTGAGGCGGGGGGTGAGGAGGGGGGGGTGAGGAGGGGATGAGGAGGGGTGTATGGGGGGGGTGTGGAGGAGGGGGGATGGGGGGTGAGGAGGGGGAGATGAGGAGGGTGGGGGGGAGGGATGAGGGGATGGATGAAGGGGGGAGGGATGAGGGGGGGGAGGGATGATGGGGGGAGGGATGAGGGGTGGGGAGGGGGGGGGATGAGGGGTGGGGAGGGGGGGGGATGAGGGGTGGGGAGGGGGGGGATGAGGGGGGGGGGAAGGGGGGGATTAGGCGGGGGGATGAGGGGGTTGAGGAGTGGGGGGGAGGGATGAGGGGTGGGGAGTGATGAGGGAGGGTGAGGGATGAGGGGGGGAGGGATGAGGGGGGGTATGAGGGGGGGATGAGGGGAGGGATGAGGGGGGGGATAAGGGGGGTGAGGGGGGGACCTCTGCCCCTCTGTGAAAGGAAGTGGTCACCTCTGGCGGCAGTACAGCAACTGGGTTTGCGGTGCTCGCAAGGACAACACGTTCCAACGGGTTGTGTGCGCGGCTTGAGTAACCCAAACAATTTAATTGCGTGTTCAACGTTATTTAAAGTGTCGCCCTCGTCAGCTTGTCACATGATCAATAATGTTGGTGGGTTAATAATTTATTGTGGTGAGTTGAACATAATGACTGCTGTAGTTGCTTAATCAGTCGAAGGTTTGCGGTGGTCGATACTCAATTGATTCGTCATTGTGAAAGGAATATGGATTATTCTTATTTTCATCATCCGTTTCCTGAGGCTTTTATGGCGTTACTATTCAGTGGAATTGGTTTCTGCTGTATGAATCAACCTAATGTGCAGCTGTGTGCGATGTGGATAATTCGAATGAGATTATCTTTGATGATCGTAACCTCTACAACTGAATTAAAGATGGAATAGCCTTTTTTACGCCATCACTCGTGATGAATACGTGATTCATCTTCTTGGTTCTTTCGGTAAAGTCACGTAGAAGGAAAATAATAAAATAATAAAAATAAAACATAATAAAATAATTCTCACGACGTTTCGGCCACAACGCAAGCAGCCGTCTTCAGGTGGAGAACAGGTCTGTCGAGAAGGCAGAGAGAGACCTGTTCTCCACCTGAGGACGGCTGCTTGCGTTGTGGCCGAAACGTCGTGAGAATTATTTTATTATGTTTTATTTTTATTATTTTATTATTTTCCTTTTACGTGACTTTACCGAAATAACCAAGAAGATAAATTCCTGCAGTCACGAAAGCTTTAAATCGAAATTTAACCTCGATTACGTGATTGTCCTTTGCAAGTCAACGAGAGCCTCACCGAGTCGCAGTACACTATGCAGCAGGGTCCTGTGTTGGAATGTTTCGCCGATTTCTGTTTCAGGTTTTTTAGTGAAATAAAGATATTAATTCTAGATTTGAAGCTTTCGTGACTGCAAGGATTCATACTCTTTGGTTTTTTCGGTAAAGTCACGTAGGTACAAAAATAAAATAAATGAAAACAACTAAATTAAATCACGACGTTTAAGTGTGTGTGCTTTCGCTACGTTGTCCCCACCTGAAAAAGGATGCTTGTGATGCGCCCGAAACGTCGTGATTTAATTGAGTTGTTTTCATTTATTTTATTTTTTACCTACGTGACCTTACCGAAAAAACCTAAGAAAATAAATGTAATATTTCTGATATCTTTGCTGATATCAGAAAAAAAATATTCTGGCAAATTCAGCTACATTGGTACACAGACACATAGAATAGTGCAAACATATACCAAGTCCCAAAAGGGATAGAATATTAATTTAATAGGAGAAATCTAATATTACAATGTTATCGAAAACATTTAATTACAATATTCAACACGTATTCCTTCCAGGGGCTGATGAACAATCATTATCCTCGGCAACATTTTTCAAGTTACATATAATCAACATCATCATCAATCAACGGGGGCCTAATCAGTGTTAGATGCAGGCTTCCCCAAGCTGCTGCTGATCTTCCATACACTCTACACAAGTTTTATACCGCAGCATAAATGTTTACGAGACGACTGCAAATTGCAGAGTGGGTGCCGTTCACCGCTGAATCTCGGAACGCGCAAGCGGTTCAACGCCAATTTTAATTTGACAGGCACAGCGGCGTTGTTTTTAAAGACACTGTCCTCACCGCAGAGATCTGGAGCGACACGACCGCTCTCTATGATAGCGGATGTCCAAACTGTGCCCCACGCCCTCTCGCATGGCCTTGTGGGAGTCTCGGTACCCATCAAGTTATTTTCGTTCGTCGTTTTTTATTTCGGTTCCGTTCCGATGACGTACACGTGCACGTACGTCATCTGAATGGGAGAGGGTTAAGGCTGCTGGGCACATTGTGGAGGGCGTCGCAATCGCTGCTGCCCGGCACTTGCTGAGTGTGGTTCGTCTCTTCCCTTCTCAGATCTCCTGCCAGTGCCTGCATGAGTGAGACGGAGCAGCAGCCGGGACAGGCGGACGTCACCCACGTCCGTCCGCAAAATATTCAGGTTCGGTGGCAATGCCAGCAACAACGGGTGAAAGTTGGATGAGCTTGGGGATAACTGATCAAAGTAATGCTGGATATAAGCACACCTTTTATAAGCACATATCCGATATAAGCAACGCATGCTTACGTTACACTGGTCTGGGGAAGGCAAAGGCAAACTTGTGATTTCCACACCTGGCCTTACTTCGAAAGGGTGTGCTTGTACCCAGTTTCCATTAGTGTTGTGATTACCCACTAAGGGATAAGAGACGTTTATAAAACCTTATTTATCTTGGGACCGGGTGTACATGTGGAAGAGTTCCCTTCTCACGAATGGACAGTGCCAGTTTTGGGTCGACTCAACCCACCAAGGTGAATGACATGAGAACCATTTGGTGGGAAGTCAATAGACCATTTCCCATCACGAAAACTGTAGGCTTTTCCACAACTGGTCTGGGACTGCCTTTGAGGATGAGCACTGCCAAGCATTCGACAGTATTCATGGGAGACGTTTTGATCTCATTTGTGCTGGATGGATCCTCTGGGATGCAAGAGTCTTGTCCAGATGCTGACAACACTCCAACCATGTTGTGATTGACGCCTCCTTGAACCGGAACAGCTTTCGGCACCATTATTTTACACCACTGCCCTTAACTATAATTCTCATTGACAGACGTGTCAATCTGCCACGGTTGGGGAACTCTAGTTTTGTCAATTACCCGAGTAAGGGAAAATACGACCGTGCCAATATATCGTACGGATCTTCAGATAGAGTCAAGCCAGCAGCGCTGAGGCAAAAGCTGCCTTGTGTATGGAAATGTGACGGTGGCGGCGTTTAATATCTAAAGTGTTATCAGGCCAAGTAGTTAACAGGTCCGATGCAACATTTTTTGCCTCTGAGTAGATGGCAATGCAGACATTGACCTTTCTGTCAGCGGGTCCCTCCGGTGGTCTTGTCCGGATTGAACTGGGTAAATGGTAGCGTAGTGTTTCAGCCGGCACTAAAAGGGCTTGTGGTCTACGCTTGGACTGAGATTAATGACAGCTGCCAGACCTGTGCTGAAAGGTGAACGTTAAGGTTATGTTGCTGATGGCCACAGCGTCATTCAGAGCAAGGTGCGGAATGTTATTCGGGTAGTTTTTCAGAAGAAGAAGAAGAAAATATAATTGATCTGAAATGCAAAGTGAAACTTTTACATTGCCAAAATATTTTGCGATCACGGAGAATGCCCTATTATACTGTGATCAGTTTTGATAAATTTCATGCAAAAATTTGTGAATAGTGTCGTTTGTGGTGGATGTGCATTGAGACGATGGTTATTTTGACGGGAAATTCCTCTGTGGGTTGTAAATCATCAACGTCCAATTACGCCGTAAATTGAATGACAGAAGATAGCATCTTAAAACTCGAAGGCAAAAGCCACCCAGTGATTTTGTTTAATGTGCACCTTGGCAGATGATCATTGCCTTTCTCAAGGAAACGGGGTGATTGGAAGAGGGTGGAAAACACCTCCAAGCAAAAACGAGGCAAGAGAGAGAGAGAAAGAAAAGAAAGACAGGCTCTGTGCATTTGTTACGGTGTTTCCTCAGGGGAAAACTATGAAAAGAGACTGCTCCATATTGAAATCACATTTGTACGTGTGGTGTTGGATTTCCCGTGACCTAACAGAGGTCATTGCCTTGGGCTGTCCTCCCACAGACCACACCGAGTCAGCGTCGTCCTCATAATCACAGTGCCCTGTGGTTGTGCCACCATTCAATATACAGTACATTACAAAAATATACACTGGCCATAGAAGTAAATGTTGCATGTTCCCCACCTTACAACAGTGCTGTTGACAGCACAATGTATAGAGGTTGTGTCTAGGCAAGGATTTGCATGTGTGGAATGAGTACAGCTCTCCGATGTGTTTTCGGGCGTGTTGTTTGGCAAGATGTCTGACGTTTCAGTCCACGTGCAAGAAGCTTCTCACTCTTGCAGACCGGGGTCACTGTAGCAAAGGAAGCTACCCTGGTGCCATGAGTTCTCGCCTGGCGAAACAAATAGACTTGGCTTCTTCAGGAATTGAATTTATGTAGCTTCTTCTTCGAGAAACTGAATTGAAGGAAGAAGCTGAATGAAGACGCTCCCAGCATGTGGAGCGTAACACCAGACGCCATCTCAGAACAATGCGGCGTGCAACCTGAAAACACATCGGAGGGTTACGCCGCACAATCGCGGATAAACGTACGACGTGAAAATGGAGCTGTTTTGATGGTTTTTGAAGTCGCTTGTTTAAACCCTATGTTCAGTACATTGTGTGTGGCTGCAACATGGTATTTACGCACACGCATATTTTACATACCGCCATTCAGTGTGCATGGCGGCGAAAAATGTTCTAGTTTTTTTGGAACCGTATTTCATACACATTTCAAAAGTGACACCGCTTGAAGAAGTGGCAGACCCACTGGCATGCCATTGGCGGCTTAAAGTATGATTTATGAGCAACCTGGTTAAACAAAAGGCGGGGGGGAAAAGTTTAATGAGATTGCTTGTAAAGACAAACCGTGACAGGTCACTGTGCCCAAGCGTGCAGACGCACAGCCCCCTTTCATTTCATCTCGTGAAGCGGTCGTTTTGCTCAGGGGGTCGATTAAATATTTTTTCATAACTTTGGCAAAAAAAGGATTTATCAAAAGGTAGACTAAGTTGCTTCACCTTTACGCAGTTATTATTGAGGTGTTTGTTTTTCATACGTTTTGTTGACTTGACCTAAAGCAAAAGCAATCTATGTATCCATATTCTTGGTTCTTTTGATAAAGTCACGTAGAAGGGAAACATTAAAATAATAAAAATATAAAACAATATAATTGTTTTTATATATATATTTTGTTTTTTATTAAATATAAAAATTTTATTGCTTTATATATTTTTTATTTTATTGTTTCCCTTCTATGTGACGTTACCGAAAGAACCAAGAATAGGAATCCCTGCAGTCACGAAAGCTTTAAATCAAAATCTACGTATCATTTGTTAACAGTTTATCATTCTCTCTTTAATTATAAAGTTACATATTTATTTTACCGAAGATTATTTTTTCTTTAATCTTTTGGATACATTCTTAATGCGGTACTTGCGGACTGTACGATATAATTTATCTGTTATTATTTTTTGTACATTTGCAGAAATTTTTTGATATTAGATTTTGTGGTTATTGTGTACCCATGTACCCACGTGCAATGTTATTTCGCCATAAATAACCTCCAGGTCTCCCTTGAAAGAAAGACCTGTAGTTCAGAAGCTCTTATCTGCTTTAAATCAAGGCTACCTATCTCATCACTCTGATACAGGAGGAGCATTGGTGGTACACCGTGTAGCTTATGACGTTCGTCTTCCGACCGCTTTGACATCGCAAGAACTGATTTTGGCCGCAAGATTCAATATTTTATGACCTGGGTTTGCGAATTGTGGAAAAAAAGTATAATTATTGCGAATTTTCTTTTTTTCATATCGTACACCTCCGGTGCACCGCCAATACGTTCAATTGCATACTGCAGTCGCTGTCCCACCACACGCAAACGAGAATTTGGCCATTCTCATCTCTCGTCGCGATTTGTGAGCCACTGCCTCATATCCATAAACAATGGAGACCGATCTACTTGAAGTGCTGCAACTGCTGTCGTATATTAAATACTGCGATCAGTCTGCAATCACCACTGGACATCCAGAGATCTCCCGGCGCGGAAGTTCAAACGGAGGAAAATTTACTTAATTCACCCCCCCCCCCTCCCCAACTAACAAATATGAGTGGGAGCACCGAAGTTAGTCAATCAGCAGGCGGCGTGTGGTAGAGTTTGGCTTGCGTGGAATATTAGGCCAAAATACCCCTCGAGAGGGGCTGCCCCTAGTGAACAGTGGCGTGAGCAAGTATTTGTAGGGCTGAGTTTTGAACGCTTACCTTTTTTTTTTACGTGAGCGTGTTATTTCTGTGTTTCTTGGCAGGCGTGTGCGGCGGGCAAGTGCCTAAATCAGAGCGAGGGTGAGAACAAACCCAAGGAGCCGCCCCGTTCTCCTCCGACCGAGGAAGCCACACGGGGACAACCGGGTCCAGCCGAGGAGAACTCCCAGACTCCTCCGCAGCCGCCGGCAGCCAGAGAGCACGCCAAGGCAGAGCAACCGGCAGACAACGGCCTCCTACAAACAGGAGTGAGCCAATGCAGTTGCGCACAGCAGGATTAATTGCATAACAGGAGCGCATCGCCTGTGCTTATGCTTGGTCATGATAATAAAAGGATGACGACGCACCGAGCAAGGAATTGTCACACACCAAAGTTGCGTTTTAACTCAACTGACAACTGAACTATTTTTAATGAATCAGGTAAGGCCCACTGAGTTATATATTTTAAAAAATTTTAGAAGCGACCTGGTCACAAATGATAACTCAACAAAGCAGCTTTTCAGGTGGACATTTATAGCAGGCAAATACTCTAAATGCACGTTTCTAATTATGGAGGTAAAAAACTGGAGGACCGGGAGAAAAATCCACGTGACCACCTCCTGTATACCAGGCGAGGCACGCGGTGAGCAGTTGTGCAGTGATTAGCACGCCGTACTATGGACCCAGCGGCCTGAGTTTGATTACCAGCTAGGGCTAACAGTGATATATGAACTGCTCCTTGGCCTCCCCCCCCCCACCTCCCTTACACCAACCTACATTGGCTAGTGTGGTGAAGTATGATCAATGAACTGCACTGACATTGTGCCTGGGGGACCTTCATCGAGCAGTGCATTGACAAAGTGTTGGAAATGTTAGAAACAATTTTCACGAATTTGCTCCTAGAATTTTTCTAATTACAATATTTCACTTTTCACCTTTTCACAGCCCAATTATAATTGGCGTGACAATGGCTGTAAAGAAAAGAAAAAAAAAACACAACAAGAAAAAAAACCAGATGTGCACCATCGAATCCGCTTTGCCTCGCTTCCTCCCCACTCGGCTGTCGTCGTCAGGCTCGGGGCTCGGCGGCAGACGTGGCAGGTGGTGTCGCGGAGACGCCCAGGGATGCTCGGGGCGAGTGCGGCAGTCAGAGGAGTGTGGACCCGTGGGCCGAGCCACGTGACGGGGCGTGGGGCCCCTGGGGAGGCTGGAGCGGCTGCAATCAGCCCTGCGGGCCCGGCCTGCGTTACCGGCAGCGGCGCTGCGACCACCCGCCGTGAGACGTCCATTTTTAACAAGCCCTGAACATTTCGATTTAAAGCTTTCGTGACTGCAGGGATTCATCTTCTTGGTTCTTTCGGTAAAGTCACGTAGAAGGGAAGTAATGAAATAATAAAAATAAAACATAACGTCGTGAGAATTATTTTATTATGTTTTATTTTTATTATTTTATTACTTCCCTTCTACGTGACTTTACCGAAAGAACCAAGAAGATGAAGCACTGCACATTTGAAAGCTCCCCCCATCCACCAGCAGTCCACATGATAGTGGCATCCCCCAACCCCCACCCGTGGCATTGCATTGCTGTAACAACAACAAAAAATGTAATAAAGAGACATTTTAGCCACTTGAAGTAGATGCCGACTAATAGAGAGGGCAGAGTATTTTTTCACGATGCTTTGCACCATAACGACCCAATTAAACTCACTTCCCTGTGGTTCATCTTCTTGGTTCTTTCGGTAAAGTCACGTAGAAGGGAAGTAATAAAATAATAAAAAATAAAACATAACGGCTGCTTGCGTTGTGGCCGAAACGTCGTGAGAATTATTTTATAATGTTTTATTTTTATTATTTTATTACTTCCCTTCTACGTGACTTTACCGAAATAACCAAGAAGATGAATCCCTGCAGTCACGAAAGCTTTAAATCGAAATTCCCTGTGGTTATTCACGAAAAATATTATGATCTACAAAGGGGGATCCTTCATCACCCAGCATGCACACGAACAAGGCCACATGGAGTGCCATGGGATGTACATATTCATAATTCAGTGCTTATTACATATTTACACATATTTTTACCAACTGGTTAATTCTGTTGAATGTTGATCTGGGTGAACTACGGTGGTTATTTCGGCTTGCAAAGGCCGTGGCTGTTAACACCGTTCCAGGCGATCACTTTCCCCCGTGTTTGTTGTTTGGATAAAAATAAATTTCGAAGCCCGACGCTTGTTGCAAAAGCAGCACGGGTCACTGACAACCCGTCGAGTGATCCACCGAGCCCAAAGCCACAGGGAGACAAACCCCCCCCCCACCCTCCCTTCTTATCTGCATGCATCTCTCCGGCCTGCAGACCATGGCAGTTACACTGTCCGGGTCGATGTGGTTCATTTCCCCTTTTAAGTGGGGTTTCCTATTTACTCATAAAAGCACCCCGGGAAATGGAAAGCCTTTACCACATGGGCCGGCTTTCCAAAAAATTGCAATGCTTGTGTCACTTGCGTTGTGCCCACGTCAAGCCAGTGTGGTGCGCTCTCTCTCTGAATGTGAAACCTAAAGGCTGCAAGGGCCAGTGCAGTTCTTGAGAATATTTTTTGTTAAATTTTTTGGTAAATTAAGCTTGAGAGTTTCGTTCGCATTTGGCAGCAGTGAGGCGGGACGGTTGACCGACACATTTTTGGCTTCGGATTTCAGTCTTGTTCTTTGTTTAATGTGTACGTTGGTGTGGTGTCGCTATATATGCAACAAAAAGCCGACCTGCCTTCAGCATCCCAATGACATCTTAAAAACAATAATCGTTATTTTATATCCTGCACAACGTCGTTATCTTTCTTTATTGAGCTTTACTTTTGAGTTTTGATTGCACTTGAACGAAAACGATGTTTAAATACAAATATATAATTTTATAAAATACATAAATGGCATCTCAGAAAAATAATTCCAGAAACAATTTTTTTTTTTACTTTGGGTCCAATGCTAGTGCAGGGGTAATACAAACTCATTAAATACAGCATGTATATACATGTACGTGTTGTGTATGTATATTACATATACACCTATGTATCTGAATAAGGATGAATAATTAATCAATGCATTGTTCTACCTTTTTAAACAAAAAAAATTCACTAGCCACCTGACTTTTTCCATATGGGCCCAAGTTGTGAATCCACGACAATAATTTGTCTAAATGCCCCCGCATACCAAGGCACTGTGGCATTGGAAATAAGCTGTGCAAATAATACTCGCAAAGCAACACGTCTGCCCCTCATAGCCTTTAAGATCAATATTTTCAATCGCAGTGCACGCATGTCTATTTCGCAGCAGGCACATGTCTATAATGTACAAACGTCATGGCTAACGCACGAAACAATTACCCTCTTCCTCGCGTAAGGTCTGATAGCCGAAGGACAGCCTCGGGGTGGCAGGGGAGAGTTGTAAATTTATGTTTTTTGTGTTTAGTTCGTTGTCCTTCCCCCGCACCTCCGCTCAGCACGGTTGGCTACGTACGGTGCGACAAAAGTCCAACATTCATACAAGGATTCATACTCTGAGTTCTTTCGGTAAAGTCACGTAGGTAAAAAATGAAATTTATTTTATTTTATTAAGTTTAATTTCATTTTTTACCTACGTGACTTTACCGAAAGAACTAAGAGTATGAATCCTTGCAGTCACCAAAGCTTCAAATCTAGAATTCATACAAGGCTGAGTCGTCCTAGGGAAGGCGCAGGACCGGTTCCGATCTCACTGGCCGCTGATATTAGCCGTGGCTGGAAATTGAATCCAGGTTGCCGGCTTCCTACTGCATCGTGCTCACCACGGTGCAATCGCTCCTCACCGGTGCACCACGGTGACCGCACCAGCGAGCGCAGCCTCGTGCGATGACGGCACGCGGCCGGTGACGGCGGCGTTGAACTCCGGCGACTGAATGCGACCGACCCCTGTCGCGCTCCCATCAGGCCTCGGCCTGGCGGAGCGGAGTGCCGCGGCGGCGACGTGCAACACGGCGTGTGCCAGCTGATCTCCTGCGCCGAGGAGACCCCCGCGTCCCGCGACCGCCAGTGCCAGGTCCTGCACTGGGGCGGCCCTCCCGCGCCGCGGCCGCGCCGATGGTCCTCCGTCACTGACCCCGGTGAGACCCGCAGGGCCTGGGCGTTTTGTTTTTTTAACCCGGCATCCACACCGGGGAAGCCTGCGGTGCAGAGTCAGGGGCGATCCCTTTAGCGGGTTCACGAACGCTGCATATCAGGGGTGATAGGAAGGTATCGTATCGCTGCTGTCGTCTTGCTAATGGGAGAGGTTGTGAGCTTCACGCAACAAACCGTCCGTCAATAGGGATAGAACTGTAACGCGGTTTGTGACGCTCGCATTGTTTCACAGACGCAAATGACCGTAACTCTTGAGGCTCGGAGCCAAGCTGTGTGTCGCTCGAAAGCCAGGGCGGAAGAGGTGGGCCCTTTACGGGTCTCTTCAAAGTCGGTGCAGATCAAACACTGCTGCAAATTTGCAGTGGGATGATGGCGTTTCAGACGTGGGAGGGAGGTGGGGGGGAGGGCTGCCATGGACAAAGTGCGGTTGTTGATTTTATTATTCTGTCCATTCACATGAGTTGTCATTAATTAATTCATGAATTAGTATAGGCAACTCTGAACTGGTGTAAAAACGTATCATTCAATTATCATGATTATATTCATGAGAATGGGATGAGTCCAGCTCTATGAACGTGTTCTTTGGGCCAACAAGCCAGTTCAGGGCCCCGGGGGGGCCAGGGTTGGAGCTCCACGGGGGGTTGCTTCGACCAGGACAAACACAGGTGTAAACACAGGCAGGTTCTCGGGGCCAGCCCAGTGTTAGCACTGAATCAGCCCAGTTCTCACTGGCCACGGAAACAAAGCATAATTTATTCACGTGAATTAGGCCACGTTCATCTTCTTGGTTCTTTCGGTAAAGTCACGTAGAAGGGAAATAATGAAATAATAATAAAACATAATCAATTATTTTATTTTATTAAATTATTTTATTATGTTTTATTTTTATTTCGGTAAAGTCACGTAGAAGGGAAATAATAAAACAATAAAAATCAAACATAAAATAATTCTCACGACGTTTTGTTATGTTTAATTTTTATTATTTTATTACTTCCCTTCTACGTGACTTTACCGAAAGAACCACGAAGATGAATCCCTGCAGTCACGAAAACTTTAAATCGAAATTTAGGCTTCGTTCGTTTGACGTTACTTGTAAACCGAGGCCGCGTGCGTGCATTCCCCGTCCTCTTTTCCTCCGTCACTTGCAGTTACTTCTTGAGATCCGGGCGCTTTGTGAGAATGTGCCAAACTGTCACTTCTTCCTCGTCCGAGACAAGTCAAATAACTCTCATTTCTTCTTCGCTGGCGGCGCTGTTAGTGGTTTGACGAGACCTGGCAAGTCATAAATAAACAGAGGTAATGTCAATGGAGGCAAGGTTACATTGGTAAAAATATAAATATATATATGTTACACCTGACATACCAGGATGGCCTGCTGGAATGTACGGCTGACTGCAGACGTTTTGAAGTGCTCCATGTTGAGTAAATTGCAGGGACGGCGTGACACTGCTACTTGACGACAGAGTTTAGAATCCACCTGTAGCTTCTGTTTGAAATTCACGCTGCCCGAACCTCGCTGCAAGATGTGATCCCAACTAAATCTGTGCAAAAAAATATAAGCATTTGCTTGCACATTTTTTTTTGTATACAAATAATTTCACTAATTTGCACAGTTTACGCTGCTGGGGTACATTTCCCTTTTGCCGACTTTTTCGTCTGGAAAGTTGCGGCAGTTTGCGGCCCCCGCTCTGGCGTGCATGTGCACTCGTTAATCTCGCCCTTGTGTAAAGAACCATTGCTCCAATCCCCCCGGGGCGACTTGGAGGGGGGGGAAGGAACGCGAGCGGGCAGGCGCGGGCGGGCAGTAAGGCATGCGTGTAACTCGCATGTCTGCTCCCACGTGCTGCGGATGTGACACTCCATGAAGCGGAGCACACACACACACATGCCTGCGTTTGCGGACATGCTGGCTTGCCTAGCTGCCCCCGTGTGTGATTTTGGTCACAAGCGGGGGCATCGCTTGGTGCAGTCTTTCTCAACAGTCGATCACATTGCGCTCTCCACCAACTACCCCCTCCCCCTCCCCAATCATTTTTACAGTGGGGTCAAAACATTTTGAACAATATTGAATGTCAATTGCAAATAAGCGATGGGTGTCTCAACCTCTCCCTTATACATGGTTGTCCTTATCCCACACCTCCGATAGGCGAGAGCTAGAGCGGAAATGCACGAGATACAAAATCACATCTTGTCGTTACTAGTTCTGTTTGGCGTTTAACATTTGTTCCAAGTTTGTTTAACATTGACTGTGTCGTGCCCCTCTTGAGATATTGTATGCTCCCTCCCTTTAAACAAGGTCGCGCGGCAGGACTGATCCACGGATTAGAATTGAACTCGGAACTATCTTCTACAATATGAGATATTTCAAGAACACTTTACCATAGGATTATATACGTAGATATGTGGTCTTGATATGAATAAGAATAAGGGGCTTTGGATCCGTTGTGTCTACTGAAGTTGAGGCTTACTGCGGTAAATGCCTGTGTCAAGCTCCTAAGCCAGAAACCTCTTAGATCTAGAGATTTGAGCCTGAGGACAGCAAGGCAAATGCTTTGATGCTTTGACAAAATAGAGTTGCAAAATGGTTGTCTGTAAATGTGTTCAGTCGCCATCATTAAAATCAGCAGCCACGGTTTAATCCACTGCTGGATGAAAGCCTCCGCAAGCTGCCACCATCCCTCATGATCCGGCAATGTGACATGGCAAGAGTTGTACGCAGATTTACATGCTGACAGAAAGCTTGTGCAGTAATAGGACTGTGATGGGGGCTCCTCTGGTTGCTGGGAAAAAAATCATGTTGGTGTCATGCCATGGAAATCTTCTCATCCAGAGGGCATTGGTCCGCTGAACGTGACGAATTGTAACGATGAAATTGTCTTCTCGACAACTGGCACTGCAGAAAATTGGCATTGGAATAAAGTGCTAAAGAGGACACGCAGATGAATAAATAAATGGATGTGCAGAGTGTGTAACGTTACATTTACTGTGGGGGGTCTACAAAGCTACTAGTTTGGGTCATAGCTTTTGCCCTCAAAATGATTGCTCATTTATCACCTGCAGGGCTTTGTGCACCCTAACAACAGTGCACATTGTGGACAGCAAAATGCTGTGAATTGCCAGGTTTTGCCACTTGGGTTGCAACGCAAGCTCGTTTGCAATCATGCGAACAGCCTTGAAATTTTGGCAGTGGCAGTAACCGAACATGAAAAGATTCCTGGAAGGAACAAAATGTGACTTTTGCGTTTATGGCTTGGTATGTATATTAAAAAATCGATGGCTATGTTAGCTGTGTGAAATATTAAAATAAATAACTCGGTATCACAGCAGGTGGCCGTACAAAGGCCAGGCACTTGAAAAATAAAATAAAAATGTATTCAGGGCTGTGACAGGCTAAATCTCAATAATCATTAGTAGGGCTGGTCAAAGGGGCCTCCACTAGGGGGAGCTCTAGAGAGCCCCTCTTGAGGGCAATTGGCCTACTCTTCCATGCTGGTCAGATGTCTTGAAAGAGGTGGGAATACCCACACTCTAACCCACCACATGATCGACGAACTACCAAATGCCAATTTTTCTTTACGGGTAGACAAAGGCCGGGTAATCTACGGGTGTAAGGAATGTGCCCATTGTTTAAATTGCCATGCCGGGAAATAAAATTGGCAGCATGTTAACAATGACAGCATGGCAGCTTCCCTTAGACCAGTGGTTCCCAATATGCAGTATGTAGTATGTGGTTCACTCGGCCATGGGAAATGGTCCATAGAACTGTTGCTGATACAAAACAACATGTTTATTCTTACTTTACTATATAAAAAAGTACAATTATACATAAAGTAAGGTCATTGCTTTCATGGCCTGTCAATTAACATTTTCCAGAACTTTTATAGAAAAAAAATATTTTTAAAACTATGCCACTGGTACATGGCAGATTGTGAGGGCTGACAGTTGAACACGTAGGCTTTTGCGACCAACATTATTCATAACAAAGGTTTTTTTTTTTGTTAGATCGCGTAAATATAAATGCGCCGTTAACTCCACCACCACCTGATACAGCCAAGCGGTAAGGTTTGTCATGTAAACAACAGGGCTGACAGTGTCCCTGGGTACAAAGATGTTTTGGAACCACTGCGCCGGGTAATCTACGTTTAAAATGGTCTGGGTCTCATCTTCATGGTTATTTCGGTAAAGTCACGTAGAAGGGAAATAATAAAATAATACAAATAAAACATAATAATAAAATATTATATTATTATATTACTTATATAATATTTTTATATTATTTTATTATGTTTTATTTTCATCTTCTTGGTTCTTTCGGTAAAGTCACGTAGAAGGGAAATAATAAAATAATAAAAAGAAAACAATAAAATATTATATTATTATATTCCATTATTATTTTATTATGTTTTATTTTTATTATTTTATTATTTCCCTTCTACGTGACTTTACCGAAAGAACCAAGAAGCTTTAAATCGAAATAAAAATGCTCTGGGTTGTTGTTGGGATTTGGCGTCCAAAATATTGATAACTGGCGTTTTACCCTCTCTGCTCCAATGGCTCCGTTACCCCCCCACCCCCGCCCCCCCGCCCACAGAGCGGCCGTGTGCCCTGTTGTGCACGGCCGGGCGCAAGGAGGGCGCCACGCTGACGGCCGAGTCCGTGCAGGACGGCACGCCGTGCGGACCCTACGAGCGCGACGTGTGCCTCGGCCGCAGGTGCCAGGTGAGTGCTCGTCGTGTCAAATCATTGGGACTTTTTTTTTTAATTGAGGCAATTTTTTGAAGGGAGTTCATTGTTCAAAATTTTATCCCGATTTAAGTTCAAGTTCATTTATTAGGTATAGCCCCTGTGAGCCATTCGGCTCTTGAATCGGGTGCAACCGCAACAAACAAAAAACAAAAACATGAACAAAAAACATCTTAAAGTGAATATGTGACTGAGTGCAAACAGAAAATCCAAGAAAAGACAGAAAAATATTGCAGAAAAAACACCGTACACCAACGCTGTGTGCAAAAATCCCAGTGGGATGCAAGTCAAACAACAACAACAACAACCACAAGACAACTTAGATTAAGGCCATCAGTCTAACTCTGTACTACAACAAACAAACATGGCTAAACCAATACACTTTTAGAAATCACCAAAATAAAGCCATGAAAGCAATGAAAAAGCAATCATAGGAACTGTGACGGAATTTTCACAATAAATGGCATAAACAACATGTACTACCAAAACCCATGTATTGTCTGCAATAGTTTTACACGAAGGCGCGATGCTCCTACGTGGTGATTTTCAACCAATTAGTTTATAAGCAATTGACAGTTTTACAAACAAGGACTGTGACACCGGCACACGTGGCCTACTAATTTTCAAATACCATCACACGAACTTTCAGGTCCACTGGAAGCAGATGGTTAATATGCACTTGGAGCTGCTAAGAGCGGTGCCAGGTTAGTCCAATTTCTCACGTGGTGCATCTAATTCAGTGGTGGATGCAGCCGATTTTGAGGGCTCTAAGCAGAAATCATTTTTGGGTGCACCACCTGGCTTAATAAGCACAGTATGCCGGACAAGCTACACAACTGAAGCATGGAACGATTGTGTGAAATAAGTCGCGTAGCATCCAATCACAATTTGTTTTTTCAATACTCATCTTAAAATGATGAGCTTTATTTAATCTTAAAATTATCTTAATTTGAGATTATTTATGATACACCCCAATTTTCTTTAATTAATTAAATTGGGGCCCGCCTCCTTCACAGTCTTCTTGTGCACACATCAGCCATTTGCGTTTCTCCAGTTCACCCAAGGGCGACTTTTTCTTCATGCGCCTCTACATTAACGGAATGAAAGGTGAATTCGAGGGTTCCCGCCCGGTGTAGATCACATCCTATATAGCGTGTATTTAATTGAGAACCAGCGGTGCAGTAGTGAGTGTAGTACTGTGTACACCTCAAACCTGGAGACGTGAGCTCGATTCTAAATGCTGTACCTGTAGTGGGCCTCCCCTCGGTCAGCTCAGCCTTATATGAGTACCCCGTGCGGTGTGTACACTTCAGCAGCGAGGGAATCAAAGGTGCACCGCGCTTGCCTCATTGAGCACTCGCTTCGAGCACTTGCCCCAACTTTCTAAGTGTAGCCTGTCCGGGCATCTTTGTCTTTGTTTACTCTGCCATATGTTTATTTTCCCTTGAGGGAAAGAGATTGGCTGGCATGTATTTCTAGCCATGTGCCACGAGTGTACATTTGCAATGCGGTAATGCCCGTTATTCCCATAGTCACAATCATATCAGCAGTTGGCCAGAAATATTGCTGTACACTTGGAATGAGCGGCATAACATTTTTAAGCAGCTGTAGTTGTCAACTTTGCCGAAGAGAAAGGATTATATACTCTTAGGTTTTTTCGATAAAGTCACGTAGGTAAAAAATAAAATTCAAATTACTAAAAGTAAAATAAAAAATTCAAAATCACGACGTTTCGGAGGCAACACAAGCTTCCGTCTTCAGGTGGAACCGTCACAGCACGATTGCTGTATCAAGTAAAGAGAAATTCCAAAAGACCCGACCTTGTATATATACTGGTTGAGGGGGGGAGGAGCCAGGGTAGGCCCCTGAAGAAAGGATTATGCGACTATTTTGTGTGGCGTGGCATTATTTGGGGGGGGGGGGGGGTGAGGATTGGTGGTAAATATACAGCATCAAATTATAAATACATTCATCCCAGTCATTCTCACTCCCCTAATAGACGAAGGCCTCCCCACAAGATGTTCATAATGGGTTTGTTTAATCATATTTCACCACCCAGGTCAGTGCGGGTTGGATAACTGGGGAGAGGGCAGGAATGGCGTTTTGATATCACTTTCTGTTGATGTTAGCTACGGCCCTAAAATCCAACCTGGGTCACCAGGCGAATAGCGCAGCGCACTAACCACTTTACCAAACGTACAGCGTGTGTGTGTGTGGGGGGGGGGGGGGGACGGTATTGTAGCGGTTAGCGCTCTGCGCTACAAACCCGACAACCTGAGTTCGAATCCCACTCAAGGCCAATACCAGAGACGATTATATTATCTGAACCGGTTATAGGCCTCCCCTAGGTCGACTCCACCTCAATTGAGTATCTGGTGTGCCGTGTAAACATCACCACTGGGGAGACAAAGGTGTCCGGGCATGGTATTTGCCACCCACCCGTACGGACCTTCATAGGTGCTTACTAACAGCACTTGCCCCAACAGTCTGTTCAGGTGGTACAGCGATACGGGGAACTTTGTCTTTGTATATAAATTTGTTCAACTCTGAAGAATCTGTTCTTGATTTATTTTTTCCCCCTAAAGATTCACCCCTGTCACCCACCCCTTACCAGAATCCCCACTGACATTCCCATCCTACACGTCCTTTTCACCCCTCTTTCATTCTCGCTACAACACAGGCCCCACTACTCATATCCGCTCATCTATCCTCAGATAATCAAAACCAAGACACCTTCAGCAAAGCAATGCGATAGATTAAAAGCAACTTTGGTTCCAAATGAGGCAGCCTGCACAACTCAAAGCATTAATGACATTAATTAACTTTCAGGATGCAAATCACTGGAATCAACCAAGATATAAATTGCCGCATTTACAAACGTTTAATCACCCGCGTTCGTATTAATTATGGTCTGCGATGATTTGGCAGCTCAAATCCAATATAAATCTGAGCATTTTGCATTGCCAGCATGGACACGTGCAACATGTTCTGCGGATTGATACTGGATATTCCATGGGAGGCCAGTCATTTGCTTCATACCAGATCGCGGGTGACATGTAGAATGCAGTTGCAGCATTGAAGAGGCACAGTTCGCCCGCCACATTTAAGCCATTAGGAGCAAAATCCATCGTGCACCCTGCACAAGCAAGGCAATGGCTAAGTGGCTGTGATGAAAATGATGACAATTTCACCTTGAAAACACACCAAATTGCTTCCAGGTGATGTATGCCGCCCTGTGAACCTCACGGCCGCGTGGATCTGTGACTTCCATTAAACGCGGACGCAGCCGGTTGCAAGCTCCTCCACTGTAAATATTCGCCCCAGTGTCCTGCATGCTTGCCCTATGGCCTCTTTATCCGCTCTCACCCCTCAAGTCACCGGGTCTGTACGTTTAGAGAAAATTCCCAGATCTGTTGATGCGCACGATTTTCTTTTTTAAGGGATGTTAAGTCCAGCTGTCCGCGCCTGCTTGCGGATGGGAAAGGCGACGACCGTTACGTTTTATATATATCACTGCGAAAAACTTAGACCAGCTGATTCTGGTCTACTCGTCATTCCAAAGACAAGCCTCTGTGGTGATGGTCTATGGGAGGGTTTGAACCTTCTCCAGACAGGCTCCGCGAATTTGGAATCCCCTTCCACGGTCCGTTAGGGATTCCGAATCACTTTTTAATTCACATCTGAAAACTCCCCTTTTTATGGCTTTTCCTGCAACTTAAGATTGAAAAATCAATTCTGTTGTCTGATAGGATTACTCTGCAATAATTATGAGTAGCTTTTATCATAGTTCTTCCTTTCATGGGAATTTCGAGAGCCGTCACTGGTATTGCTATTATCAGATTTCTATTTCACTTAGATTTTATTTATATTGGTGAGTGTATGCAGTGGTGTTCGTTCTGCTTTCACGCGACCACATCAAAGTGTGCCATGTAAATGGACCATCGTTGCACGCTGTGCGGCAGTGGCCTGCAAACATCTCCTTCTCCTGGTGCACCACTTTGGCATTCTCTACTGCCGTGGAAAATGTGAATCAGTAAATAGATATGTGAGCAAACTACTCGTATTGGTTACAGCGAAAGGGCAGATAGGCCGGGCCAAAAAAGTTGTAGAAGCTGTAGATTTACTCGGGTATACAACTATGGAGGACTGAAGGGGCTGATGCCTCAAAGCTCTTGTTTCAACGCTTGGAATATTGCTGAGCACGTAAAATTGAGTTAGCGAGCTCCAGATGCAGGATTCAATCCGTACAGGGGACTGGCCTCCCTGCATCCTCCCTGCGGAGTTGGCTTACTCAGCCAGCCAGCATAATCTCACAAGGCAACATTACACCATCACTTACGAGGAACAGCACATCTTTGCCTGTCTTTTACTCTCTATTTGTTCATCCAACTCTCGGTTGCAGGCACCTCGTGAAGCTCGAGGAAATACTTCCACGTATTTACAAATCCGTAGCAAACCGCCGCTCCAAATAACATCGGGGCTATATGCAGTCGCATGCTGAAAGACATACCCTTGAAAATAAACAGCACTTGTTCAGCAACGGTGATGCTACCTCCCACCCACCACCCCAACGAGTTCATTGTTGCTCACCGTGTGTTATGTTGTTGGTTCTCCGTCCTCTCGAGCAGAAGGTGGGATGCGATGGCATCGTGGGATCGCCGGTCAGGGAGGATCGCTGCGGCATGTGCGACGGCGACGGGAAGTCCTGCAAGGTGGTCAAGGGGGACTTCAACCACACACGGGGCACAGGTGCTTGTGATCGGAGATGCTCGTCTCTGGCGGAGGAACTCCCGTGTCGTTTATATTCATTCACAACCCCTCCATTAACTATTGAAATACCCCCCCGTGCTCCCTTTTTTCACCATATTCTTCTCCACGCCCCCCCTCCCATCCCAACTTATATTAAACTAAAACTAAACTTGTTTTTGCCAGGTAAGGCCCACCAAGCTACATAGCTCTTTTACTGGTAGGAACCTCCTGGTTATACCAGCCCACAGGGGATTATTGTGTCCGTCGTGCAGGGAGGGGCTGGGTGTGGTGGGAGGGGCTGGGTGGGGAGAGGAGGGTGGGGAGGGTGGGGAGGGGCTGGGTGGGGGAGGGTGGGGAGGAGCTGGGTGGGAAGGGTGGGGAGGGGCTGGGTGGGGAGGGTGGGGAGGGGCTGGGTGGGGTGGGGAGGGGCTGGTCACCCCGTGGTGCCCTTATAAAACTCAACGTTTAACCTACTCACGCCGGCTTGTGCCCGCCCTCACAGTCGGGCATATTTGCGGAATACACCACGCCGCCGTTGACCCTGGCCATTGACCGAGCAACCCAACGTTCCTACCATACAGTAGAGCAGTGTAATATGGGGATTGGTGGCGCAGTAGTTAATGCGCCTGCGATATGAATACGGAGACTCGAGATCAATTCCCGCTCATGGCAAACACCAGCGACGATCGTCTTAACCGGTTCTGGGCCTCCCCTAGGTCGATTCAGCCTCAAATGAGTACCTGGTATTTTCCACAACAGTCTGTTTAAACTATCCTGGAAAACGTTGTCTTTTTTGACTTAATTGACACAGGGAGCAAGTCTTATGGTGTGTCTTTCCGAAGAATACAGTACACAAAATGATCAGCGTCCTCAGTTTTCATAGTCAATAATCATCATCCTCATCACATTCACCAAGAGCATCACTTCAGAATATTTAGAGCAAAAAACAATTATCCTTAGAAGCATTTTCTTACCTGCTTCATTACAATTGACAGCAGTATCATTTATAAACAAACCATCGTTGATGAAACTGTATGATGACGGACCATATATGATAACACGCAATTTAATATGAAACGTCGTAGCAAATTCACTGAGGGTCATTTAAATTGGGGAGAGATTTATACCGAAAATAAATTAAAACATGACAAACTACAGGCTCAAACTTGATTTGGAGCTTTCGTGACTGCAGGAATTACTCTTTGGTTATTTCGGTAAGGTCACGTAGAAAGAAAAACTAATAAATAATAGCATACGACGTTTCGATTGCAACACAAGCAATCATCATCGGGTACGAATGAAAGTGAAAACAAACCTAGTAAACTTCTAAATATAATGCAATACAACACAGAGAGTCGGCTAACATAACAGTCAACACCCCATCATGGTTGATTACGTTCTAGCAAAGATTGCTAAATTTGAGAGAGAGAGAGACAAAACACAGACACGGAGACACACAGACAGACACACAAACAGAGATAGATAACACAGAGACACACAGAGAGAGACACACACATAGGCACACAGAGAAACAACGCATCATGTGCAGTTATTTATAAATTAACTCTCGCCCTGCGTGTGTCTTGTCGCTAGCCAGCAGCCATTGCAAGAAAGTTTCCATCTGCAGTCTGTCCAAGGCCAAGCTGCCCACCAAGTGTTACTTTTGTGAGTTCCTTCCCGCACGCACGCACACACGCTCGCTCGCTCTAACGTCTGCCTAATAACACTGCGCTACTGTGTTATTCACAAGGAGACCTGATATTCTTGGTTCTTTTCGGTAAAGTCACGTAGAAGGGAAACAATAAAATAGTAAAAATATAAACAATTAAATTCTCACGACGTTTCGACTGCAACACAAGCAATCATCATCAGCTGTCGTTTGCACACCTGATGATGATTGCTTGTGTTGCAGTCGAAACGTCGTGAGAATTTTATTATTTGATATTTTTACTATTTTATTGTTTCCCTTCTACGTGACTTTACCGAAAGAACCAAGAATATGAATCCCTGCAGTCACGAACGCTTTAAATCAAAGGAGACCTGAGTTGGATTCCTGGCCACGGCTAACATCAATTGACAGCATGATGTGTTTATGTGCTGCATGAGGTGGGGGGGGGGGGAATTGCCTTTTTACGTGATATAATCTTAGATTATAACACTGCATGTTGCATATAATTCCAAACACTTCACTCTGGACCCAGTGGTCCAAGTTCAATTTCCAGCGGTGCCAATAGCAGTGGTGAAAGCTGTCTGAACCGGGTGTGGGCAGAGTGGGATATCCCACCTTTTCAACAAGCCGGACTGGTGAAGTAGGGTCAAACAAGCCCCTCAACCAATACAGGAAGGGGTGGCCTTCATCCAGCAGTGAATTAACATCAGGCTGTAAATGATTATAACTATTTTTAATAAACAGGACTGCTGCATGCAATCAAATGCCTTTGAAGGTCCCTGCAGTATAACGCAGCACACAGCAGATGGCTGCTTTTGGTGCCAGTAACCAGCCAGATTGATGTTCATGTCTTCACTGGCTACCGGTGAAGCCAATAATTAACTTAAGCTGATGGTAATGACTTCCAAGGTTTACCGAGTTTATGTAACATAAGTTTTACATTGCCTCAGAAAATGAGAAGCCCTCTTGCTGTGTTGGACTAGAGAATTGCCCAGGGTAATGACTGTTCCAAACTAGTGGCTTCCAAACTATGGAATTAACTTATCTTGGCACTAAAAGTGACTAATGCTTTTCCCACGATTTAAAACTCACCCTAAGTGGGTTTTTTAAAAAAAAAACAATCTTAGCTTCACATGTAGATGGTGCATTGACTGAATGAAGGTAAAGAACATCATGTAATAATTAACTTCTTTCAAACCATACATAGCCAACCATGCTAATCGTAAAGGAAGAGCATTCCAGACGGCCGCAGAAGTGCATCTGTCTTTGTTCTATGGTTAGCCAAGAGATGCTGCTGATGATGCTGCTGATGCTGCTGCTAATGATGCTGCTGATGATGCTGCTGATGATGCTGCTGATGATGATGATGCTGATGATGCTGCTGATGATGCTGCTGATGATGATGCTGCTGATGATGATGATGCTGATGATGATGATGATGCTGCTGATGATGCTGCTGATGATGCTGCTGATGATGATGTCCTCCGGCAGGTTACGTGAAGGCGCTGACGATTCCTGCCGGTGCTCGCCGGATCCGTGTGGTTGAACACAAGCCAGCGCACAGCTACCTGGGTAAAAATGTGGGAAGCGTGATGTAATTAAACAATGCACTGCCAGAAGAGAATCAGAATATTTATTTGTACTGAAGGAATCCGATGACCTATAAAGCTCTATTTCACAGATGTCTGGTAGGGGTAGGTCAGAACGTTAAAACAAACACTACAAAAACACGATCGTGCAACGTATAGGAAAGGTAAACAAATGACTTTCAAATGTATACAAATACTACTAAACTATTGTTTTACTTACCAGGTAAAGCCCACCGAGCAATTGGCCTCTTTTTCAGAAGCGACTTGACCACAAATGATAGCTCAATGAAGTTGCTTATCACGTGTACATTTTAAACAGGAAAATAATCAAAATAATAAAAATGCAAATCTTGACTTAAAGCTTTCGTGACTGCAGGAATTCATATTCTTTGGGTCTTTCGGTAAAGTCACGTAGATAGGTTAAAAGAAAATATTTTTTGTTATTTTGTTATTTTCTTTGAACCTATCTACGTGACTTTACCAAACGACCCAAAGAATATAAATACAAATTCATGTTTCTAAATGTGGAGGGAAAAACCAGAGGACCCGGAGGAAAAAAATCCACGTGACCACGGGCAGAACACACAAACTCTAAATATACAGGCGTCAGGGTCGCGATTGAACCCCTGACCTCCTGCATACCAGGCGAGGGAGTTAACATTATGTAACCATGGCGCCCCTTAAAACTGGAAGGCGAACTTTGCTTACGCTGTTGGTGTGCACTGCATAAAGCATTTCCCCTGTAATCTCTACGGCTAAAATACATTGAGACTGTTGGTGAGGTTTATTCCAGCTGGCCTTCGTCTCATGTGTGGCGACTAATGTATCATCAATTTGGTGACTCATTTTCCATTTTCTTTCCCTCACAGAGAGGATTTTATTTTTAATGCTTGCAAAGTGCTGCGAAAAAAAAAGCGATTACAAACAATAAAAGCATAATTTTTAAGGTCATATTTTTACTGCACTTACAGGCATTTTTATATAGCAAGGTTATGATTATTTAAAGAAAATGTCCAAAACGATAACATTTTCCCACCTATTAATCACTCGAATTGAAATGTGTTTCCGACCCAGTGTTCATTGTTAATATTATAGTTTCAGTTATAAAAGTCTATCAGCATTTGATAACGTGCCAGACGTCTTCAGCTCTGCACGCTTCCTAGAAAGAAAACACTTTCTAAAATGACAAACATGGGGCCTTACTGATGGTTGTCCCATTATGTTGGCGAGCACCTGTTAAGGGCAGCACCGCTCACGGGGGAGCGGTGGCCAGCATCACACACACGAGCACCTTTATCTCTCCACTGCCGATGTTTACACACTGTACGAGGTACGCATTCGTGGTTGAGTCGACCTAGGAGAGGCCCAAGCCTAGCTCCGATATCGCTCGCCGCTCGTGTTAGCCGTGGTCAGGAATAAACCTCAGGTTGGCGGGTTCATAGCACATTGCGCTAAACCACTGCACCACCACTCCGCGCAATACACGGTGCATTTGTACGTGAAAAAAAGATTCCACAGTGACTTCAACACTCAATCGTTAATGCTTGCGAGTGCTCTGGAAACAGAAGTGATGGCCGCAAAGAGTGCACGGGAATGACATCGTCACAAACCTGACCGGTTCTGGTCCAAGTCTGACCAGTGCCAAACCTTTGGACGTTTATCAGGGGTATCGACATGTCCAGCCACCCTCAGAGCCATACTTTACTCCATCACTGAGTATCAACCATGCCTTGTGTGAAGAGTCGCACCTGTAAAAGCAGTCTCGGACATCTGCAGCAGAAATGTTACTTTAATATTCTTGGCTGTCGCGTTGAGTCGACGATGACCGCCCTACAGGTGAAAGGATCGGATGGACGAATTATGTATCCACATGTGGCTAATGAGAATAATAATAAGAATAATAACACACATACCAACATGCATTGTTAACGTCTTTTTAGAGACGCGCACGATGGTTTGGACGCGACCGGCCGAAGCTATTAAACGTGGCCCTTAACTGTGAATGATGACTGTGCCTTGACGACAGCCGTGAACGACTCAAGCCAGAACTCCATTAACAGCGAGTGGAAGGTGGAGAGGCCCGGAGATTACAGCGTCGCGGGGAGCACGGTCCGCTACGTGCGCCGAGGCATCTGGGAGAAGATGACCGTCAAGGGCCCCCTGAAGCAGCCCCTCAACGTCATGGTATGAGGGCTTGAGCGCAACCCTTACTTGCTGCCAGCGGCGGCACTAGGCGTAAGCAAACCGACCAAAACAAACTTAGGGCCCCAAATGGGCTCAAAGGGCTCCCAGATTCATGAAATATCACCTCAAATTCAAATCCGAATAAAGATAACAAGATAAATAATATAATAGTAGGTTTTTACCCTTTTAACTGGTACAAAACTGACACCTTTATTCAAGGCATCATGTTTGCAATGACCACAACACAAGTAGTCAAAAAAGCAAACAAAAAGAAGCATCTCTGATAATGATAATAATGATAATAATCATTATCAGAGTTGCTTCTTTTTGTTTGCTTTTTTGACTACTTGTGTTGTGGTCATTGCAAACATGATGCCTTGAATAAAGGTGTCAGTTTTGTACCAGTTAAAAGGGTAAAAACCTACTATTATATTTTGCCACTGGTAAAAGAGATCTCATAGTGTAAAAGATAAATAATGTATAAACACGATCACACTCTCTCATATCTATCTCATCGCTATATTGTACGCATCTTTTTTTCTCTCTTCGAACTTAAAACAAAAAGGCAATTAATCTGCCTCATCTCTATTTTGTCCGCTTCTCTCAACTCACCGCATTTCTGTCTTGTCTATATTTCTCACGTATCTAATGACTACATGTATATCTCTAGTCTATATAGTTTCTGTAATCTCACTAGCATTTAAAAAAAAAACGTTACAGGGAGGCTCTCAAAATTATTGTTTCCCTTTGGGCCCCTCATCAGCTAGCACCACCAACCACCGCCACCGTCACAACCAAGCCCTCTCTCTGAACCTGGCAATTGATGAAATCCTACGCAGGTTCCTGCCATTCAACTCCTGTGGCCTATCTCTTGTGAGTTTCCATGTTTTGCATTGCTCCACCTCTTCTGCAACCAGCCCAGCGTGGCCTTGAAAGCAACACGAAGCTCCCCCCCCCTCCCCCGTTTAATTATTAAACCGAAAATTTCTCTGTGCTAATGCATTACGAATGTGAGAAGGTAAAACTGCGGCAATGTAATACATTTCCGTGAAAGCCATGAATCTATAAAAAAATAAGTTTACGAGTTGCATGGCTACACACCGCAAAGAAGCAGGATTGCCTCAATGCCATCTCAAGCAAACCAGCCAAGCGCCGGCTCAACTGATTCGAACAATAAGGTGAAAGTAAATCCACGTCGCAACAATACATTGCAGGGGCTGTCCTCAGTTAATACTCTCCATGTGTTCCGAAGATTCATTGCGTGCCCAAGAGCCCCATGGTAAAGACTAGACAGTGTAATGACTGCATTAATCACGGTCAAATATAATCAGAGATCGAGCAGCAACAACAAAAAACGCAAGGCTCGTCTCGGCGACGGGGAAAAAAAATTCTAATTACGTCGCCGTACATTTTGATTGCACCCGAATTATCTGGGCGGTTTGGTAAAGAAAATCTAATCCCAGGAGAATTATCATGCTCAATTAAATGCTCCACTCCCCAACATCGGTGGTTCACTGACAATCTCGCAAAGCAGACATCGAAGGGTTTCGAGGGCCGTCCAAGCCAAGCCGGCTTCGTGCCAGCGCCGCAGTAATAAGCCATGACATACCGCCATGTGGGAGGACATATTGGCAGAAGGAAGTGGCAAATTAATGTTTGGTCTAAAAACAGATGTAATTTTCGAAATACATTTTTTTTTCTAACAAAAAAAAAGTGGGATTTCATGTTTTTTTTCTGTTTCTTTCCGTGAGACCTCATCAGATGGGTTCAGCCAAAAGCATGCCAAAAGTTGTCTCTGTGAGAAGTTTCAGTACCAGTGCACAAGATACAATGATGTCTCAATGGATGCTATATTCTCTGTGGCTACATTTTTGCAGACGTAGAAATGTAGGAGAGTAGTTCTGAAAGATAGTCTTAATTCTTGGCGACTATAGATCATTTTGAATAATTTCACATTTTTTTGTCAATCCACTGCTGGTTGGAAGCCTCCACATGCCGTGTTGGTGACCGTTCTCTATCACGCTGGCCAGCGTGGATTGGTCAAGGAGGTGGTACCTAGGACTGGCTTCAACCTATAATCTGCTAGCATTCACATTCAATGTTTCATCCCACTGAATAACACAGAAATGCACGGAGCTTAGTAAAGAGCAAAACCTTTGGGTTTGCTGTATTTTTTTAAAAACACTCACGCAATGCATACTGAATGTATATACTGCAACCAGGTGATTGTTGCTCACGCCACTGCTCGCCTCCGCTAGACGGAGCACTGGGGAGGCCACCCCTTCTAAAGCGTATTTGACCGATTGCCTCCACATTGAGCAACCCGATCTACACACAACCCGAATCTTGACTTTTAATTCCACCGTTTTTTTTCCATTCAAGGTGCTGCTCTTCCATGACCACAACGTTGGAATCCACTACGAGTTCACGGTGCCGGTGAACAGGAGCGCACGGCACGGCGAGCGACCGCGGACGCCCCTCTACATGTGGACGCACGTCGGCTGGGAGGACTGCAGCGTGCAGTGCGGAGGAGGTGCGGGCACAACAACTCACTGCGGGCACAACAACTCACTGCGGGCACAACAACTCACTGCGCGCACAACAACTCACTGCGCGCCACCGACCCTGTCCTTGGAAAGCATCCTTGGTTTGAAACCCGTAGACCGCCTGTGGTGGGGGGGGGGGACGTTGCGGTTGGGTCACACGGTGGTGGGTTTACTCGGCACAACCAAACCAAGCAAAAGCTTAAAGGCCCCTGATTCACGAGAAATGATGGTGCCCTGAAATATCAGCTCAAATTCAAATCGTAATGCACATAACAAGCTCATGAACGTAAAAAAAAGCCTCTTAAATGTGATCATCTCGAGTTGATCTCATCTCACTACACCTCCATCTATTGTTTGGTATCTCTTCTGTAATCTTACTCGGATTTTATTGACTGAAAAGGGGGGGGAGGGTTGCAAAGATTATTTCAGCTTAGGGCCCCCAATGAGGGACGAGCACCGCCACTGGGGTCAGATCCTCGGTTGCCGTGTGCACGGCTGCCAATGCGGTACTGTGCCTTGAGCTCTGTGCCAGCTGCTTGTGACACAGACACTCGTATATTCACCCACTCATACACGCGTACGTATACGTTCATTATTTGGTGATATTGCATTGGCAGTGGTGCACAAGCACAAATGACAACAATAAAATAAAACTACGCATTCGTCAATGAAACACCGCCCTACAAGGGAAAACATATATGGGGCGACATTTCAGGGCGATGGACCTTCTTCATAACACGTATATAGACAGGTAGAGTGGATACGAGTTGGTGACGGCACTTTACACACACATACCTATGCATATACACCTTGCTATACTGTCCACTCGCACACATTCCCACATATTAAGTGTACATGTACACGTGCACGCACAAGCGCATACTTTCGGCAGCTCGCTTGATTTAACTGAATGCGGCAAGTCTTGCCTTCGCGGTTGACACGTATGATGGGCTTAGCTTGGAATTGTGCGTTATATTCAGAAGCTTTTAACTTTATTTAGACTGGAGGAATCCGATGAGCTATAACGCTCTTTTTAGCAGATGTCCAGTAGGGGCGGGTCAGCAAGTTACTACGCCAAGTTAAATTGATATACAGTCCACGTCAATGCATTCCACTTCACCTTTGCACAGGTAATTGTGGGGGAAATGTTTTTCAAGGAGAGTTAGAAACCGAAAACTGTTAAATATAATTTACAGGAGCCTGCTGCGATTCTACAAATAAGAAGAAAACAGCTTTCGTATCATTTTATGAATTCTCATGGAATTTTTTGCAGAAACTTTACTCGGTACAGCAATGTTTTTAAGTGAAAATATCAACGTCTAGTGGCCAATGGACAATCCTTGCTCGGACATGAAGCTGGCGTATAAATAATCTGCAATGCTTTGTTCATTTCCGACAACGCCGCCCGCCCTTTGGGAGGATGTACGTTACGCAAGGCCTGTCTTGTAAAGCCTCGAGACACAAGCTCGTGCAAATATGGGCATCTCGTTAAGCATTATATATTATTTTCTTTTCTTCAAGCCTCGCCGAGCTTAACACTCGAAGAATAGCCGCAGTGGGTTGCACCAAACCTCCGTAGTGTGACCTTGCTTCAACGGGGGGGGGGGGGGGGGGGTGGCATATACAAACTTAGCGGGTAAACAAACTTTAAACAAATGTGAAACGCTCAAGGGAACTAGACTCTGCATGGTGTTGTTTTGTTAATTAATTCCGTTCCAGCTCCCGCTCACTGTGCACCTGAAAGTCTGCGATGCCCAGTTGCCACTGGGCCTCATTGCTACCGGTGTTAAATATTGCACCAATATTTTTGTTACTTATTTATAAGAATTTAGAGATGGGAAGTGGGGGGGGGGGGCTCAGCTTTCAGCGGGGAGTGGGGTGGGGGAGGGGGGGTCACACCCCTTCTATCCCCACCTTGACGCTGGCGGGCTGCGTTGGTCTGTGATCATTTGCGGCTTTGTCTCTGACACAGTGTGGTCCTTTTCCGGCATTGAGAGACGTTTCCAAATTGGATAAATACTGATGCTGAAAGTGGTCACATTCGAATGAAGGACCACCCTGGGAATTGTGTTAATTTTGCAGTATGCCGACAATGGCGTAGCGCACTTCTTGCATGGATATTGTCAAGTTTAGGGTAAACTATGTGATGTAAGTGTCAAAGTCTTGGAAATAAGAGTAGCATTTCAGCAGTGCGTGCCAGCTGCGCGTGCAAGTCCTTTTCAATTAACATTTAACGGGCGGCACTAAAATGTTGCAAATAAAAGAAACCGCTGAAAATAAGGGTGTAACCCCAACACACCGCAAATGTAACTAACGTTGAACTTCTTTCGCCAGCCGACGTCGCCAACCGTGCTAACCGGTTGCTTGCGCGTGTGATGGACAGGCGAGGTGCGGAGCATTTTGGGCTGCACGAAGATCGTCAACAGATCCCAGAGCTGCGTGCCGGACCAGGACTGCCGGAACGTGAGCCGGCCCCCGCTGCAGAACCGTCACTGCAACAGTCACCCCTGCCCAAACAGGTGCGGCCGGCCAGTGGCGGCCAAGTGGCAGCTTTCGCGCCGTCGCACACGCACAAAGCGGTCAGAATCAGAATCAGAAGGGTTTTATTCGCCATGAAAGTTCGCACAGACAAGGAATTTACTTTGGCCGGAAGGTGCATGCATTCGACATTTACGAATCTTAAATCTTAAATAAGTGGCTTACAAGTCTAACTATACTAAAGGTACAAGTCTAACTAATACTAAGGAGCTAAAGTATGTACAAATTTAATAAAATAAAATCTAAAATATACAATAGCTATAATATACAATATTAAATTACAAAAATACAAATAGGGTAACATAGTGCAAATATGACAGGGTGTCATTGTGCAGATATTGTGTTAAAGTCAGTTTGAGCGCTAAAGTCAGTTTGAGTGTTAAAGTCAGTTTGAGTGTTAAAGTCAGTTTGAGCGTTAAAGTCAGTTTGAGCGTTAAAGTCAGTTTGAGCGTTAAAGTCAGTTTGAGTGTTAAAGTCAGTTTGAGTGTTAAAGTCAGTTTGAGTGTTAAAGTCAGTTTGAGTGTTAAAGTCAGTTTGAGTGTTAAAGTCAGTTTGAGTGTTAAAGTCAGTTTGAGTGTTAAAGTCAGTTTGAGTGTTAAAGTCAGTTTGAGTGTTAAAGTCAGTTTGAGTGTTAAAGTCAGTTTGAGTGTTAAAGTTTGAGTGTTAAAGTCAGTTTGAGCGTTAAAGTCAGTTTGAGTGTTAAAGTCAGTTTGAGCGTTAAAGTCAGTTTGAGCGTTAAAGTCAGTTTGAGCGTTAAAGTCAGTTTGAGTGTTAAAGTCAGTTTGAGTGTTAAAGTCAGTTTGAGTGTTAAAGTCAGTTTGAGCGTTCAAGTCAGTTTGAGGGTTAAAGTCAGTTTGAGCGTTAAAGTCAGTTTGAGCCCCTGGCCTTGTTGAAGAGGCCAGCAGCGGATGGGAAGAAACTGTTTTTGTGGCGCGAGGTTTTGGTCAGGTCTACTCCACGGAGGATGCTGCGGATTGCATGAAGGATAGGGGGTAAGCGGCTTGGATGCGCGTGATGGAACGCGACGCTAAAGGTTTATGTAGATGTTGGCCCCTCGCGTCAAAAGATGACGGTAAAACAATAATTTCTTTAAAACACCTCCGATCAGCACGGTTGGCTGCACGCGGTGTGAAAGAAGTTCAACGTACATACATCACGCCGTGCGCGTGCGACTGAGGCTGTTAAGAATTACGTGTTGATTGCAGCCTCTCCCACAGTAGCTGCGCTGATAGCTTGACGTTTGAAAAAAGGTGGGTTGCCTGTCTTAAAAGGAGGGTCGTGATGACGAGTGGGACACACACGTGTGGAGGATGCAAGAGGGCTGTTCACTTGTAGACGTATTGGATCAGGCACCCCAAATGTCGGTGACCAGGGGGAAGGCCAAAGAGAAGAAGAAGTTTTTCCCTCTTTTGCTATTGTAAGTAATTGTGAGATATTCGTGGTCTCACGATACGTCCCAGCTTTTTGTAGCACAGAGGTGGCAACTCTGGTGTGTAGTGTAGCTAGTAGCGAATCACACCCCACCACCCCCACCACCATCTCCTTCCTCGCAAATGAAACGGAAACTGATTTAGCCGCTGCGTTTTTCAGCGTGCCCTTCGCCAGGTGCGGCTTTAATGGAGCCAATTGAGAAAATGACGACGCGCGACTGCAATTTTCGGCGATCACCGCAGCGGCAGTGCCGTACGAAAGCTGCCTTGGCGCGGGATGCTTTTGGAAGAGGGGTGCTTGATTTTGTTTTGGGGGTGGGGGGGGGGGCGAGTGAGTGAGAAGACACAGGAGGGGTGTATTAACGGGGGCCTGGGTGAGAAGGCGCGAGTGAGAAGTCGGCAAGCACTTTTTTGCCCAAAGTAACCAATGCCGGTCGAGTGCCAGGCGAATCGGTGCGTTATGGAGGATGCAAGAATACCGTACCTTTTATTGAATGCTTGAAAACTTTTTTTTTAACCCAAAGCCCACCCTGGCATGGCCTGCGAAAGTAAAATCTGCAGATGTGTGCTAAATCTTTGTTAAACTTTGTTAATGTTGATGCCTGCCAAAGTTTGCGTAATGCCATCAGAAGTTGGATCTACTACAACTTTGGGTTAAGCTTAGCATAAAAAGCCACTCATAGTGTTCAATGTGCGTGTAATCCCAGCACAACGCAAAAACAATACGGACGTACGGCGGGTATTTGTGAGTTAGTGCATGCCCGTGCGTGTGTTTTCAAGTACTTTACTGCGATCAAAACGTTCGATAAACATTGTCCAATGTGAAATGTAATTTCATCTCCCCCATGCCCCCCCTCTGCCCCACCACCTAATTCTTATTCCAACGCTGCACGGGTGTTTGTATTCCAAATGCTACCCATGGAGGCTCATCCAGCTGTAAAGTAGACAGATAGTTTGGCAATCGAAGCTTACACGAGACAGAGTGTAATGTTACTCTCAGCCGCAGTGCCTCTGTTTCTCTGGACAGAATAAGTTTACACACACACCCATATTGGCCATTCATCTTATTATTCCAGTTAAAATCTAGTGAAAGGAAAACAAATCGAAACAAATTCTTATTGCCAAAACCAACGGTGTTTTTTTATACGATTCGTTTACGTTACAATACTTTAGTGGAACTATGAAAGCGGGACTGATCCTCGATCACGAGACCAAGGAGGATTAGGGATAAAAGTTTCACACGAGGCATGAGACTCGCGCGAATGCTGCCATAGGGCAGACGGATGCCCAGTGGTGCGATCAAATGACTGAAAGTCAATGCGATGCTGAAAAATGATACAGCGTGAAAAAGTAAACGCTACTACAGCCACGTAAAAAAATTCCTTGGAATTCTAGCAACAACCGTTAACTCTCGACTACACCCGAATATTTGCACTTCATTAATCATCATCATCAGCGTTGGTCAATCCACTGCTGGATAAAGGCCTACCCCAAGAATGCTGGTCATCATGAATCTCAGTGGGGCCTTACCTGTTGAACTAAAACATCGTTTAGTTTTGAATTTAGTTTGAATATTTGGGGGCACGGAGGTCTAGAACCGCTGCTCGAGCACTTTCACGCAGAAACACTGACGACGGGCGCTTTGCCGACGTACGGTCCGTCAGGTGGAAGGTGTCCGACTGGTCGCCCTGCTCGCGCACCTGCGGCAAGGGCCTCCAGACGCGCTCCGTCTCGTGCCACTTGCACCTGCCCGGCGGTGGCTCGGTGCGCACGCGCGACGGCCGCTGCCCCAAGCCGCGGCCGCCCTCGTCCCAAGGCTGCCAGGGGCACGACTGTCTCGGAGTGTGGCAGGCCACCAGCTGGTCCCAGGTGAGCTGTCGTCTCGCCTGTCTCTCCCTTTCTCTGCAAACACGTGAATTTACTCCAACATATCCTGCTGCCGTGTAATGGTTAGCACGAAGGTTATTTTTAGAGGTCACCGGTTCAATTGAGTCACCCTGGTGGGGCAGTTTAAGTGATGGGCAGAGTGTTTTAAATCTCGCCCCTCCCTCCCCCACCCCCTCTGCCCACTCAGCAGTATACATTGGTGCGCCACGGCCGATTGATAGGTCGCTTTTGGTGGACTAAAGTGCGGGTATTCCCATCTCATCCAAAACATCGGACCCGAGTTGAAGAGTAGACCGAATACCTTCTAAAGGGGGCTCTGTTGAGCTCCCTCAAGTGGAGGCCTTTCCACCAGCAGTGGCACGAGCAAGCAATTGCAGGGCACGCACGTTTACCTCTTCGCACGTGACGTATTGGTCCAACTACCGCGCAAGGCTCGCAATTATGAGTCGCGTGCGCGAACCGTCACCGTTACTACGGCAGCATCTCCCGCGTGACGAAACGCTGGCCAACGTATACGAACTAAAACTATTAAACTGAACAATTTTCTTTTTACCAGGTAACTCTCACTCAGCTACATCGCTCTTTTTCAGAAGTGACCTGGCCACAAATGATAGCCCAACGAAGGGGCTTATAACGTGGCAATTTATAGCAGCCACAATATTCTTTCAGTGCATGTTTCCAAATGTCGAGGGAAAAACCGGAGGACCCGGGGGGAAATTCCACATGTACAGGCATCGTTGGAGTCGGGATCGAACTCACGCCCTCCTGCCTACCAGGCTAGGAGAATCAACATCTCGCCACCGTAGCACCCATACACACGAGCGCTGAGCGCTGCGGTGATGCATGGTCGGGGCTCTTTCTTGTCACGCAGTGCTCGTCGCGTTGTGGGAAGGGCACGCGCGTGCGGACCGCGCAGTGCACGAGCCCGCACGGGCGCTGCCTCGCCACCAGCCGCCCCCGCGAGCAGGACGGCTGCGAGGACTACTCCCAGTGCTACGAGTGGAAGACCGGCGACTGGTCACAGGTGTGTCACGGCACTGACAGACAACAACAACAAAAATCCCCCCGTGCAAGAGCATGGGGCACGGCACAAGAAAGGGGGTTGGTTGGCCAGCACCACGCCAGGCCGCCTTTGTCTCCCCAGTGGTGATGTTTACACACCGCGCCAGGCACTCGATTAAGGCTAAGTCCGACCCACAGCAACAACAACAACAACCGCCATTCGCCACAATGTGGCGGTGACATCTCCACGGTGCTTGTGCCAGGCTACGTGCACTTTAAGGCCACGTGAAGTGTCGAAACGCCCGCTGACAGAAGGTCACGGGGACAGACCCAGGTGCCATGAGTTGACTGACTGAGATGACTGGCAGATGCACCGCCTGTGCCCCCTCTACTGAGCCGACTTGCTGCGTTTCAGCTACCTGACCTGGAGCACCACCACCACCATTGTCATACGCAGATAGTGGGGCGCTGTAACGGAGTATCCACACAGGGCCTGCTGCTTACAAACACCTTAATGGTGTGAATAATAATAATAATGTATACACAGGGGCCCACGGGTTGTAGGGGCCCAGACTCTGGGCTATGAAGAGGGTAGTAAAATTTACAGAGGGACCCATTTCATTTGTCACACCAGGACCCGTGCCAACCACAGGGCGCTTGCTCTCCCCACGCTTTGTCAGTCATTGGGGTAGTTTGACCATACTTCACCATGCTGGTCAATGTGGGTTGGTGTATTGTCACCCAGAACCGGTTCAGATGTCGCTCGCCAGTGGTGAGTTGATCGAGTTCATAGTCTCTGCGCGCTAACCACTGCACCACGTAGCGCCACGTAGCAGTGTGGAAATTGAGTAACTTGCCCCATGCGGAGCAGAACGCACTATGTGGGGGAATATCAGTCTTAACCGAATTATTTTAGAAATCGACGAACTCGAGAAACATTTCACATACAAGATGAGCAGCCTGCTTGCTGTACTACCACCCGCTCTCCGTATCATAGCCCTGCAGGCGCATGTTTAATACACGTGATTACATGTTCCACTAGCAAACGTGCGCGGGAGACGCTCGGCGAACTCACCGACTCGTCGTCTTCGTGGTGTCGTCTCTCCCCACCCCTCCCGCGCGACGTCGGCGCGTCGCGCCAGTGCTCGACGAGCTGCGGCCGGGGTCTGCAGTCGCGCGTGGTGCACTGCATGCACCGCGTGTCGGGCCGCCACGGCAGCGGCTGCGAGGCCGACGGCAAGCCCGTCACGTACCGGGAGTGCGGCGTCGGCGAGTGCGACAGGACCTTCGATGCCAACACCATCACCTCCCCGCGCCTCGGTACGTACGCGTGTACGTGCGCGTGTACGTACGTGTGTACGTACGTGTGTACGTACGCGTGTACGTACGCGTGTACGTGCGCGTGTACGTACGTGTGTACGTACGTGTGTACGTACGCGTGTTGAACTTCTTTCGTCACCGTACGTAGCCGACCGTGGTTGAGGCTGCTGCTGCGACGACGGACGTGTTTTGCGCTTAATGTTGAAAGTATTTATTTTTAGTTATTTACTTTTCAGTGAACTTGCTTACCTCTGCTATACTTTACACTCCTATTGTGTTTTTGTATTGTTTGTTAATGGAACTTTCCTCACCGCCCCTACTGGACATCTGTGAGAAAGATCTCCAATGCTCATCGGACTCCGGTCTAAATGAAGATTATTAAGAATCTCATCCTGAAAGCAACCCAGGAGCACAGCGTTTGTAGAGGAGGGAAAACAAATAATGAAAACCTGTACGTGACGCCACTCAAAATTGAATGCGGAACGCTGGGAGATTGGTAATGTGAGCACCGTGTTTAATACTGTATATGTTTAAATTGCACTCGAATACCGTTATGAAGTCAGGAACATTTAAAAGGCGCCACTCTGCAATTGCTTGCTTACGCAACCAGCTGGCGGAAGGGCCTGCACTTCAAGGTATTTTTGGCCTATTCTTCCACGCTGTACATACATCTTGGGAGACGTGAAGTAAATACAGTAAAGTCAATCAAATGCGCTCAAACATTTTACATAGCATCTTTTTTGTTTTACCTGTGTACCGGCACCTTTTGAGAAACACTTTAAACACGGGACTGAAGTGATTTTTTTTGCTGCCACTAAGAAAGACCAAAACCTTCAGTGAGGCAGTATGTACATCCATGCGTTTGGCAATGAGAAAACAGCTCGAGAGGGAATTGTGCAACCCATTTACTATCCCATCTCTTTTGCTGCCCGAGGCAGCTGCTGAGTATTCATATTTACTGAAGCCGGCGGTGTTCTGGCTCCAACGAGGCCACGTTTATCCGTATTTGGTCATTCCTGTGCGTCGGGCTTGCACGCAGACACAAAGAGAGATGAATGCGTGCATTAAAATTGTATAAACTTGAGTACATATAATGCCACTTGGTGGGTCAACCACTGGGAGAGACTTGGCTTCTGTCATATCAACATGGAATTTCCACCCCTGGACCATGAATGGAGAGTACCACCCCAGAAATGTTAAAGCAAGGAGACAACTGAACTCTGTCTTTGAAGTCAAAGTTCAGTATACAGTGTGTTTCATCATCATCATCAGTCTGCTGCTGACCGAAGGCCTCCACAAGTCGTTACCATCCCTCACGATCCTGTGATGTAGTAATCCACCAGGCAACTGCACACAAACTCTTTCCATTGCTCCATCTGCTTGGTAGAAGTCTTCTCGGACTCGTTCCATCCATAGGCTCGTCTCAATTCGTAACCATCATCCACCTGTTCCTTTTTCTGGCTCTCAATATAATGACAAGCACGCAACTCTCCACGCTTCTTCGCACACCATTTGGTTTTTGTTCCATTTTTGACACGATCTTGCTCACCGTTAAATAATTTTCTTCTGACATTTTAAACAAAAAAACGATTCAAACTAAACTATTTTTATTTTTGCAGGTAAGGCCGACTGAGCTATTTAGGCTAATTTCAGAAGAAACCTGGCTACAATGAATAGCTTAACAATGTGCCTTATAGAAACTTAAATCGGCCTAATAAAATTAAACGCGCGTTGATACTAAACTTGGAGGGGAAAACGGGAGGACCTGGAGAAAACTCCACGCAAACTCCAAATACACAGCAGGCGTCGGGCTTTGGATCGAACCTGCGACCTCCTGCATACCAAGCGAGGGAGTTAACATCTCCCCACCATGGGTTCTCTTTTCATCCCGCGCACCCACCAGTTGCGCTGACCTACAAGTGCCTCGGGGACCAGTGGTCCGTGTACTGCCGACTGGTGCGTGAGCGCCAGCTGTGCCGTGACCTGCGCTGGTACCAGCGGTGCTGCCAGACCTGCAGAGACTTCTACGCGGCCGCGCTGCTCGCCTCGGCACCACCACGACAGCCGCCGGTCTTCCCCGCCGCTCGGCCGTCGGGCAGCTAACAAGCGCCGCGGGCGGCCACCATTGCGCGACCTTCCCACCCCCCACCACCACCCCCCCAACACCGAACTTCACCGAACCGACTCCACTCACTCCGCCGGTACCTTCGCAGCCTTCGAACCCCAACGGTCGACGGCGGGTCAAGCGTTCAGATGTTTTCGTTTCTACGTGGCGAGATCCGCTCTGGGTTCAGAGGAGGACTTGTGATTGTTGTTGTTGTTGTTCTTGTTGTTGCTGCTGTCGTCGTCATCAGGAAGAATAAGAGCACACTTGAGATTGTTATTCTAAAAGCTGCGACAGTAAGTTTTGTGTAAACGGAATTTTTATTGTGACTCTGCAGGGTGCGATGGTGATGAGTTACCAACAGCTCGTTAATTACTGGTGCTCAAAGCGGACGTGTTGGCGTTAAACACTTGTCACCTCCAAGCAGCCGAGCAGCCAAATCTGAGTAGCAACTACCTCTAAACAGTGCACCTCATAGTCTGAGGCATTTTCAACGTTCGTTTTTTTTTATATATAAAAAATTAAAATGTAAACTCCGGTTTACAAATTCACTCTGTTAAACTCGGCTCATATGACAATGGGGAAACGCTGCTGGTTATGATTGTTTCTTTTTTTTAATCATCAAAATTCCTGTTCACAGTAGGAAGTTATTGCTGCTTAAACACTTGAATGAACCTTCATCATTGACCGCGTGGGAAAGTGAGTCAACATCTGTTGCTGCATTTCCTGTTTGAGTCCAAATACTTTACAACAAACTCAGATGGAAATATGTTGTAGAGTATGGTTGCTGAATATATTTTGGTGGTTGCTGAATATAATAGTTTTATATATATATAACGAATAACAATTGTGTACTTAAAGTGTGTTCTTGACAACGGTAACTTTTGACCACGACTCATTACTAAGTGGCTTGAGTCTCGCTATGATGCAAATAACGTCCCACAAGTGATTCGGCTAGACAAGCGATCTCTTCATCGAAATTAGTTTGTGCTGTGTCTTATGCACAATATCCGTTTTCACTATGCTTTATGGACAGAGACGCACGGCATCACAGACCCATTAACGTTTCGCTCAACTCTCGGCGGTTGAACCCTTTCACACACGTGAGATCGAGGCCCAGTGCATGTGTACCTACGTCAGTAAATTGTGCTCTCTCTTGGAACGGGCAGATGGTAATACATCTCTATTCCAGTCTCCCCACTTTCTGAAGTATTCTTCTGTGTTGACACCGCATTTTACGCGATTGTAAGTTGATGTTCTTCTTACCCTCTCTCTCGGCACCCATCTCTTCTTTTGCCCCGTGCGAAGTGGGGGTGCAACGATCCATTTATTCATCAATGATACCTAACCTCATGGTAACACGTTTAATCACGTGCATGAGACTGTTTTTCAATTTGTATATGATGTATGCAAAGCGTCCAACGTCACCCCTGCAGCCACTAGACGGTGCGACCATTCACCACAATGTAGAAATTTTAAAAGATTGGTTCTTAATCGGACCACAATTCCGAAATGGGACACTTCATTTGACGTCGACGATTAGCTCACAAACGCAAAGAGAACATGCAGCCAAATCAGGACAGGGAGGTGACAATATCCAAACCTTGAATCGCTGCACACCAACCTTTCCCGTCGCGGTGAAGCCAAGACGGGATAAGTCGCTTGGCTGATATCGGTGCTACGTTGTATACGGCACACATATCCGCCCATTATCCATAAACGCAATGAAGTGAACTGGTGCTTGCTCTTATAGGTGTAATGTATTCACGTTTATAAAGGTATACAGACGTGTCCAAGCACATGCTGCTCTTTTGGTGGGGAGGAATGGTGCTAAATTAAACTTGCACTGAATTATAGAAGCAGCTTTTTTAAATTACATTGCATTGGGTGTTTTTAAATGAAAAACTTTGACAGCTTAAACAAAAATCACGTGTATTTTATAATGTAAATAAAATAAAGGAAATTGCCGGTGGTGGTGTACAAGTACAAATGAACACATCTCATCGCTTCGCTGACTTTTCTGATTTGTATTTTGATTTTGGTTTACCAAATAAGTCGCCGCGTTCTGTCAGCATTATTTTTCAAACATCAATATAAACAACTATTATATATATTTAAAAAAATATGCACATGGTTATATTTAAAATATGAAATGTGTTTTCGCATTATATAGACCACGTAGAAATATATAAATTCATTTTTTCGTAAAGGTCTTTACCACAGTGATCATCATTGTCATTGGAATTTTAATCATCCTCATTTTTTACTCATTCACAGAAAACTTTCTGAACCTTGAACAATATATGTACAGACGACGTTTGAGATTCCCATTGCCAGATCTGCTGCGATGTCGTCTACGAGCCTGTGTGAATTTTTGCTACTGATTCTAGTAAAAAATAAGTATAACCCGTAAAAACAAAGTTTTTCACTATAAATCCTTTATATGCGTGGCAGCTAGAGTCCTCTCGTCCTCTGGCTTGAGATGGCTGCCACCTATGGGTCAGATGATTGTCTGCCAGTATTAAGCAATTGGTAATTAAATATTTAATTTGTTTTCCCTAAACAGTGTAAAATTTTGGAAAAAAATTTCACGAACATTAATTGTCTCGCACAACGAGTCTGTGTGCAAAATGTCAGCTCGATTGGATCACGGGAAGTGGGTTAAAAAAACGACCGAAAGATTTGCACGGTCGTAAGCAAGCAAGCACGCAAGCACGCAAGCAAGCAAGCGAACTTAATATAAAGGATTTAAAAATGAAAACAATTATTAGAATCCACTTAAAGACTTGCATCTGTTCCAAACGTTACCCACCACCGCACACACACTCAGTTCATAATGCAATAGACGTACGCTATATATAATTACCATAAACAATTAAATCGTTGTTGTATATTGTTTGCTGAACATGTTATTTCCAAGATGAAATATACTGTTTCGTCAAAACTATTTTTGTTGTTGGGTCGACGGAAGTTGGGTATGAAAACTGCGTTGCTGCAAAATGTAATTACAAGCCTCGTGAGGAAAGTACATATTTGATCAAAATGTCTTTCATGGGACGTTTATGAGTTATCTTCTTCATGGCAATGACTCCATCACAATAGCCCCATGGATAATGTGGTAAAATGAAATGTGCTAGCCGCTTGCGGTGATTGTTTTGCAAGCTATGTGTGTGTCGCGCAAGCAGGGACTTTCATTTTTCACTGAATATTGTCCGGGTTGCTGGTGGACTTTGTATAGGTGGCACGTGACGAGAAGCCACAGCCATAGCGAGGATTATACTAAAGGTCGCTGAGCCAGACTCGGGCTGAAGTTAAACCCTCACCCTATGACCAAATCAACAGGAATGCGACCGATCTCATCACATCTTGGAAACTAAATAGGTTTGAGCCTGGATAATGCTTTGCTGGCTGACCACAAAGCACAGATTGTTATAGGCTGCAGGACTACGTTATGAGCACCAGAGAGCAATTAAGCCCTGCATCAATCCAATTGACAAGAAGAGCAAAAAATGACTCCAGCTTACACGAGAATGTGTGACGCCGACTGCTCCGTGGTCGGTGTTTTCCACACGTGCTCAGAGAGGACAGATTGGTGAGATACTTGTTGGGAAAGGTGACCAATACTCCTGGGGTGTGGAACCACCACTCGAGGCGGGAGAGAAGAGGCGTTGTCGGGTTGGAGTTGGAATTTCAATACTCGACAAGGTGGACCTGCCGGGGGTGTACTGCAGCCTCTGATCGAACAGCAATTCCCAACTGCTGCATAGGTGTTCACCAGCTGTGCTGTTTAGCTCTCTGATGCGTTTTCTGGACGTAGCTGTGTGCTGCTCGGGCAATTTGCTTTTGTTCAGCCACTGAATGGAGTTCGTTAAGGAGCTCTCAGCACGTGGACCGAAAGGTCAAGACATCGTGCTCAACAACACACGGAACAAACTAAAAAAACACAGCACAGAGTTGCAGGGCAAAACCGCAACAACATGGTCAGTAGTGATACACCACCGTGTACTGATTCATATTTAAATAGCTTGTTGGCCAAAGGGAAGCAAAACACCTTATCGGCTACATTCATTGCAAACAAAAGTCTGCAACAGGGAAGTACTTTAATAAAGGACAATTAAACGTGAGATGCTTCCCTTGGGGTTTGTCGACAAATGCCCAAAACGAGTGGCCCATTAAATGCACACAGATACCAAAAGGGCAAGAAGATACAGCACACAACACATTCCTGCGGAGGGAGCTGGTAGGAACGTTGGGTTGCTCGGTCAATGGCCAGGGTCAACGGCGGCGTGGTGTATTCCGCAAATATGCCCGACTGTGAGGGCGGGCACAAGCCGGCGTGAGTAGGTTAAACATTGAGTTTTATAAGGGCACCACGGGATGACCAGCCCCTCCCCACCCAGCCCCACCCCTCCCATCCCCCACCCAGCCCCACCCTCCCCACCCAGCCCCTCCCCACCCTCCCCACCCTCCTCACCCAGCCTCTCCCCACCCTCCCCGCCCCACACAGCCCCTCCCCACCCCGCCCCTCCCTCCCCACCCAGCCCCTCCCTGCACGACGGACACAATAATCCCCTGTGGGCTGGTGTAACCAGGAGGTTCCTACCGGTATTAAATAGTAAAGATACATCAGTTATATTTAATGAAGGGCGGTCAAGTTCGGACTTTGTATCAGTCTCAACACCAAAGTCTCGTCATGGGATGAATGGACCACAGAGAAAGCCTGGAGGCTTCTGTAGGCAATGTTTTTGCAAAGACTGCCTCTTATGGCTGAACTCATCCTGAAATGCTGTTCCTTGACTCCGATTGTTAACGCAGCCAGCTATGCGTTCAAGCGCGCCTGTCAGATTGCATTTTGCGAATGCAGAGCTTTAACTCGAGCACAACCCCAGCCTCAAATCAAACTCTAATTGCCTGTTGTTTAAGCATATTGCATAACGGCTACCATGGTGATTCATCCCCTTATTTACAAAAAGTGTTGCCTTTTGGCTACGATTTTTGTTTTAAGAAAAAAAAACAAAGGGGCATTTATGAATGCATCTAAAGGAAAACAGAAGCCATCTGTTTGAATGTCACATTTCAAATGAATACATCTCACTTAGCGTGCAATGCTACAGCAGCTATCTATATTGCTAAAGTAATAACCATGGTACTTTACGTGCAATTTTGGAAATGCTTGTTAGGTTGTGACGCTAAAATTATTATCGATTTTCTAGTTGTCCCAACAATTGGATATGAAGAGCATTAAAGTGGCTTGGTATCAGTATACGCTGTTCTCCTTAACGGAGACCAGGTGACCTGATAATAATACATCTGTAAGTAGTACACTTGAAAGTATGTAGAACTTATTTCGCACTGTACGTAGTCATACCGTGCTAAGTTTATATATATACACTTAAATGACGCACTGCACCTCTCCGCTGTGTTGTTTTGGCATTATGTCCGACGTTTTGATCCACGTGCTTGGAGCTGCTTCAGGAACTTAAATACAGAACTGCACTGGAATGCATTTTTTTGTAATTGGAATTCGAGTCTCATTTCCAATGCCACCACAAGAAGCCAACCTGAGAATCAAATTGAAACCGAATACTATTCACATTAGCATACACACTTGCACTTATTGGATTTCAATGTGGTGCTTTGTGTGTTGGTTTGCAGCTGTAGGGCACTTTACATGAAAATACAACAAAGAATACAGCCAATACTTCGTTGGTATAGAAAGTACTATTTTTATTTTTTTGTATAGCCGGATTATGAAAATCGCCAAGCAGTGTTATGTTTCCCATTATAAATTACGCGCGATAAACATTGCTGACAGCTGTTGCAACATGCAAACTCGATGTCAAATTGCTTTTGCGTGTGGATGTCTTTGGCTTCAAAAGTAATCTAATGATTATGAATTTAAGCATATATTTTCTAGCCTTAACATTAATTTCTCGAATGTTATGCTATGAGTGGTGCACCGAACAGATTTCTCCCCCCCCCAAAAAACTGCACAAATTGTGCCGTGAAAATAAACAGGGTATTTTTTTGGGCAATTGCAGAATTATGCAGAAAGTCGGGGAAGCGTAATCAGTATGTGACATTAATATCCACGTGCAGATGTTTGCTTCTGCAACCATTCCAGCTGTCCGTTTTTGTAATGATTCTCGACGGTTTAAATGTTTTAACCAAATGGTATTTTATGATGGAAAAAAACAACAACCGTGCACGCACGGGGCATTGTGTAACGATGCAATGTGTGCAATACACTGAGGAATCTTTCCCAAATGCGTGACCGCGTGCAAGCTGAGCAGAAGACAAATTTGCAGATTAGAAAATGAAATGGGAAAAAAATGAGAATTGGAGCCATATTCTGTTACACATATAGAAAGCATGTGGACCCTTTAAAATAATATGTCCTCTCATTCAGAGTGTGGAAATATATTTTGAGTGAATTATATTGAATGTTCAACCAAAGAGATGCAGCGGTGGGTGCTCGATAGATTATTGCATCTCAGGGTTGTGAGAGGTGGCGTTGGCTTGGAGAGGCCTTCATACAGCAATGGATTGGCCACAGCTGTTGATGATTACATTACCCGTTCACAAATACACTAACACAGTGTATACTACAGCCTTAAAATGCCTGAGATCGTTTCCGATGGCCAAACTCCTTGCAGAGAGAAAAAAAAAAACGCGTGGCACATGGGTACGTTTTGTAAATCTGACCGAATTACATTTGGATGGTGTATATTTCGTTTGATCCGGATCTATGTAAACGATCAACTTTGTTATACAGTCTGATGTTATTGTAGTGCTCTATTATAAGTAATTGATGATCATATTTGAAAAGGGATGTCATGGAAGAAGCGAGAGCGTTGAAGAATAGTCCAGATTGCAGAGGGCTCGGATGAAGATGCCAATGACGCTCATAAGTGAATATTCATTGATACCATTGTGTACCATACAAGACTGGATCTGAGTAGACTTTTGTTTTATAAACTAAACGACTGAACAACACACTCCTGGGAAAGTATCGACAAAGAATCCGGGCTCCAAAGTCAGGCCAAGTTTAAGAAACTGCAATATTTCAGACATGTGACCGGAATGAATGGTGATCAGTTGCAAAGGGCGGTGATGTAGGGAACAACGGGAAGGTGTTTGGAGAAGAGGAAAGGCCACGGTATGAGTGGATGTCAAGCAGCAAACGATGGACGAGACGGGAGCAATCTCGGTTGAAAGGTGCAGCGATGGACATGGAGAAAGTGGAGAGATCACCGCGAGGAGACATCGGTGGAGGAAACGGCTGTGCCCACAATGGCCTAAGAAGACAACCGAATTAAAAATAAAATGCCCTCCTCATCTATTAAACGTACCATGCATTCGACACCCGTTAACATGATGCCAACGTGCGACACGCATAGCATATTGACGCGAAGGTGCCCTTACAATCTAACAATGTCGTATGAAAAGCACGTTCTTGCAAAAAAAAAAGTTCTAAATGCGGCAGGTTGTTAGCACATTTTCTGCGAGCTGAGAACACATTGTGTGCACTGAGGCCTTAATTTAGCAGCCGCTTTAGAGAGCGCAATGACGACCGAGAACGGTGAATGTCAGATTGTGACAATCACTTCATAACGCGAATGAAATACTGATAGTTACTAAACGACCCAAGAGGTGATAATTGGTTCTTTACCCTTCTATCTGGCAACAAAACTGACACCTTTTTGCAAGGAGTCATGTTTGCATAGACCGCAATACCTGCAGTCATAATACAAACAAAAGAACATAACTCTGATAATGTGCACTGTCCTTGAAGTTGATTGGTCCACACCCGAGACAGCTTTCCTTGGTGTTGGACCAGATGACGCCAAAAGGCGCCTTTTGGCGTCTTCTGGTCCAACCCATATGAGACTAGGCTCTAAGGAAAGCTGTCTCGGGTGTGGACCAATCAACTTCAAGGACAGTGCACATTATCAGAGTTATGTTCTTTTGTTTGTATTATGACTGCAGGTATTGCGGTCTATGCAAACATGACTCCTTGCAAAAAGG